AACCTCTGTCTGTCTGTCTGTTTGTCCACCAGGCTGGTCTCAAACTCACAGACATCCCCAGCCTCTGTCTCCCTAGTGCTGAGATTACAGAAATGTGTCACCACCACCACCCCACCCCACCCCACCCCCGAGCTAAAAACTGCCTTTGAAATAGTCCTAGCCGGTGTCTGTTACCCACCTGTTGCATTTCAGGTGTGAGCTAAGATCTTTTTATTACCACTCATGTCTCACAACCCTGCTATTATTGGCATCCTTTACAGCTGAAAATAAAAGCACGTGCCCCACCCCCACCCCCACCCCGCGGCCCCCGCGCCCCCCCACTCCCCGCGCAGATACCTCCTAAATGCCCTGTAGTTCTCCTAGCAACCTTTGGGGGTCGCACTTTCACCAGCCTCACAGTGCCAAGTCCGAAGGAGGACCGTTTGCGAGATGGAGTCAGGAGCCTTGCGCAACATCTCAGAGGCTGACTTAGGGATCTGGACCTGAAGGTAGGGTCCTTAGCAACTATGCTTTAACATCTCCATATTTGCATATACTTTTCTAATTTAGCCATGTGATGGCACCTGCCTGTAATCCCCCAATTTAGGAGGTAAAGGTCGAAGGATTAGGAGTTCAGTGTGCCAGCCCTGGTTATATAATACATTCCAGACCAACCTGGGCTGTATGAAGCTCTGTCTCAAAAATGAAAAATAAGAACCAGGAGTTCTTTAACGTCAGCGATCGGGAGGCAGAGGCAGGCTGATCTTGGTGAGTTTAAGGCCAGTTTGGTCCAGTTCCAGACCAGACCAAAGCTATATACGATCACTGTCTCAAAACACAAAATATAAGAGCCAACAAGGTGGCTCAGCTGCAGGAAGGGGGTGCTTGCCTCTAATACTGATGATGACCTGGATTTGATCCCAGGGACCCCTATAACGGAATGAAAGAAAGGCTCCTATAGGTTAGCCTCTGACCTCCACATGCAGACTATGACCTGGGCAAGCTACACACACACACACACACACACACACACTACATTTTAATTATAATTTAAACTGTTTTAGGGACTGAGGGATGGGGATGGCTGGGGCATTAGGAGCACCTGCTACTCTTGCAGAGGACCTGGCTTTAATTTCCAGCACCACATGATGGCTCATAACTATTCATAACTCCGGTTCCTGGGGATCTGATGCTGCCCGCTTCCAACAAGCGGTATAAGCGTTGTGGTATCTCCCTGCCCAGCACACTCAGCTTCAAGAAAGAAGCGTGTGTGTGTGTGTGTGTGTGTGTGTGTGTGTGTGTTCTGTATGGGTGCCCATGGGAGAGCCAAAAAGAGGATGTTGCATCCCCAGGAGCTGGAATTACAGGCCACTACGAACGAACGACCTGACTCCTGTGCAGAGGGGAGGGGATTGAACTCTGGTCCTCTACACTGTGAAAGTGTTTGAACCACTAAGCCATCTCTGCAGTCCCCATCCCCAGCTTTTTTACATTGTTGCTGGAGATCCAAACTCAGGTCCTTATGCCCTGAGCAATCGCTCCAGCTGATTTTCTACTGGAGTTGCTGCGGCCCTGGTTTCTTGACTTACAGCTGTTCTTTTTACTTTCGAGACACTTCCTGGACGATTTTAAACATTGTAAATACCTTTCCCCTGCGGCCAGCTAATATTGGTCCCGTGGTGCCTGGTGGAAAGACTTCAACTCTGATGTTATCGAAGGCATGCATGTTTTTCCCCCTTGTCGGCTTCTGCTCTTTGAGTCAGATGGCTCTTCCTTTGTGGTCATCAGTGTTCTTAGGGTGTGAGTGGTCATCCAGAGGGCCTTGAAGGCTCTGTGTTTAGGCACAAGAGCCAAGGTCCTTTCCCGCATCTCTCTTTAGGGCGTTTCTGCACCCCCTGGGCCCTGAAGATATTCTCCAACCGGAGGCTAAGCAGGCGCTAGGAGAAATGGAGAGAGGAGGAGGCCTCTATATCATTGAAGCACTGCACTACTTGAGACAAGGCAGGAGACAGGAAGGAAAAGAGCCAGGAAGAGAGGGCATAGCAAACCAGGGCACACTTCATTTGATGGGGAAACTAAAGTAGGCCTTCTTGGCTATGTTGAGGATACCCACGGTGAACAGTTTCAGTGAAAAGAAAGCATCAAACACACTCTCCTGAAAGTACTGTTTCATTGAACCCGTTTAAAGTACTAGGTTTGGCAGAACCATTTTACTATGACCCATTTATTCTACTACTGGAAGCTGCCCTACAGAATTGCAGGCTTCGTATTCACCAAGCAGAATGCCTGAGTAGTCCCAGCAGGGCTCAGAGGGAGAGCACCCACTGGAACCAGCAGGCTCTAGGTTCCATCTTGGCATGGTAAGAACAGATGCATTTTGGGGTGCAATGACACATACTTGGAACCCCAGCACTTGGAAGGTGGAGGCTGGAGGATCAGGCATTCAAAGTCATCTTTCTCTGCTATGTTGCAAGTTCAAGGACAGCCTCAGCTAACTGAGTCTGTCTCAAAACACAAAACAGCCCTCTCCTGGCAATACATATTGGTGTTTTGGCTGCATGTATGTGTGTCTGTTATGTGTATGCTTGGTCCCTCAGAGGCCAGTAGAGAGTGAAGGATTCCCCGGAGTTAGAGTTAATACAGCCAGTTTTGGACCAGCATGTGGGTGCTGGGATTTGAACTTAGGTCCTGAGGAGGACCACTGAGCCATCCTTCCAGCTCTGAAGTGTGCTGCTTCTCACTCAACTCAACTGTCCACTGCAAGAAAGTTGATGAACAAATCACGTGTTGGCACACAATGAAAGACAATACAGCAACAAAAAGAGAGGAAGCAGAACCACATAAAATAACGTGAGAAGACTAACAAAAACCGACAAACGAAAGAACCCTGACAGAGTCCGTGAGCCCACATGCATACAGTGCTTTTTTAGATTTATTTTGATTATTTTTAATTATACGCGGGCATTTGTGCCTGTATGTGAGTGTGTGCAAACTGAGAGCCTTTAGAGGCCAGGGCGTTGGATGCCCTGGAGTTCCTGATGTTCCTGGAGCTGCTGTGTGGGTGCTGAGAATTGGACGCCAGTTCTCTGCAAGTTTAAAGGAGGCACAACTACTCTGTTATGTAGAGGCTGCAGATAACTGGTGGGAGGCAGGGATGGAAGAACAAGGGGACTAAGAGAGATTAAGAATGTTCCAGAGTCATTTGACTTTTTTAGTTTTGGATTGGGGGTGGGGGACTGGGTAGCCCCAGCCTAGAGCTATGTGGGCCAGATTAGTCTCGAACTCATAGAGATCAGTCTGCCTTAGTCCCCCCCCCTCCCACCACCACCACCAAAGTGCTAGGATTAAAAGTGTGTGAGCCAACAAATCTCTTGTAGTTTAGGGTGGCTTCAAACTTAACAAGTAGCAGAGGGTGACCTTGAACTCCTGATCCTCCAGCATCACCTCTGTAGCACTAGCTCTGCTTGAGGTGTGCAACACTAGGCCCAGCTAATGTCCTGTTCATTGTTTGATTTGAGTTTCACCAGGCTTTCCTCAGTTAGTGACAACTCATCAAGCTAAATATCAATATATGCTCTTTTTTAGTACTTTAATTAAAAATATGCCAAGCATGACACATTCAGATAAAAGAACAAAACATACATACTCAAAAGTCCGTTTCCATGGGCACAAAATTATATATGTGTGTGTGTGTGTGTGTGTGTGTGCAGGCAAAACCCCTAATGCACATGAAATAAAATAGAATAAAAAAAAAAAAGAAGAGAAAAACAAGACAACAGCAAAAACCGGTCATTTTGTCTGTGTTAAAACTGTACGAAGGGGCTGGAGAGACGGCTCAGGGTTTACCTCTTTCAGTAACGTTTTAATGAAAAGATAACCTTGGGAGTTGAGGATGCAGTTCAGTTGATAAAAGACTTGCCCAGAACATACAAAGCCCCAGGTCCAGAACCAGCACAGTGTGAACCAGGCATGGCGATTCACAGCTATGATCTCAGTACTTGGGGGATGGAGGAGGTAGTTTATCCTCAGCTACAAAGAGAATTGGAGGTCAGCCTGATCTACAGAAGTTTCCTTGAAACACACACACACACACGCGCGCGCGCGCACACACACGCACACACACACACGCACGCACACGCACGCACGTGCGGGGAGAGGGGGGAGAGAGCCTACCTCAACAACAACAAAACTGTACCATGCACTGAGTTAATATCTGCCCTGCTCTTGCTGAAGCCCTCAACACCCATGCCGTGTGGCTCACAACCGCCTGGACTCCAGCTCCTCCACGGGCATCTGGTTCTTCTAGTCTCCTTCAGGGGTACCAGCACTTGTGAGCACATAGCCACATACAGACTACACACACACACACACACACACACACACACACACACACGATTAAAAAATAAAACACAACAAGATGTGAGTATACCTTTAAGAAATAATAAATACATGACCACCCCAAGCCTCAGAGACGTAGATGGTACACAGTAGGTGCTGCATAAAGGGTTTTTACAAAGAAAATCATAAAGCGAAACTGTTTTCCAGGTATAAATGGTGTCTTTCAAACCAGCCATGCTATTCACACCTGTAATCCCAGCATGTGGTAGGCTGAAGCAGGAGATTTGCTGCGAGTATGAGGCCAGCCTGAGCTACATGAGAGTCTGGAACTTTAAAAAAATAAAATAAAATAAAAAGAAGAGATTTGCAGACTTTTCCTCTGAGCCTGTCTGTTTACATAAATATCAGTCACACTTTTTACAGCTGGGGTGTGTGTGTGTGTGTGTGTGTGGTGTGTGTGTGTGTGTGTGTGTGTGTGTGTGTGTGTGTGTGTGACAGAGATGAGGGGAGAGATGGGGAGATAGCTAGAGAGACAGCTGAAGAGGGTAGGCTGCACCGGAAACCTCAGCAGGCAGGGATCCCCATGGGGGGGAGGGGAGCCTTTGGTCTCTCCACAGCCTCTTCCTTCCCCCTGGCCTGGGGGTGAGTGGGGAGGGGCAGTTCCTCTTTCCTTCCTTAACGCGGTGGACGCTGCAGCTCCCAGGGGGGCTGACAATCTGGCCACAGAAGGAACAGGATCACACTCCTGTCGGGACCCCCGCCCCCTACAAGAAACATGAACCGGAAAGATAGCAAAAGGTAAGAAGACCCTTCCCAGAGAGGCCCGGGAGAGCCAAAGCCCTGGTACCTCTGGCTACGGAGAAGTCGGGGTGGGGGGCAATAGGAGAAGGGGTACCCCACTCCTCCAAGATGGGGAGCTGAGCACCTGAGCCTCCGTTACTGCTGTTGTCTCTCTGGAGTCTGAGCTGCCCTGTGTCCCTCCATCCTAGCTCCCTCAGCTGGCTGCCTCTGTCTTCCCTGGGGTCTTCCCTGTCCCCTATTGTGGTCACTGCCCCCCCCCCACTGGAAACTCCAGGCTCCTGCAGGACTGTGCCCCAGGAGAGAGGCTAATGACGCAGGTCTATACAGCTTCTCTGCCTCTTAAATCGCTCCTGGCTGCTTCAGACACTACTGGGGGCTGCCGCTCTGCAGGTAAGGGTCAGGTGGCTGCCTGTGCCAGCAGGATTGGAAATGGACCCTTGTCTCCTGGCATTGCTTGCCCTCCTATCCCCGTAAGGAAGGATGGTGCAGGGTCCCTCCCCTGGATAGCTCCTCCAGTCTCCATAGCACGATCCTGATGAGCAGAGGGGTTCCACCCTCCTCCTCAGCATTACAGTTAGAGAGCCTTAGGTGCCTCTGTCCCTGGCTGTGTGGCCTTAGGTAAGTTACTCAACTACTCAGAATTATCATGGGTTCCACTTTAGAGGGCTTCTCAGAACTTACTCTGTTTTGACCACCCGTTCTAAAACGTAAGCGTGTGCCAAAGTCACACGGAGGCCTTGGGAAGCACAAGCCACCGGACCCACCCCTAAAGCTGTAGATTCTGTGAGTCTGCAGTGCTTATAGGGAATGCCCAGGAGGGTGATGCTTTTGGTACTCGGGTGGGCACCTGGAAAACCTGATCTTTAGGGAGCCCTCGGCCCTCGGGATGCTCCCAGTCAGTGCTCAATAAGCGTCTATTATCATTTAACATTTAGCAGCTGCCTCAAGCCCTTGTGATGCTACCGGGGACACAATAGATTTATGTTAGGGTGTCCCTGTTTGTGTTCTTACCCCCATGCTACGCCGCAAGCCTGGCTGCTGCCTCCTGTCTTTATTTTTATTTTTTTATTTTATTTTTTGGGTTTTTTTGAGACAGAGTTTCTCTGTGTACCTTTTGCACCTACCCGAGCACTCGCTCTATAGAACAGGCTGGCCTCGAACTCACAGAGATCTGCCTGCCTCTGCCTCCTGAGTCTTCCTTCCTGTCATTTTTTATTTTATATTTTTTTTTTTTAGATCAGTAGCCCAGGCCGGACTAGAACTTGCAATCTGCATGCTTCAATCTCCCAGGCAGCTAGGATTACAAGCTTTCTCTACTTCCCCACCAGCTGGGCCCCTTTGAGGAGCCAGGCTTCCTAATGTCTGGGAAAATCCAAGGATGCCTTTACTTTCATGTGAAGAAAACAAGAGTTAGAAAGACACTGGTAACTTATAAAAAGGACACAGCTGGCAGAAACTGCTCCAAGCCCCTTTTGAATGACTCTGAAGACGAGATTCTAACCCTTCCCTCTCTTCCTCCATCTCTCTCTCCTGCCTCGCCCCTTTTTCCCCACCTGGGACAGACACTCGGGCATAAGGCAGGAAAGGTTATTTTTAAACTTTCCTTGAAGCGACTGTGGCCCCAGGGACCCTGCCTACCTCTCTGGGAAGCTCCAGTACTCCCTCTCTGGGCTCCAAATGTGGAGGAGTAGGCTCGAGGCTAAGACCTTGGATGAGGGAAGGGTCTGCTGCCTTCCAGGGGCAGGGTGGATCCCAAGAGGTCTGACTACATGAGTTGGCTCCATCACTGGGCAGCAGAGGCATGACTCCTAGGCTCCAGGTGTCGCTCTGGCTCTGGCAGAGCCTGAAGGCCAAAGTACAGGACACTTTGGTCCTAGAGTGAGTCATTTCCGGGGTTCCCTGAAAACTCAGGATGAATCTGCAGGATCTGCAAGATTTCCCTGTGATGCTTTGGGACTGTTCTTCAAGAGGAACTTGAGAAAAGAGATGGGAAAAACAGAGGGTAACAGGGGAGAGACAAAATACTCAAACAACTATGCGAGCTTTCCTTTATATGTGACACCTCTATTTAAGTATGTGTATGTACACATGCGTGCATGAATACACTTGTGTTACATGAAAGCAGAAGACAGTATTTGGGAAAGGGAAGGAGCCAATGGTAGGAGGTAGGGCACATGGGAGGCAAACAGGAGCAAGGTATGGATACAGTGATAGAGATTATGTGTGAAAAATGTCATAAGGAAACCCACTATTTTGTACACTAACTTCAAAAACAATAACTAATAACAAAATAAGGAATGAGCTTATGCCTAGAGGGGGGAATCGAGCCTTTGAAAGTCCCTTGGTCTTGGGTCTTTGAACATGATTACCGGGAGAATCTGAAATATTTTTGGGTTTTTCCGCCATGAGTTCCCAATGGGTAGTCCTGGACCGTGGTGTGCAAGACCTTTAGTCCAGGGGTCAAGAGGAATTCTGGGAGTGTACTTGGAGGAAGGGCTCCCGTGATGCTTTGCGGTGGGTTTCTTTTGTGTGTGTGTGTGTGTGTGTGTGTATCTACAGGAAGTCTCATCAGGAATGCTCTGGGAAGGCAGGAGGACGGGGTCGGCCGCGACAGGCCCGCCGCCACAAGACGTGCCCCACCCCCCGGGAAATCGTCAAGGTTATGGCTTCCATGAATCTAGGGGTGCTGAGTGAAGGCAGCTGCAGCGAAGATGAACTACTGGAGAAATGTATTCAATGCTTCGGTGAGTAGCCCTATATGGGCCAGCCTTCTCAGCACTACCAGCCAGCTAAGTCCTCCTCTGTCAGCTTCACTGGCCCAGGTAGAGAGTGGGTAAGTAGGATGAACCTTCCTTATGTAAATGATGAGAGAGAGCTTGGGTAGAGTGGCTGTAGTTTTGAAGGTTGAGGCAAGAGGATAAAGTTCCAGCCCTAGCTAGGTGATAGGGTCTGTCTGTGCCTTTAATCAAAGAACTTGGGAGGCCGAGGCAGGCAGATCTCTGTGAATCTGAGCACAGCCTGGCCTAAATAGCTAGTTCCAAGCCAGCAAAGGCTACACAGTGATATCCTGCCTCAAAAAATAAATTGACAGAGGCTAGAGTGGCAGCTTAGTGATTAAAATCATGTACATCTCTTGCAGAGGGCCTGAATTTGGTTCCCAGTACCTCATCAGAAGGCTTACATCAACTTGTAACTCCAGCTCCAGGGAACCTGATACCCTGCACCCATGTGAACACCTCCCCCCCCCCATACACAATTTAAAACAATAAAAATAGGCCAGGCAGTGGTGGTGCACATCTTTATCCCAGCAGTCAGGAGGCAGGGGCAGGAGGATCTCCATGAGTTGGAGGCCAGCCTGGTCTACAGAGTGAGTTCCAGGACAGGTTCCAAAGCTACAGAGAAACCCTCTCTCTCAAAAAAAAAAAAAATCCTAATAAAAATATATCATAAAAGTTCAAAGAAAACATCTTGAGATGCTTGAAGGCAAGGAACCAGGCTCACGCTATCCCATGCACATGACAGATAAGGAAACTGAGGCATAAGGAAATCATATTGCTTGCCCACGTTTCTGCAGGGCATCACAGGTAGAACCAGCACCTGCAGCAGCCTGGTCACCCAGTTCCGGAGGCCATGGGTCTGATGCCCGGGACGCAGGCTGACGGACTCTTCCCCCCTCCTCCAGACTCAGCTGGCAGCCTCCGCCGTGGGGACCACATTCTCAAGATGGTGCTTACGATGCACAGCTGGGTGCTGCCATCCTCAGACTTCGCTGCCCGACTGCTGACCTCATATCCTCCTAGAACTGTGCTCTCTGTCTCCTGGGAGAAGGGAGGGGGGGAGTGGGCAAATGGGGTGCTGCAAAATAGCCTTGACTAGAACTCAAGTATCAGGAGGCTGCGAAAGATGCACAGGGGCTAAGACAGCTACAGATCTGTTACCTGGTCAGGTAGGACTGGGCCAAGACCCCCAATCCCACGAGCACCTCTCCAAGACCCCCTAATGTACTCAGCCCCTCTTTCTAAAATCTCATGCTATGCATCTATGTGATAACTCATGCTGGCATGAGATAGCCTGAGGTAAAAGGATTTCCTCTAGTCCAAGGCTAGCCTGAACTATATACAGTAAGGCCCCCATCTCAAAAAAAAAAAAAAAAAGTTACGCGATCCCTATCTTGTTTTAAAAAACGTCCCAAGTCCTCCCCATCCTCTGAATCACCCCTGTAAATCTTGATTCCAGAAACTCCAGAAATGCCCCAAGATCCCTATGTGTAGAATTCTTTAGCCTCAGGCCCCCTTACAGAGAGCTCTCTGCATCTACTGCCAGCCCAAGTTTACCTCCCACCTCTGACCCCTCCCAGGTACTGGCTGACCCATCACCCAGAGGCGGTGCGCCAGGAGCCACACCTAGAAGAAGTCATTAGTCGGTTTTGGGCCACTGTAGCTCAGGAGGGCAACTTGGCCCAAAGGAGCCTAAGAGATGACTCCAACCTGTGAGCCAGCCCTACCCTCCTTCCCTGCCCCCACCCTGTCCTGCCCACACCTTCCACATGGCCCAAACCCTCAACACTTGAGCCATTCCAATAACCTGTCCTTCTTGGCCTCCAGACTGAGTCCCAGAGGTCCCGGGCCACCACCTCTCATGAGCAGCCCAGGCCTGGGCAAGAAGCGCAAAGTGTCCTTGCTGTTTGATCACCTGGAGACGCGGGAGCTAGCTCAACACCTCACTTACCTCGAGTTCCGGTCCTTCCAGGCCATCACGGTGAGAATGCCTTTCCCAGCCTGCCCCCAGGCAGGACACAGAATGGGGGTGGGGTGGATGTGCCCCTGGCACAGGCACCCCTATGGTTGTAGGTCTTACTATTATTGCTATTACTGTTACTGTGCTAACAGCGCTGGTAACTGAACCCAGGGTCTTGCCTATGATGGGCAAGCTCTCTAACACTGAGCTACACCCCCAGCCCACACTATAAACTCTTTTTTGAAATGGGATCTCACTATGTAACCCAGGTTGGCTTGGAACTCACTCTGTAGATGAGGCTGACCTTGAACTCGGAGATCTGCCTGTCTCTGCCTCCTGAGAACTGGGGTTAAAGGTGAACACCACCACTCCTGGCCAGTGCTTTTTTTGGGGGGAGGGGGGCTAGAGACAGGGTTTCTCTGTAGCTTTGGAGGCTGTTCTGGAACTCGCTCTGTTGACCAGGCTGGCCTCGAACTCACAGAGATCCACTTGCCTCTGCATCCTGGGTACTGGGGCTAAAGGCGTTGTGGGACCACTCGTAGCCAGCGTTCTTATGTCTAAACTGGCGGCAGGAGGGCCTGAGACAATGAGTTAAGCTGGCTGGGTGCTAAGACCCTGAATCCAAATGCCATCCCTTCCTTCCTTCTAAAAGTTTTATTTTGCATGTTCATTTATCGTGTTTGTGAGACAATGGTTAGAGGACAACTTGTAGGAGTCAGTCTTCCCTTTCTGCCACTGTGTGAGTCCCAGGAATGAATGCGTCTCAGGATCGTTTATCTACTGAGCCCTTTTGGCAACCATTTCTTGTTTCCCACTCATTGACCTCCTGTCTGCCCTGTGTCTGGAGACAGGAGTCCCGTGGTCTCCAACAATGTAGTCAAGGAGGAATTTGAACTGTGGTCCACTCCCTCCACATCCTGAGTGCTAGCATTACAGATGTGTGCCAACACAATTGGTCCCTGCAGATCCAACCCAGGGCTTGGTGCATGCTAGGCAAGCATTCCACCAAGGAGCTATGTCTCCGGCCCTCTTTGGTCCCTTTCCTTCACCTAGCTAGCTTTGAACGGTTTCCCCACCTCTCAGGTACCCATTCTTAAGATAGAGGACCTACTACTTCATGGAGAGGTTGAGAGAAAGAAAAATCCATTTTAAAAGTGTTTATTTCAGTATGGTGTGGTGGCATAGGCCTCAAATGTGAGCCCTTGTGAGGCCGATGCAGGAGGATGCCTAGTTCAAGGCCAGCTTGGACTACATGAGACCCTGTCACAAAAATACTTATTGTGGTAAAATCACATAGTTAAGTGCTCAGAATATTTTATCATTTATTCATGCATTCACCAAGTATTTCAATTCATCTTGCCTCAGTTCCCTCATATGTAAAGATAAAAATTGCAACGAAGTCAGGTGGTCTTGGCTCATGCCTTTACTCCCAGCACTCCAGAGGCAGAGGCAGGCAGATCTCTGTGAGTTCGAGGCCAGCCAGTGCTACACAGAGAAAAACCAAAACCAAAACCAAAACAACAACAAAAAGCAAATCAGGGAATCGGGATATTAACAGTTCCTACCCCAGAGACAGTGCATGGTTAGAGTAAACACTATCTGCGGAAAACCTTTGAAAGTGTTGCATTTCACTTCCCTAAAGGCAACTGCTTCTGTGTTGAAATATATCAGCCGCTAACATCTAGACATTGCTTTGAAGGAAAGTGGGAATCTGGTTTCTTATATATTTGGTTGTGAGCCTAGCCTTTGATGGCTGAGCCATCTCTCCAGCCCAGGAATCTGGTTTCTTTAGGGGACACATTTCCAGATTTAGCTGGTGCGTGTGTGTGAGTGTGTGTCTGTATACATGTGCATGCACTCCTTGCTAACCATGCCCCAGTCAGGCCTATAGTAATGAGTATGCAGAAATGCAGACTGGAGGAACTCAAGGGGATGCTAGGGTCTCTAGAGGTTGGGACTGCCAGGAAGATGGCATGTGAGCACTATGACCCGCCCTGACCAGTCTTGTCCTCAGCCCCAAGATCTGCGGGGCTATGTTTTGCAGGGCTCAGTGAGGGGTTGTCCTGCTCTGGAAGGTTCTGTGGGTCTGAGCAATAGTGTGTCCCGGTGGGTGCAGGTCATGGTGCTGAGCCGTCCCGGGCCTGCACAGCGCGCCCAGGTACTGGACAAATTCATTCATGTGGCACAGGTAAGCTCCTGTCTGACTGCCCGGTCTTTCTGCTTGCTTCGCTCTCTCTCCTCTCTCTCTCTCTCTCTCTCTCTCCCTCTCCCTCTCTCTCTCCAGTCTTTCTGTATAGCTCTGACTGTCCTATAACTCACTCTGTAGACCGGGATGGCCTTGAACTAACTGAGATCTGCCTGCTTTCTGCCTCTCAAATGCTGGGCTTAAAGCCGTGCGCCACCACAGCTGACTTCTACTTGCTTCTGGGACTGTACGCTAACATTGGGACAGCTACCTGACCCTCTGTAGTGTCTATTGTCGCTGACCAAGGTGCCAGGCTTTCTTTGTTTGGTTGGTTTTAGATTTTCAAGACAGGGGTCATCTGGACTCCCCCACCCACCACACCATCACATTGCACCCCACATCACCTGAGCCCACACTCCTGGGATCTAGCTATGACCTTGATGTCACGTGCTTGGCTCCACCTGTTGGCTCTATAGTTAGGAATTAGCACTGTTTCCCAAGCCCAAGGTCAAATTCTATACCCCAGTGTAGAGAAAGGATCCTTTTCCTGGCTTCAGCTCTGTATGCCAGTCCTCAGCCCCCTAGGGTGTCTTTGAACAGTGTATCACTCTTAGTGATACTTTGATACAAAGTGACTTGGTCCAGTCTTTCTGGCCCTGACCTGGTGAGTCAGCCTCCCCTCCCTTCTGGGAAAAGGGAAGCCTGTGGTCTGGCCTCTTTGAATATCTCCAAAGCAAACTACGCCCTTCCTTATGAGCCTTCCAACACTTTGCTTCCTCTTGCTTGGCTATATCTGTCAGTACTGGGGATTGAACCCAGGTGCCTCCTGCACCCTAAATAAATCCTTTACCATTGAGCCACACCCCCAACCCCTCACTGGGGGATTCTAGGCAGGGGCTCTACCACTGAGCCACACCCCAGCCCCTCACTGGGGGATTCTAGGCAGGGGCTCCACCACTGAGCCACACTCCAGCCCCTCACTGGGGGATTCTAGGCAGGGGCTCCACCACTGAGCCACACCCCCAGCCCCTCACTGGGGGATTCTAGGCAGGGGCTCTACCACTGAACTATATATCTTGCTGGGCTCTTTAAACCTGGGAGCAGGTCTGGCATCAACCTGGAGCCTCTTGGCCTGAGCATCTTCTGCTTGGTCCCTCCTGCCTCGCCTCTCTCCACAGTGATGTCCACCCTTGAAGCTTAAACTAGAGAAAGAATTCTGATAAGCCTGAGGCTCTCACGCTTGTCACACATGTTTTAGTCTTCCGTGTCTCTCTTGTCCTATTCATCTATTCATTTCTACCAGTCATACCTTCACCTATGTGAGTTGGTTGACTGCCCCCCCCCCCGACTCCTGATAGGTTTCTGAACTCTCTACACCTGGCTGGCACATACCAGTCTCTCTCTGAATCTGGCCAACTCTGTACGACGCCTGGCACCTTGCCAGCCTGCCCCACCCATCTGCTCACACCTGGCCCACACTCACACATGACTGAAACCCCTAACTCAGCACCACAGCCTGCCACTGTCCCTCGGCACCTCTACCTCTGCCATTTCCTCCCTTCCAGAGGCTCCACCAGCTACAGAATTTCAACACACTGATGGCAGTCACGGGGGGCCTGTGCCATAGTTCCATCTCCAGGCTCAAGGACTCCCACAACCACCTGAGCCCTGATAGCACTAAGGTAACCCCCTTGGGCCCCCAAAGTCCAGAACGTTCATCTGCCCTGAACCTTCACACATTACTCCCTGACTTGTCAGTCCCTACTCAACGGCTCTGGAACCATCTTAGGACCTTTAATCCCAGATTCCATAGACCCCTGGCTATCGCTATTCTTTCTTCCTAGGCCACCTATGTGCTGAGCAATGTCCTGGCACCTCACTGGTGGGCTCTGGGCAGCTGCTCGCTCCTTGTGCATCTGGTCCAGATTTCTGGGGTCCAGAGTGCAAAGATGGGATGAATAGTTCTATCCCCACTCCAAGAGGCTCAGAACAGAATGTATGCATATATGTGTGTGTGTGTGTGTATATATATATATGCATATGTATGTGCGTGTGTGTATGTATATATACGCATATGTGTGTGTTTACGTGTGTATGCATGTATGTATATATACATATATGTGCATGCGTGCATGCGTGTGTGTTGGGATGGCTCCTCCTCAGCTTGAACCAGGTGCTTCCCAGTGCTGCTTCCTCCTGAAGGAGCACCCTCCTGTCAGCCGCGCTTTTCCGCCTGTGGGCTAACAGAGGACAGTGGAGCAGCCAACGCACGAGACTACCGTTTGCACATGGCTGAAGCCCGTGGTGATTTTATAACATCCTGTGCATTTCATATCCATAAAGTAGGAGTTAGGGGTCTGCACCGGCTGCTTTTTCATGCATTTCCTCTTTTCCTCTTCTGGAGAGGGGGGATGAAGGAGATGCTTTGTGAGAGGCATGTTGGACAGAGGCTTTCCTATCCCTAGCATGCACTTTCTACACAGGCCCTGCTGGAGCTGACAGAACTCCTCGCCTCCCACAACAACTATGCCTGCTACCGCCGCACCTGGGCCAGCTGTACTGGCTTCCGGTTGCCGGTACTAGGTATACACCTCAAGGACCTGGTGTCCCTGTATGAGGCCCATCCAGACAGGTTGCCAGATGGCCGAGTGTACCTGCCGAAGCTGAATAGCCTCTACCTGCGGCTGGAGGAGCTGGCAGAACTCCAGGGACAGCATCCCCCCTGCAGCGCCAATGAGGACCTGCTACACCTGCTGACGGTGAGCTGTGGGACCTGTGTCACCTGAGTTCCCCGAAGAACACAGGGGACCAATATTTAGAGTCCTGGGCTACTGGGGGTCTGGAGGATCAGGATAGTTAGTATGAAATGAGAGATTTTTGTTTGACTGGTTTGGTTTTTGCTATACTGGGAATTGAAACTAGGACCTCACTTACAATATGTGAGCACTCAACTGCTGAACAATATCCCCCTCACTGGGGGATTCTAGGCAGGGGCTCTACCACTGAGCCACGCCCCCAGCCCCTCACTGGGGGATTCTAGGCAGGGGCTCTACCACTGAGCCACGCCCCCAGCCCCTCACTGGGGGATTCTAGGCAGGGGCTCCACCACTGAGCCACTCCCCCTCCATGATGAGTTCTAGAGCAAGTTTTTCCACCACCAAGCTACATCTCCTTCCCAAGCATCTTCCTTCCCCTTTAATATTTATTTTAAGGTCAGGTCTCACAGTGTAGCTCAGGCCAGGCAAAATTTTCTTGCCTGCAAAAATTTCATTGCCTGCAAAGCAAGGACACGAAAGGGACCCACTTCAGAGTGTGGCTAAGAAGAAACAATCAGTAATGTAGTAGGAAGTAATTAAAATAGTATCTGAGATGGGTATGGTGGCTCACACCTTTAATAATCCCAGCATTCCAGAGAATGAGAGTCAAGGCCAGCCTGGTCTACCTGTGTCAAAGGAAACGAAAAAGCAGAACCTGGAACAAGATGAGCACAGTTTGTCCTGACGCACGGACCTGCTCCAGGCCCCTGGATGGCTCTGGGCTTTTGTGTCCCTGCACCAGCAAGGAGCTGGGGATGCCATGCTGTAGTAGAGCGCTTGCCTAGCAAGTGAGAGGCTCCGTGTGTAGAGAGGTCTGTCCTTTCCTTCTCTGTGGAAAGAAAAACAAAACAAAATAACCCAATGTCTGAGCTCCCTACATCAACGGTCTCAAGCTTCCAGGGCGTGGCGTAGCTGGGGGCGGGACCAGAAGCCCTGATGGGTGTTGATTACATCCACCCCAAATTCAGGAGGCAGAGGCAAGACGATCATGAGCTTCAGGCCAGCCTGGTCCATACAGTGAGTTCCAGGCCAGCCAGAGCTACATAGTGAGATCCTGTCCCCAAAAGCAACAAGAAAAAAAAATAAAGTGGAGAGAAATTAAGGAAGACAACATTGACCTCAGAAGCCACATGCATGTGAGCCCATGTGCCTGCACATATATATGTGCCTGCCACACATACACACACAAACACACACACAAGCAAGAGCTAAGGATGTAAGTCAGCAGTGCAACTCGTTTGCTTGTGTTTTGCTTTGTTTTGTTGAGACAGGGTCTTACTATATGATGTAGACCAGGCTAGCTCTAAACTGGTGACATTCCTCTCCATCCCCTGCCTACAACACACTATGATTCAGGCAAGTTCACCATGCCCAGAGAGTAGCAGAGCCTGTTCAAGACCCTTAGAAGTTTGGCCCTTAGATGTATGTATAAGACCTTCCAGGTCCTCAGCTTACAACCCCACTACATGGCTGCCTTTATTGTGCTCATTTCCTGGGTCAGGAAGGTTGAGACGGTGACAAATCCTGATGATTGGGTAGTGTAAGACTGAAAAGTTGACTTCATAGACCCCGAGACAAGGCCATGCATAATTTTTGTCAGGACCCAGTGGAAACTGGCAATATGTGGCTCATTGTTAAATTCTAAACGAGAACTCAGCAGGGTGTGCTGATGCATTCCTGAAATCCTAGCATCCAGCAGGCTAAAAGAGGAAGCTCGTGAACTCCCCACCAGCCTGGGCTATGTGATCAAACTGTCTCAAAAGGGCGGACGGGGAATGGATGTGAGGGATGGCTCAGTGGGTAGCTCACAGCTCCCTGCAACTCCAACGCCTTTCCCGGTCTCTGTGGGCACCTGCTCATACATGGCACACACACACACACACAGACACAATTGTCCATAAAGGCCTCGGTGGGAGCAATGCACTTGTGGATTTTGGAGGGAACAGAGTGGAGGTGACAGGTGTGGCAGAGCAGGTCCAAGAGTCTCTAGGGGTCTGAGAAGAGGATGGGGAAGCAGGGTCCAGGCAGAGATCTGGAGGAGGAACTTTGCTGCCCTGTCCATCCCCAGCTCTCCCTGGATCTCTTCTACACCGAAGATGAGATCTACGAGCTTTCCTATGCCCGGGAACCACGTTGTCCCAAGAGTCTGGTGAGCCTTGCCTCCCGACCTCTGGCCCCACCCCACCCCCACCCCTGCTATGCTTCAGCTGTGTTCCTCTGCGTCTTTCTAGCCACCCTCCCCTTACAAAGCACCTCTGGTCGTGGAGTGGGCCCATGGTGTGACACCAAAGCCAGACAGCGTGACCCTGGGTCGGCATGTAGAACAGCTGGTGGCGGTAAGGAGGGACCTGCGGCCCCTGTGGAGGGATTCCAGGTGGCAAGTCTGGAGGAAGCCAAGCCCACCTGGGTGCCTTGTCCTTACTCTACTCTCTGTGTCCCTCTCAAGTCTGTGTTCAAGAACTATGACCCAGAAGGACGTGGCACCATCTCTCTGGAGGACTTTGAGCGTCTGTCAGGCAACTTCCCCTTTGCCTGCCACGGGCTTCACCCACCTCCCCGCCACGGGTAAGAGGCCCTGGCTCCTGGATCTTCCCCAAACAAGGATCCTGGACATGCCACGAGAGGCCAGTCATGCTGAGGTGTGGCCTTTGCCCTGTAGGAGTGGCTCCTTCAGCAGAGAGGAGCTGTCGGAATACCTGCTCCGTGCCAGCGCCATCTGCTCCAAGCTGGGCCTGGCCTTCCTGCACACCTTCCACGAGGTCACCTTCCGCAAGCCCACCTTCTGTCACAGCTGCAGCGGCTTCGTGAGCACTTAGCCCTGTTAGCACCCTTGGGCCCTGTCTCCCTGGATTAGCTCCTCAATGGGGGGTGGGGAGGAGACTTCCAGAAATGCCCCAGCCTCAGATAGTCCACGGTTCATAAAGGCACCAAAAACTGGCATTCCTGTATTCTCTGTACTTACCAAACTCTACAAGACAGCGGGTAACCTTTACCTAGACAGTCAGCAAGCTGTGAATACTATCCAAAGCCATGAGCAATTTCCACAACACTGGATAATACGCAGACCTGGGTAGATTGCACTGGGCACGGTAGTGCACCAGAATCCAGGAGTTGCATAGTGAGTTTGAGGCCAGCCTGGGATCTATGAGACCCTGTCTTTAAAAAACAGTAAAATAAGATTGTTTTTAATTTAAATTAAAAAATTAATTAAAAAAAAAAAAAGTAACATAGCTGGGCATGATGGCGCACGCCGTTAGTCCCAGCACTCAGGAGGCAGGGGCAGGCTGATTTCTCAGTTTGAGGCCAATCTGGACTACCAAGTGAGTTCCAGGGTTCCAGGACTACACACACTACACACAGACAGACATCCTGTCTTAGAAAAAAAAAAAAAAAAAAAAAAGCTGGAGAGATGGCTCAGCAAGTAACATCACTTGGCTGCTCTTGCTGAGGGACTGGATTTAGTTCCCAATACCGGGCAGCTAACAATTGCCTGTGATTCTAGTTACAGGGGATCCAGTACCCTGTTTTTGCCTCTGAGCGTACCTACATACATGTGTTGCACATACAGACAAGTGACATACATACATATACTTAAATACTTCTAAAAAAAAAAGATGATAGTAATAGCTAGGCCTAATGGTCCATTCTTGTCATTCCAGCACTTAGGAGGCTGAAGAAGGAGGATTTCCATGAGTTTGAAACCAGCCTGAGCTGCAAAGGGAGCTCTAGACCAGTTTCACATGCAAACAGAGTCAGACCTTGTCTCAAAAAGCTAAAACAGGCCAGCATAGTAGCTTATCAGGCAAAGCTGCTTGCAGCTCAGCCCAGAAACCCAAAATCTAGCCCCACGACCCACATCAAGGTTGGAGAACTCACTCTGTTTAAGTCATTCTCTGACCTCAACATGTGCTGTGGCATGTGCTCACAGACAACAGCCACACATGTACACATGCCAAGCAATAATACAACAAAAACTTAAAAGAAGATACTTAAACTATTTTTCAAAGACCAGCATAACAAATAATAAAGCAAACATGGCCTCTAGGTAGTAGGATGGTGCACCTTTAATGGCAGCATCTAAGAGGCAGTGGCAGGGAGATGTCTGAACTTCAGGTCAGCCAGGGCCACATAGAGAAACCTGGTCCCCAACATCATTCTCTGACCCTGGACCACCCAAAGCTTTCATTTCCAAGTTAAGGACATCTTTTATTCTTGTTTTGTTTTCTCTCAAATTTGGCTCTCTGAAACAGGGTCTTCCCATGTAGCTCAGGCTGGCTTCAAATTCATTTCACAGGGAAAGGGTGATAGTTCAGTGGTAAAGACTGCTTGCTGCCCTTATGCAAGTTCCTGGGTTCAGTCCTCAGAACACACACACACACACACACACACACACACACACACACACACACTTAAATGGATTGTGTAACCCAGGCTTGACTCTTAATTCTTAGTCTTGCCTCAGCCTCTTGGGATTACAGGTATGTGTCACTATACCTGGCTCCAAATTCTTGGTAGTGGACAAATCTCAACCATCAAATCAAAACTAATTCATAGATCTCACCGTTTCTTTACTGCTAGGTCTGCATTTGACATAGCCCATGAGCCAGGCAGGTCCAGGATCTGGAGAGAGACACTGTAATGACACAAACAGCCCCTACCCACAGACAGTACATTTTTGTTAACTCAGAAGTTTACCCAGTTCTAGTATCCTACACGATTCCCTGAGTTTGAGATCATCTTCAAGTTGCTATAATTTTGGTTAATCTCAAGAAATTTCAAAACCTGTTGGCTTCCATCCTCTCCCGTGCTCCCTCCTCTAGTCCCGCTAACCAGTCCTCCTTTCTTTCTTCAGCTCTGGGGTGTCACCAAGCAAGGTTACCGCTGTCAGGGTAAGTGAGAGGGAGGGACTATCCTCCTGCAGGCTGGAAGAATGAGGTGTCTGATAGTTCCTCCCCCGCAGACTGTGGGCTGTGTTGTCACAAACACTGCAAGGATCAAGTAAGAGCAGCGTGCAAGAAGAGGCCGGAGACGAAGGGTGACCCTGGTCCCCCAGGAGCACCTGTCCCAGCCACGACACTTCCTCCTGCCAGCTGCGGTAAGACCCAGGCAGAGCACCATACCTGGGAGGAGGGCCCAGAGGATGGGGTCCATGCCTGAAGCCATAGAGTCCTCCCTGGCACCGTCACATCTCTCTCTGCCACCCATCACATCACAAACAGGCTCCGAGGACAGTCTCTCCTGTGCGCTGTCCCTGGATGCTGAGTCGGGTAGCTGCCTTCGCCATGCTTGGACCCAGACGGAGCCCTCACACTCTCCCTGGGAGACGGAGACGGTAAGGCATCCTCGGCTGGACTCAGGAGAGGCAGCGTTTGCCTGGGAGTCAGAGGAAAGGGAAACCCTATAAAAAACCCTCAGTCATCTGGATGGGAGGTGAGAGACACCGGCTGATGGGGGCTGGGGTGGAAAGAAAAAATAACTTTTTTCTTTTTTGAGATGGTGTCTCACTATGTGTCCTATTTGGCTTTCTGTTGCTGTGATAAAACAGTGGCCAAAGTCAACTTGGGCAAGAAGGGGTTTATTTGACTTGCACTTCCCTGTCATAGTCCATTTGAGGAGGAAGTCAGGCAGGAACCTGGAGGCAGGAGAGCATGGGGAGTGCCGCTTGCTTGCTCGCTCCCCGTAGCTTGCTCACCTTCCTTCCTTATGCAGCCCAGGGCCACCTACACCCGTGTGTGGGTGGCCCTTCCATCCCACTTCAGTCATTAGTCACGAAAATGGTCAGTCTGATGGAAGCAATTCCTCAACTGATGTTTCCTCTTCCCAGGGGACTTTAGTTTGTGTCAAGATGGCAAAACCTAACCAACTAACTCACTGTGTAACCAGGCTGGCCTCAGACTCACAATCATCTTGCCTTCACTTTCCAGAGTGTTGAGATTATAGGCACGAGCCACCATGCCCAGTGAACACTGACTGGTTTTTAGTGGTGATGGAAATAATGAAGTCATAATACACTCAGGTGACAAAGGTGGATAGCTACTAGCACAGAAACAAAGACCTAGAAACAAACGAACAAAAAAAAAAAAAAAAAAAGGCTAGGCATGGCTGCTCGAACCTATCTTTCTAGTGCTGAAGAGGCTGAGAAAGAATAGCCACAGCTTCACCTACATGGTGAAGATCCAGGCCAGACTGTCATAGTGAGAGACCCTGTCAACAATAAATAGGAGCACTGGCCTACCCAGGAGTCCTTGGCATGCGCTCCAGGGTCAGGGTCAGCAGCATCCATATGGTGGAACATGATGTCACCCCCCATCCCTCCCCCCACACAAATTAGGTCAAATATGTCAGGAGCTACAATAAATATAATTGGAACAATTTCCAGTCCTGAAAGGCAGAGATTTCATCTGAAGTATTGGTTCATTTAGCCATAATCTGAGTGAGACCCTGGTCCTGGCTGTGAGCTGTCCCCTAGAGAAATGAAAGGCCCCTCACTGTGTGTTCTTCCTCCCTCCAGGTGCCCTTCCCAGCACAGGTTTCACCATCCAAAGCTTCCTCGGAGCCCAATGCCTGAACGCCATCTGGAGTCCTTTCCCTCAGTCCCTCAGCCGCTGTCTCGTCCACACGGCCTCTGACAAAGCACCAACCAATCATCTTCTACCCTAGAAAAAGTTGTGTCGCACTGGCCGTCAGTCCTTTCCCCTCACTTAGCATCTTTGGCTCTGTGTTGGATGAATTTGCATTCCACTCATGTCATCACCCCAACTCCTTACTTCCCAGATAAGGAGACTGGCGCTCAAAGCGGGAGGCGAGGCTCACGCTGTTTCCAAACTGAAGCGCTGAGCCAGTGGACCACAGTGACTGTTGGCACAGAGCTGGAAGTTGTGAGGACAGAGGGGACAGAGTTCTAACCAATGTCAGGGAAGAGGCTGGTGTGGGCAGTGTGTGAAATACCTTCCTCTGCTTGGGGCCTCCCGCAGCTTGCTCAAGGTAAAACCCAGGCCTACGGTTTATGAAGCCATCCACGTCTCACCTTCTTACTCATCCTCTTCCACCGACACTGGTCTCTATTTCTAGAACATGCTCTGAAACGCCACCTTGGGCCTTTGCAGTAGTGGTTTCCTTTACCTGGAATGCCTTTGGCCAGAGGTCTTCATGGCTCACCTGCTCCAGGGCTTCGCTTAAGTGGCATCCCCTTGGTGTGGCCCTCCTGACCTCCAAGATGTCACACACTTGTTGTGACACCCCCTCCTGCTTTATTTTTCCCCATGGTACTTTGGTCTCTACCAAACTAGACATGTCACCTGTTTATCTTGTTGAATGTCTGCTCTTCCTCACCGGGAAGAGCTCCCAAAAGGCAGAGACGTTTATCTGCATCATCCCGCTGTGTTCCAGCTGCCTAGCACCTGTAAAGTATGTGTTCAATGCTTCACTGTCTTTCCCCACACCCACGTGAAAAGCAAAAGGCTTATCCCGACCTGCCCCTCCACAAGCGCACACACCCTTGAGCTGGTCCCTACAGAAACAGATCCTGGAATGATCAAAAGAATTAAATTTATTTTCCAGACAACATGGTTCAAGGTGTTGAATGGTAGGTGTTTAGGGCTTCTACAACAGAGAATGCTGGGCTTAGGTGCCAAGGAAGTGACCCTCAAAGATGGCCAGTGACATCAGAACCTGGCAGAATCCGACCGACCCTCCAAGGCCCTTTACTTCTTCTTCTTTCTTCGACCCCAGCGCTGTGGGCCAGCCTTCCCGCTTCCTCCATTTTCCCTTCGGCTCTTCCAGGCAGGCATGGGTGCCTCCAGCTCATCTGGGCGCCCCCCACGGTCTGGCACATCACCCATAATCACCTGAGAATTGATTAGACAGAAGTCTCAGTAGGTTAAAAAAAAAAAAAAAAAAAAAGAGTTGGTTGTGCTGGAGTGCCCCACCATCCTAGCATTTAGGAGTGGAAGAAGATTGGGAGTCCAAGGCCAACCTCTTGGCTACATAGTGAGTTAGCTTCAGGGCTAGCTGGGCTACATGAGACTATTTCCCCCTTCCCCTCCCCCACCAAAAAAAGAAAGAGAATTTCCCTCTATCTGCTATAGAGAACGGTTGGTTTGAGGCCAGGAACCAGGGAGAACCCCGGACCAGGAGAAACCCCAGAAGGATGCCAGACTATCTCCTGCCCGATGTATGCCCACCTTGTTGATGGCACAGCTGGTCCCTTGGCGGGCAGCCACACTGGTAGCTGGGACCAGACGGGAAAGGTCAGCTCGAGCAGCCAGGACATGTGCGACAGAGACATCAGATTCTGGAGTCAGTCGTCCTCGGATTGGGAACAGCACTGCCTTCATAGCCTCTCCTTTGCCCTGGAGAAGGGGGAAGGGCATCCATGGAGAAGGTGCCCGAGGGCTCATCCCCACTTGGGCTCTGTATGCTTTGAAGGGAGTTATTCTGCAAGGCACACATCCTGTGATGGACAGCTGAGTGTGGTGGCATAAGAACAGTCATCTCAGTACAAGGGGAGTAGAGACTAAAGGATCAGGAGTTCAAGGTCACCCTCAGCCACATGGCAAGAGGCAAAAATAGCTGGGCAGTGGGTGGTGGTAGCAGCGCACACCTTTAAACCTAGCACTTGGGAGACGGGGCAGGCAGATCACTGTGAGTTTGAGGCCAGACTAGTCTATTACACAGAGACACCCTGTCTTGCAGGGAGGGGGAAGGCAAAACCAAACTCTTTAAAATGGTTGACCATGTAAGAGATGGAGCCTAGATGACAATATCAAGGTCAAAGGGACACTGACCTTGGAGGAGATTCATGCAATTCCCACAAGCTGCCCAAGCTTACATGTATAAGCCAAAATGAACCTAATTTTCCTTATAAAGTACCCAGTTTCTGGTACCTTGTATTAGATAGGCTTACTGTCCATTTTATTATGCAGGGGAATAGTTCTGAGAACCCTCCCAGCTGCGCGTTCTAGAATGCCCTGGAGGCCCTGAGAGTCTAGAAGTCTTGAACCCTGTAAGACTCTAAAGTATGGACTAGAGAGATGGCTCAACAGTTAAGAGAACGCACTGCTCTTGCTGGGGAACAAAGTCAAGCGCTCAGCACCCACAGGCGAACTTACAACCCTCTGTAACTCAAGTTCCAAGGGATCTGACGCCCTTTCACCTGCAAGCACCAGCCATGCACATGTTACATACATACACACATACATACACACACGTATAAAAAAAATCACATAAAATAAAAATGAATAAATATTTTTTAAAAAGATTCTAGGGGCTGGAGAGGTGGCTCAGAGGTTAAGAGCACTGGCTGCTCTTCCAGAGGTCCTGAGTTCAATTCTCAGCACCCACATGGTGGCTCACAACCATCTGTGATAGATCTGATGCCCTCTTCTGGCCTGCAGGGGATACATGAAGGCAGAATGTTCTATACCTAATAAATAAATAAATCTTAAAAAAAAAAAAAAAAAGATTCTAAAATGTGGGCTGCAGAAGATGGTTAAGAGAACTTCCTGCTCTTTGAGCAGACCCGACTTCAACTCCCGGTACCCACATGGGGGCTCACAACCATCTCTATCTCTGGTTCCAAGGGATCTGACACACCCTTCTGACGTCCGTGAATACCACACACACATGACACACATACACATATTAGCAAAACACATCAAATATCTTAAAAAAATCTTAAAAGATTCTAAAGTAGTCTGGGCTTGGGCATTCCCAAGAGGGTACTAACTGTCGCCCCGACCCTCTGCCCTGCTGCGCTTCCCTAACGGCTGCTCATTCCTGCTAAGACCCCCACACCTCTGCCCGGCCCCACACCTCTGCCCGGCCCCACACCTCTGCCCGGTCCCACACACCTCTGCCCGGTCCCACACACCTCTGCCCGGTCCCACACACCTCTGCCCGGTCCCACACCTCTGCCCGGTCACCACACCTCTGCCCGGTCCCACACCTCTGCCCGGTCCCACACCTCTGCCCGGTCCCACACACCTCTGCCCGGTCCCACACACCTCTGCCCGGCCCCACACACCTCTGCCCGGTCCCACACACCTCTGCCCGGTCCCACACCTCTGCCCGGTCACCACACCTCTGCCCGGTCCCACACCTCTGCCCGGCCCCACACCTCTGCCCGGCCCCACACCTCTGCCCGGTCCCCACACCTCTGCCCGGTCCCACACACCTCTGCCCGGCCCCACACACCTCTGCCCGGTCCCACACCTCTGCCCGGCCCCACACCTCTGCCCGGCCCCACACCTCTGCCCGGTCACCCCAGTGGAAAGCAGACGTTGTAAGGTCCAGACGCTTCAGGAGGAGGCAGCGGCGGCAGCAGTACTGTTCTGTCAGGCTTTGGGACAGAGACCCCAGGGCTTCCTGGAAGAACAGGTCTGGGTCACACCAAGGGTCCCATCTCTGGGTGAGGATACTGTTCACGGCCATCTATCTACACATGCTCTTACCCATTGTGATGTGTCCAGTGGGGAGTGAAGGAGGGGCTGCATGGACTCTGGGGGCAGGGAAGGCAGCAGCTCAGAGACCTGGTAGAAGAAATCACCAGAAGCCAGGGGGGCACAAACAGAATGCACCTTTTGGGGTTTTGCTTTGCTTTGTTTTTTGAGGCAGGGTTTCTCTGTGTAGCCTTGGCTGTCCTGGAACTCGCTCTGTACTGTGTACCATCACCAGGATGGACCTTCTTAAGGACTCTGGTTCTCCTCAGCCTTATGAACCCAGGTCTCAGAAGCAACAATACCTGTTGGGTTATTTTCTTAACTGCTATCTAAAATAAGCCTGCCATGCCTGCTGTGAGCAATGCCAACCCTGGGCAGATGGACCTCGGCTGTATACAAAAACAAAATAAAGGGGCTGGAGAGATGTCTCAGTGGTTAAGAACACTGACTGCTCTTCCAGGGGACCAGGGGTTCAATTCCCAGAACCCAAATGGCAGCTCACAACTGTAATTCCAATTCCAGGGCTTCTGACACCCTCACACAGACATGCCTGCAGGAAAAATACCAGTGTGCACAAAGCAAAAATATAAATAAACAACAAAATACAATAAAATAGCTGAACAAGCCAGAAACGTGCCAGTAAATAGTGTTCCTCCATGGTCTCAACTTCACTTACTCAAGGATGGGCTGTAACTTATAAACTGAAACCAATCCCTTCCTCTCCACACTGGATTTGGTCAGTGTTTTATCACAGCAAAAAGCAAATTAGAACAAACAGCGACCAGAGTTCTAAAATGGTCTTGGGCCATTCTTTCTAGAGATGGTTTTGAAGACAGGATCCTCCCCCCCCCCCAAGTAAGGTAGCTCAAGAGGGGGTTCTTAATCTCTACCTTGTCGTGAAACTCCCGAAGTAGCTGGCTGGCCAGGGTTCCACGTACGGGTCTAGGCAGCGCCAGTGCTTGAAGAGTTAGCATCAGCTCCTGAACCAAGCCATTTCCCTCTTTTGTCTCTTCTCCAGTGGCCTGCACGGGGCTAGCATCTAGCCGGAGCCGCAGATGCAAGAGACGGGCAGCCTGGAGCTCCGAGCAAAGAAACCCTGAAAATAGGAACAGATCCCTGCCCAGCTAGAACCTTGGCCCCTCCCCCAGACCAAGCCTCACCCACTTCAAGGCTGCAGTTCCTCCTCCACCTAATTCAACCCATTAAAGCTTTCAGAGAGAGGCCTTCATCAGCCCTAGTCCGACCGCGCCTACCTGCGGCCTTCGACACTCATTTCAAAGCTTTGGCCCCAGAGAGCTCAGGCCCCGCCCACTCCCGAGGCCCCGCCCACTCCCGCCTCCCGGGGCCTTCCAGGCTCACGCAGCAGGCGCAGGCCGCCGCCGGGCTCCCGCAGCACAGCGGCGCAGTTTCCGCCGCAGAGCGCGCGATCCGGGCAGTGCAACGCCCGCAGCAGGCCGGCCAACTGCCGCAGGAATTCGTCCTCTGCGTCCGGGCCTGCGGGAGGAGGAAGCCATCAAGGGAGCGGCGGGAGCCGCGGCTCCACCCGCCGTCCGCCCAGATCCTCACGCACCGTGGCCAGCGCCCAGCACTACGGTGCCCTCCTCTTGCCTCTCCAGAGCTCCCAGAGCCGTCAGCTCGGCCGCCAGCCGCGCGCACAGCGCCCTGAAGTCCGCACACGCGAGGCCCCGAGACGCCTCCTCCGGGAGGGCACCGTACCTGCAGGCGGCGGGGCGCGTCAGTGCGTTCCTCTGCGTCCGCGCCCCGAGACGAGCGTGCCCGTCCCGTGCCCCCAACCACACCGCCAACCCCTTACCCCAAAGTCAGCAGGTCGCCGGCCACCGTGGCCCCATCCATGGGAGCTTCGCTTGGGGACCCCAGGCGCGCACCCCCTTCCGCCTGGGACAGGCTCCGCCCCCGAGGGCGCGTCCTCCCGCCCTCCCGAAGTCTCCATCCAATCACATTCTCGTGCGAAGGAGCTTCGGCGCTCCGATTGGATTGGTAGCCCGCCACGCGCGCCCCTCAGGGAACTCGTCCAGGGTTGTAAATTTTACAGTTTGAGATAAGGATACCCGAGGTCGCGGAAGGCTTGAATGGCTCTACTCTCGGGAACATGAAAGCAAAAGGCCTGTTTCCCTTTCCCACTCTCTGCTTTATAAAATTAAATTTGTTGTTTTTGAGGCAGGGTCTCGATATGTTTGTTTGTAGTTCACCCTGGCATGTTGGTCCTGCTTCCCTCCTTCCTTGTAAGGTTAACAGGCCTCTCTAGGAGAAACAGGCGCCATTGAGAAACTGAATCCTAGGGGAGAGGCAAGCAGGCAGGCCGGCCTTGGGTGTGACTTGGCCATTCACCAGCACATGTTCTGCCAAGTTGGTTTTCCATCTATGTAACTGGGGTCCTAGTAATGATCCTTTAAATTCTGTGTGCATGGTTGTTTTGCCTGCATGTGTGTATGTGAACCTCACGTGTGCTCTGTGCCCATGGAAGTCAGAAGGCGGCATAGGATCCTCCACAAGTCGAGTTTCGGGTGGTTGTGAACAGCCATGTGGGTGCTGCGAACTGAACCCAAGTCTTCTTCTGTAAGAGCGAGTGCTCTTAACCACTTAGCCACCACACCAGCAAAATGGGGCCTCACTATGTATTCCAGGCTGACCTTCAACTGAAGATGCACCTCTCTGCCTCCTGAGGTCTGGCACTACAAGTTTATGCCACACCCGATCTTTCAAACACTCACTCTTAAAGACATCTGTGAAGATTAGTTGTATTAATCAACTTATGTGAAATATGCTTCAAAATCACATAGGGCTCAATACATCCTCAGTTAAGAATAATGTAAAGTGGTAGCCCACGCCTTTAATCCCAGCACCCAGGAGGCAGAGGCAGGCGGATCTGTGAGTTCTAGGCCAGCCTGGTCTACAGAGTGAGTTTCAAGACAGCCAGGGCTACACAGAGATACCCTATCCTAAAAAACAATAAGTGGGTGGCTGGAGACAAGGCCTAACTGTTAAGAGCACTTTTCAAAGGTCAGTTCCTTGCACTGATCTCCAGAGGCTCATTAGCACCAGAGGACCCACCATACACTTCTGGCCTCTTTGAGCACCCCTACACACACACACACACACACACACACACCTGTTTAAAGCCAGGTCTGGTGTCTTAAACCTGTGTTCCCATAGGAAGATGGCCCCAAGTTCATGTGTGGGTTAGCTCACAACCACTTGTATCTTCAGCTCACATGCATGTACCCACAAATAAAAATCTTTTGCCAAAAAAAAAAACCTGGGCTACTAGCCTTGACTCCCTTTTTCCTTTCCATACAGGGGCCTTAACTCAGGCCATTGCTCATGCCAAGCATGTGTTTGACCACAGAGCTTTATTCCCAGCTTGCTTTTCAACTCCAGATATAGATCTATGCCGTCAGGCTGGAGAGACGGCTCAGCGAGCGCTTGTTGCTCTAATGGAGGACCTGGGTTCCCAGCAACCATAATGGCTCACAGCTGCACCCCCAGTTCCAGGGGATCTGATGCCAGGCAACCAGGTGGCACACATACACACGTATATGGAAGCAAACACTCATAAAAAAAAAAAAAAACCTACGAACTCTTTCAAAGCATCTATTATCCCCCCCCCACTTCTCCACAGGGAGCAGCTTCCTGCCAGCTTGTCCCCTTCGCCAGCAGTATTCGCCACACAGCTACAGCTAGCCTTTGAAAATCCAAATCATCCCCCCCCCAGGCTTCCCGTGGCCCCTCCTCACTCAGGGTCACAAAGCCCATACAATGTCATGAGAAGCTGGGACCACCCTGTCACCGTCCCAGCCCCTTGTATTCCCCTTGCTTAACTCCACTCCCAACTTAGCAGGTGTATCCCTGCCTTAGTGATGGGTGCGGGCTGAACCCTGCACACACCCACAGAACCCTCATCTGCAGTTTTATTCAAAGGCCTTTGTCCACTGCAGTGCCACCAGCAACTACAGGGCTGGACGCATGCTAGGTGTTTAGTAACAAAAGACAGCTAGGTGGTCAGTTAGGGACTAACAGATGTAAAAGGAAAGAACGGGAGCCCAGCACTTATGGCCAACAAGCGACAGGACGCACCAATGCAAAATAAGACCAGGCCAAGACACTGTCACAGACATTTCTTGGAGCAGATCTCAAGCCCCCCCCCAATGACAAGGTTGGGTCTTTTGCGCCCCCCCCCATGCTCCCTCCACTTCAGCCTGCACTGACACTAACAATATCGAGGTCACAGACTGGCTTGGAATCATGATCAGGAAGATAAATGTTGGCGTGCCTCCCCCAAAATCTGGGGGGCAAGCATCCAATCTGAGAGGCAAGCAGCTGGAAAATTGGGGGGCTCCAGGGTCTGAGGTCTCCCTGGCTTCCAGGGTTCAGCCCTCCACGCACCCCAGGTATGGGGGCAATGAAAGGTAATCATGGATCAGAGGTGGGTGTCAGCAGGGGACAGGGCTGGGGACCTGGGAGAGGGGGTACTGGGAGATGGAGACCAGGGAACCTTCCCCAGTCCCCACTGCTTAATCTGAAGATCTCACAGCACCATACAGCACTCTGGTCCCCCATCCCACCCCTTCCCAAAACGAGGTAGGTTAAGAATGGAGCTTCCCCTGCTCACCATGGAAGGGGGAGACCGAGGCACAGAGAGGGGGCTGGGGACCCAGGCTGCCCCAGCCCCCAGTTACCCCGCCCTCAGCTCTGGTGGGTCTGACAGTGACGAGAGCTGGACGGAGTGGGGAATGGGAGGGACACCCCCGTCCCCCCCCCCCATTTTCTCTCACCGTCCCAGGGTCTGGTTGGGAGAGCTGAATCACAGGTTCCGGATACAATAAATAGTTAATAATTTAAAGAAAGTGACACAAATATTAATCCCTTGAGTCCCCCAAGGCCACCCAAGCCTGGGTAAGAAGGAATGGTTATGTGCACATTCCCAGGTACTTAGGGCCAGTTGTAGGTCCTAAGCCCATAATCCATCAAGACTGCGTTGGCTCGGAGACCTTGGTTGCCCTATCCAGTACACCAGATCCTAGGTACAGTGAACACCCCATTCTTGGAGAAAAGAGGTTGTGGCACCCCTTTTCTCCAGGAGAACACACAGGGAAGTGCCATGAAACAGTGCCAAGCGTTCCAGAGCCATTCCCAACTGAGACAAAGGGGGCTAGCGAGAGATGGATCTGAACTAGGGGTTACGGCGTGGGAGACTTGCAAGGTTAGGGATGGCAGGGCCTTCTGTGGAGCAGTAGCGAGCCCCAAAGGTACTGTGGTACAAAATAGAGAAGGGTAGGCCTTCCTCACATGATCCTGCTACCTGCCTCTGCTCAGCAGCCTGTACAATCCTGTGGCAAACCAGGCCCTAGAGGTGGGAGAGGGAAACTCATAGGGTCCAGGATTCCAGCAGTCTGAATGCACACTGGCACAAGAGTCCCCGGGAAAAAGAGGAAATCTGGATGTTGCCGGACTTTGCTGTCCGGTGGGCCTCTGGATGACTGGACTCAGGGGGATTGTGTGGTGAAGTATTTGAGGGCTCCATCTGTCTAGAAGTCTATCAAATCTGGCATCTAAAGGTTCTAAGGCCTTGGGGCATCTTGCTTCTGAACATCTCTGGTATAGAGGGACCAAGGTCTCAGGCCAAAAACAATCTCAAGATTGTGGGGGCTTGAACCCTGCACCTAGGGGTCGATTGGCGTCTCAGTCTTAGACCCAGTGCTCTGAAAGCACCTTGGAGTTGCTCAGAGCTGAGTCAAGGGATGAAGGAGAGGCCTGCATTACCATGAGCACTGCATCTTCTGAGATCCAGGCTCCCACCCAGCTGGATGGGGATTGGGAAACATTGATAGAAGCTATGTTTCCAGAACATTTGGATTCTTAAAAGTCAGGCTCCAGGAAAACCAGAAGGCTATCTAAGCACTTGAAACCAGTGCATTGGGCCCAAGGTGCTGGTGGCCTTCAGCCATACATCTGAGGGTACCAGGCACCTCAGAGACCATCCATGAGACCCAAGTTCTCAAGTACTGCTGGCTTAGAGTGGGCGTTCCGTTCCTGGCTCCTAGGGCATCTTGGTATCTGATATCTGGGCCTCGCTGAGCTCTGAAAAGGGCCTCCCAAGCTATTTTGGTCAGGGAACACCTCTTATTTGGGGATATCTGAGGGCTTAGTGCATTTTAAGTCTGGGGTATGAAAGTAACTGAGTCACTTGCACATGAAGTGATGGTAAGATCTGTGGACTCTCAGGAGTGGGTAGACTTCAGGTCAGGATCTGTGATTACAAACCATCCGGGAGGATTTGGTGTTGCCCGGTTCCGGGGCTATAAGAACATCCAGATGTATATCAGGTCTCAGGTGAAAAGTCAGGGACCATTCTCCGGTGATTCTATGTCCTCTGACCTCAAGGTCTAAGTCATTTGAGAAAGGGTCAGGTTTTAGTAACTCCTGACTAATTTGGGGGCTGTGATATGTGTGTTTACAATGGCAAGTATGACCTGGAGTCTGGGTTGGGTGTTTAGATAGTCAGGGTCCAAGATCCCTAGATCTCAGAGGTGTGAGCTCCTAGCCCTCTGAGATGCAATGTTTGGAGATGTCATGAGTCTCCTCAGTGGGGAAGAGGGAGGGAGAATCCAGAATTCAGGACTCCTGGGTCCACTTGACAGACATCCTGATGAAGCTGGGTCTGGGATCTTAGTCCTAGGTATGGGGTCCAGGTACCAGATCTGGGATCTCTCAAATCCATTCAAACTCCAAGTTCCAGACGTACCTAAGTTTGGGTTTTAGGTTCCTACGGAGTTCAGGGTTCTGGACCCTCCAATTTGGGTCTTCAGACTGACTTTAAAACCAGCCCAACGATCCTCACCGTGCAGCCTCCTCATGGCGACCCCCGCAGCCTGCACAGCCACATCGTGCCGCAACCCAGTGACAGGCGCGCAGGGGTGCGTAGCAGCAGAGGCAGGGCACTGCCAAGGACAATGCAGCCAGAGCAGCCCAGCGCGCGGCAGGGCGTGGGTGGCCTGGCTCACAAGCGCAGGGGTCCGAGAAGTCGCCCTCGGCGTCCGACAGGCAGTGATACAGCAAGCTCTCAGCGCACCACAGGCAGCTGAGCCTGCGCACTAGCAGGCGACCTGGGTCTGGGGCCTCTGCACAGCGACCACCACGCCCATCTGCACGGCGGCGGAAGAGTGCTCGGCAGTGCACACAACGTGCAGCCTCCTCGGCCTCCGGGGAGGCCTTGGCCGGTGCAGGGGTGGGACCCGGACCTGGGGGTGGACGAGCAGGGGGTGCTGGGGGTGCAGCCTCAGTGAGAGGGGCAGGAAGTGATACTGGGGGACCCAGGGCTGCACCCCTCAATGCACCAGTCTTGGCAAAGCCCACAACGCAGGTAGACAGGGGAAGAGGTGCTGGTAGTCCGGTTCGCCGGTAGTCCTCATAGCCACGGCCGCCCCAGCCCTGGCTCCCTGCCCCGGCTAGAGATTCTGAGGGTTCTGGAATCCCAGTGAACTGTAGAAGCGGAGGATAGCTCTGCAAAGCCAAGGGACAAGGTCAGGTTAGGGACATCTGGAACTCAAAAAGTCCCCATAGGCTACCCAGGTTCAGAAGACCCCAAATCCCATAATGTAATCACAGGCATCAGCTAGGAGGGACCATGTCCCTCCAAAACCCTCTTGGGTTCGGAGTTTAGACTTCCAGCCTATTCCTCAGCCAAGACCCTGAGCCCTCAGAGACAGATGAATGTAGGCAGCAAGCATACACCTGAAGGACCTTGTGGCTTAAGCCTTCCCAATTCGGTCAAATTCAACCCCCAGGTCCTCCTTCGGGATAAAGGAAACAGTTTTAAAGAGTCTTTCCATGAGTTCCAGCATCTTCTAACACATTTGAAAATCTGTGCATGTCCTTCCTCGAGCCCCTGTACAAACTAGACGGCCCTCAAATCCCCCAGAGAGACAGAGACACTTGGAAGCTCCAGCAGAGACACTGGAGCCCCAGCAGCATCTAGAGCATCTTCTACATGACATGCCAGGCACGCTATCACTAGCCACTCCTCCTACCCCCAAACCCAGACCTCTTTCCTTCTATCACCTACAGCTCAGGCAAGGCTGGCCATTTCCTGAGATCTGTGTCCCTTCTCATTCAGTAGGGCTTCAGCTTGGGTCACTTTATGAAAGCCGCCCAAGTCCCGGGAAGCCAGCCATACCTGAGCAGAGGAGCGTCTCCGTTGTGGAGGCGTGGCTGGTGGGAAGGCAGAGGTCGACTCCACCGTGACAATGGGAGCTGCAACAGCTGTGGGAGGAGTCTCCTGGCGGCTGTGACTGGAGGAGGAGTCGCTGTCCACGTGGGACTGAGGGAGATTGGAGATGCCTTAGTGCAGGGAGTTCTCACCCCCGCCCCTCCCATGGAGAGCAAGAACTCTGTGATCAGGAGGCTTGGGCTCAAACCTTTGTTCTGTGTGACAAGTGGGCTCACCTCTGAGCCTCAGTGATCTCCTCTGTAAAATGGGGGATCATCACAGTTCCTATTGGTAAGTATTTGTTCAGGACACTGTCAAGGGTCCAGCACCCGTCTTACAGCGCCCCCTACATCGGAGCCTCCATGCAGTCCCCATCCTAGCTCCTTGCTAGTGGATTCTGGGCCAGGGCTCTACCATTTAGCTGCACCCCCGCCCCCCCCCCCAGCCCTTTACTGGTGGATTCCACCACGTCACATCCACAACCCTTGGTTATTTCATAAGAGTCTCACCCAGCCCAGGCCTCGAACGCAGATCATCTCGCCTTCCCTCAAGAGTAGCTGGGAATACAGGTGTGTGCCACCTGACTCTGGATGTGGGTATTATCTCAACCAGACTCCTCAGATCACCAACCTACAGGCCATCCGCCATCCTCTCCCTCCCCAGATGCTTTCTTCCTGCCTCATTTTCACCACAGCTCAAAGGGATCTCTTCCCTGCCCAAGCCCCCCCTTACTAGTCCCACTTCTCAGGCCCTCTGTTCCCCTTTCTGTAAGCTGGACATAACTCCTACTGATCCGTTCACAGCCTTCAGGCTACAGCTACAGTGAGCCACAGCACACCAGATACAAAGGCCACTATGGCAGCCTCCGGCTTTGAAGAAGGGCCCCATAGACAGGGACTGTGTGACTGCTGGAGGGCCACCTCTATCCCACACGACCTTGAGAATTTCTTTGACCCAAGGCTCCTAGTATTCTCAGAAACGCCCAGAATGCATCTGGACGTCCTGTGCCTCGTTTCTCATCATTTCATCAATGAACACTTAACGTGGACCAGGCACTGTTTTAGGGACTGGAGGTGAAGCGAGGAACTAGCAAAAGTTGGCCTACAATAACTGATGTGCTAGCGTGAAAGACAGTTAGGAAACTAACAGACAGGAAAACTGCCTTAAAGGTTGTAGTGGGGAGTCGAACCAGATAAGAGACATTGGAAATTGTCATGGGGACAGGAGTGGCTTGCAAAGGTTTTGTTTTTGAGACAAGCTCTCTCTATGTAACCTTGGTTGTCCTAGAACTCACCCTATAGACCAGGCTGTCCTCAAACCCACACAGACACAGATCTGCCTGTCTTACAAATGCTGGGGTTAAAGGCATGCATAACTATGTCCAGCCAGAGAAGGACTTTCATGTCTTCCAAACCTGCCTCGAACTTGTAACATAGCCCAAGGATGACCTTGGATTTAGATCCTCCTGCCTCCACCTCCCTATTGCTGGGATTCTGAATGCCAGCCAGAGAGTCCAAAGCCAGGGCTGTGCTTGCTAGACATGCCGAATCCCCAGCCTGAGAATGCAATTTTAAATAGGTTGCTTGGTGAAGCCACCAAGAAGACATTTGCATAGAGCCTCAAAAGAAATGATAAGTCAGAAGGGCCCCAGGACAGGAATAGATCAACCCTGTTGCAATGAGAGGAAGGAGTCTGGTGTGACTAGAACAGGGTAAGAGGGGTGAGGGGGATCAGCCCAGGCCCAGATGGATCCCATGTGCCACACCTTGAGTGGAGGAGCCCTGGGAAGGTTCTGAGTAGGGAAATTGTATAATTTGACTCAGCCATCGATAAGAGCATTTGGCACCCTCCCCACCCAAATGTGGGCTCATTCATTCTAGGGGTCAGGAGAGTGACAAAGAGAAGCTGTGGAGATGGTTCAGTTGGGAGATAAGGTTGGACACTATTGGGTGGAAAGCAGATTTGATCATTTTGAAAGTAGAACATGGGCTTGAGCTGTCACTCAGTGGTAGAGTCCTTGCCTAGCATGTACAACACCTTGAGTTTGAGCCCCAATACTGAGAAAGAAAGAAACAAATAAAGGAAGGGAGGGAGGGAGGAATTAGAAAGAGGACTAGAGAGATAGCTCAGCTTTAGTTAAAACCACTGGCTGCTCTTTCAGAGGATCCTGACTCAATTCCTTTACCCACCTGGCAGCTTACAACCAGCTGTAACCCAATTCCAGGGTTATCTAACATTGTCAGGCCTTCTTGGGTACTAGGCACACAAGTAGCTGCACCTACATACATGTAGGTGAATCTCTCTCTCTCTCTCTCTCTCTCTCTCACACACACACACACACACACACACACACACATCTATATCTATTTATTTATTTTTCAAAGAAAGAAAGCAAAGCCCGCATTGTGACAGATCAGTGGGAAGCAGGCAAACACAAGAACCAGCCAGGCATGGTGGTGCACACCTGGAAGCCCACACTTGGGAGACTAAGATGGATGGAAGGATCATGAGGTCCAGGCTAACGTCGTCTCCTGACAGAACCATTGCCACAGCTCCTCACTGTCACCCCTCCCCTGACTCCTACCATCAGCTCTTCCAGCAGAGCCAAGAAGATTCTATTGATGGTTAACTGACATCACACTCTTCCCTCACTCAGAGCCCTCTATGGCTCCATCACTCAAGGTAAAGGAAAAAGCCCTTACAGTGGCACATAAAATGCCACACAATCAGTCCCTAGGTCACATGATCTCAGCTGTTCTTAAAAAAAAAAAGAAAAAGCCAAAGACGTCAAGGATGGTTCCAAGTTTACAAGCCTGCAGCTTGGGCAGTAACTAGAACATAGAATTATTAATTCATAGCCAGGTGGTGCTGGTGCAAGCCTTCAATCCCAGCACTTGGGAGACAGAGGCAAGCAGATCTCTGAGTTCCAGGCCTACCTGATCTACAGACAGGGCTCTGCAGAGAAACCCTGCCCCCCCCCCAAACAAACAAACAAATAAAATCAATTCATTTATGTATGCATTTATTTGAATGCTTATTGCTTTTTATATTTTCTCTTTTCCTCTGACTTTCACAGTGGACTAAAGCACCAAGAAAAAAAAAAAAGGAGTTTGTTTTGCTTACTAATATATCCCTGGTGCCTAAAACATGGCCTGGTGCTTTGTAAATACCCTTGAACAAACGCATGAGTCATGACAAAAGAGAAAAATAAGCGGAGTGTAAGGGTGCACCGCTGTAAACCCACCACGCACGGGGATCCAAGCTGCAGCAGCCTAGGCCACAGAACCTGCTCCACCACACCCCACCCTACCCCCAAAAATAGGAAGGAAAGAATGAGCAATGAGCAAGCAAGCCACGAATGGTGACACACCAGTAATCCCAGCACTCAGGAGGGACTAAATCCAAGGTCATCCCAAGAAACATGTGGAGCTCTGAGGCTAGCCTGGGCTCAATTAGACCCTAGCTAAAAATAAATTGATAGATAAATATAAAAGGTTAGAAAAATGAGCATAACCATGGTTGAAGTGCCACTATCCATTTGGGCCTATTTTGTGTCCCCAACATGTGGGTGCTTGCCAGCTCCACAGCTCGAATTCAGGAATATGTGTAGGTTAGAACCACCCCCCACCCTCCCATGGCAGACCCCAAGACTCACCGTCAGAGGGCAGGGGGTCTCTGCAGTGTCCTGGGAAGGGGAGGAGGAGGAAGAGGAAGAGGAGGGAGTGAGCGAGCCTAGGGCAGGGAGAGAGTCAGAAGTGAGTCCCCGGGCTTCTCTTGTGTCCCCAAGCCTGGGAATCTGTGCCTACACCACTCACCTCGGCTGAGGGCAGCCAGTGCAGCTAGAAGACTCTTCTGGAATTCATCAGCCTCTGCAGGACTCTGAAATGTCAGCCCAAACTTGCAGTCCCCCAGGCTCCAGTGGTGGAAGATAGGGTTCACTTTGTTGTAAACCAAGCCTGGCTTCAAGGTACACTCCAAGGTGGTCTGAGGGGCAGGATGGAGCTAGGTCACATCACCCTAGCCATGTCCGTGACTTTCAACCCCGGCCCCTCTGTATATCCCAACTACTTTATCCTCAACTCCAGGTGTACCTAAACACAACCCAGCATACCCAAATCTTAGGGGACATATCTCTGATTCGGCAATATTCCTTCAATCCTTTGATTTCTATACTCATCTAATTTCTTCCTCTGTTGTTCCAGTAGGAACCTCAAATCTTCTTAAATATTAAAAAAAAAAATTCACTTTTTCTCATAACCTAACATGTTCTGATGGAAAAGCATTATTTCACACTCTACTAAACGTATCAAAATATTATAGCCAGTTGCCGTCTGATGTCTCAAGAATCCCCTGAAAACTGACCCAGAGAGATGAGCCTTCTATGCAGCCCACCCCTTATCTGATACCAGCACTTGCTCTCCACTCTTCCCCCTGCCCCGCTTTGAAATGCCTGCCTTTGCCAAGCCTTCCTTCTGCAAAAAGGCCTCACTACCTAACCCAGGTAGTAACGAGACCCGACTTCCCCTGCCACAGTGTCCGGAGTGCTGGGATTAGCAGCAAGTGACACATAGGACTGCCAATCATGCGTGACACTTCTAAGCAGACCCCACAAATGCCTCCAGATACAAGGGCCTGTTGGTCGAGGGCATCTCTGAACAAGATGGAGCTAGACGAGAGTTCTGAGAGGAGAAGGGACAGGACGTGAGGTGGGTGTGAGCTGGGTCGTTGTGCACAGACCAGGGTTGGAGGATGAGCAGGAGCAGGGACAGGAAGGCCACTACTGAAGGCTGGTGACAGAATAGCCAGAGAAGCATCGGACACAAGTTTCCCAATACCCCACCCCACTCCCAAATCCCAGCTCTTAATTCACAAGCCAGACACTCGTTCCAAACTCCATCCCACGGCCCACTTCGAGTCCCCAGAGGTAGAGGAACAACGTGACCTCTCCTTCCCCCCGCCCAGGCCCTTCCCTCCCTCCCCAGGGTTCATCCCATTCCCACACCCCAGGGTGGCTCACTTTCTGGTCCCGAAGCCGCTCCCCGTGGATGACGTAGTGCCCCTGGCGGGCCCCCCCCTCGGGCCTGGCCCCTCGGACCCGACATACGCTCACCTGGCTGAGGCCCCCGCCCCCCACAGGCAGCCAGCCCCCACTGGAGTCATCTCGGGCCATCACCACGGCTCGGACCCGCACCATGTACCTAGAGGAGGTGGGGAGGACAGGGACAACACAGGCCGTGAACTCGAATCTTGCTCGGGATTTTAGCGTTCCTCTGGCCCTGCTCTCCTCTTTTACCTCCTACGTCTGGATTTACCTTACCCGCAAGCCATCAATGCCCCCCACCCCTTGCCCACTTTCTTCTACCATGGCTTCTTTTTTCTTGGTGACATCTGGCCCACCTACCTTCTCCGTGTCTACCTTTTCCCACCATACCCACCCTGTCAGCCTCTACTCCCATCCCACCCCCATAGCCTGCGTTGGCCACTTCCCTCCCCCTACTTCTCCCCTCAACCCCAGTCTCCTTCCCGGTCTCTCATCACAGACCCATAGCCCCACCCATTGTCCCCCCTCACAGCTGGGTTCCTGCGCATATCTATTTTCTCTGGACCCATCGACTCAGCTTCCGTGCCCCCAACACTGCCTCCGCACCCCAGTCGCCCAGGCCACTAGCTGGGTAAGAAGCCTCGGCTCTTTCCCCCCACCCTTTCCCGGATTTATGAATGAGACCGGATGCAAAGCTCACTGAGTCACCCAGCAACCGGGAGATGGGCAGGGAGCAGAGAGAGAACCAGAAATGGCCAGAAAGAGAGGCCGAGAAGGAGATGGAGGCAGAGGAAGCCAGCAACCGGCGACCGAAAAGATCCAAGGAGCATTTCATTCACAAAAACCAAGGCTGCTCCCTTTGGTCTCAGTTGAGGGACGCCAAAGAAGAGAGATGGGAGGGGGAGATAATAATCCATCCCCTCACCCTCCCCAGGCATTCAGAAACATTTTACCCCGCCCCCAGTTTAGGGGATGTAGCCCTCCGCCCAGCAATCAGGATTAGCATCCAGTCCCACTGCCCCCCCCCCCAGCTCAGGGACCCTGGAGTCCCAACCCTAGGGACCCAGGCGACGAGTTCTGGCCCCCTCCCCCACCTGCAGGCTGTCGGGTTTCCCCAGCCTTTCAGGAGGGGAAGGGGCGGCCACAGCGCCCCCAGCCCCCTTTTCTCAATGGGATGGGATTTTGTGAATGAGCGGTCACGTGACACTGCTTCCTTTGTCCGCCCGCCTCCCCCAACAACAGGTGAAGCAGGGAGAGAGGGCAGGGGTCTCCCCGAAAGGCCTAGTTGAGGTGGAGCACTGAGATCTCGGGGTGTCCTATGTTACCCACACATCTATTTTCCCAGGGAGAGTAGTCCTCAGAGTTCCTCAATGGCGAGGGTCCACGATGGAATTTTGTGAATGGGGCATCCTCGGAAGAAGTCCAGGACCCCCGAATGGAAACTGGTACCCCAGATGGCTACCGCGTAGATTGGGCCCCCACCCCCTTGTTATCCCAGCCGGTGTCCGCGGGGTGCAAGGGTGGGCAGAGGGGTGCAGCTGCGGTCCTGGCTGCCCCCTCACCCGGGCAGGCGGTCTCGTCAGCCCCCCGCCCCCTCGCCGCTCTGGGCACCTGCCTGGGAGGCTCCGGCCGGGCTCCGAGCGGCGGCGACGCGGCCTCCTCCTCCTCCTGTTCGCTCCCGCTCCCTCGCTGGCTCCGGCGGCGCTGGAGACGGGCACCGGGAGCCGGGGCGAGGGGGGAGGGAGGGGGAACCTGGAAGACGTGTGGGGGGGAGGGGGCGGCTTGGGGGAGGGGTAGGAGCAAAGCGGGCGGACTTGCCCGCTGGGTCCTAGAGCCCGGCTCGGGCTACAGTGAACACCCCTTATAGTCCCCATTTTCTCGGGACCCCGAGGGGAATTCTCCACTTTCCCACTTATCTGAACGGTTGGTCCCTGATGATGTGAGAAGGGAACAGAGGTAGGGCCTGGTGTCAGGATTCCAGAAAGAAGGTGGTCCACGGTCTGGGCTCTGAATGGGAGGGGCGGGATGCCTGGCAGGGTTCGAAAAGGGGAGGGGCCTGGGAGCCTGAGTAAGGAGGAGGCTTGGACGCTGAAGGAACCGAGAGGGTGCGTCACGGAAGGGGCGGGAGGGTGGGCCTTCTGAGCCATCCGAGCGAAGACAGGGTCTTGGAAAGAGATGCTGCCTGAACTTAGCAAGGCGGATCTTGGAGATAAATTCCCTTAGGGGCAGGTCAGATAAAAGGCCCAAAAGGAGGAGATACGTAGCGGTGTTCGCAATGGGCGGGGTCCGGGGAGGGGCTTAACGGAGAGGGCGGGGCATTCATTATAAAGGGGTGGGGCATAAGGCGAAGGGGGCTTGCACATCGGGTAGACACCCTAGTATTTCTAAGGGTGAGCTAGGTTCGAAGGGCTGCACTCAAACTGGTCCACGAGGGGCGTGGTCTCGAGCTCTGGGCGTGGCCTAGATCTCGGGGGTCGTCCTCGCTGTCTCGCCCACTTGCCTTCACCCGCACACCCGTTCTTTTCGGTTATTTTCTGCTACGGCCGTTCCCCGCCCTGCCCTGGGTCCACGGGGCCGTGGTCTGATCTTTGGTCGGCTGTAGGAGTCGGTGAGTGGGGTCTACTGAGCGGAGGAGCCGGGGCGGAGCTTGAGGAAAAGGGGTGGAGCCTAAGTTAAGATCTGTCACAAACGCCGAGCGGGAAAAGTTTAGGAGGCTTGAGGATTTGCTGCTGTCGGAGAAGAGTGAGGGATCCAAATGATCGACAGAGGGAGACGGTGGGTGATCGGAGGGTTAGGATGGAAGGAATGGGGGACTAGATAGACCACAGTCCTTTGTATTTGATTTGCTAGGCAGAAGCGGACCTGACCCTGGTGGGGGCGGGGTGTGGATGCGGCCCGATTCTTTGACAATCGGGGGCGGGGCTTAGGCCTCAGGGACCTGGTTAGAGTGTTTGGGTAGAAGCCTGGATTTCTTGTTGGCTACTGGGCATAACCATCATTACCGGTGTGGTTTAATACTCAACAGAGAGGCTGGCAAGAACCGATCCCCGAAGCTTGGAGGTCCCGGGTGTGGCCAAAGTGTTAGGGATGTGATCTAACAGCCAAGGAGTCAGGGTTGGCACCTTAGTACATTAAGAAGTTGGGTTCCAAGAGTAAGAACCGCGGTTTTGAGAGCATGGGGAAGTGGGCGTGGCCATGACGAATCGGAGAACTGGAGACTTAAAGAGACGGGGGCTGCGAGAATATTAAAGGACAGGGCAGACCAATGCAGACAGGGACAGTCCAAGAACAGCCGGAGCCGTGGAGTCCCCGCAGAACCCGCCCACTGACTGGTGGAAGTTTATTTAACCACAGTCTCCGACCTCCGTCGAAAATGGGGAACGTGCAGTCGGAGCCTTCCGCGGGCGGGGGCTCCCGAAAAGAGCAGGCCTCGGACCGCGCATCCGACTCCCGCAGGACGCCTCTGGTGGAGCCCGAGGTGACCCCCTCATCCCCAGCCATGCGCCTGGCTCGAGGGCTGGGCGTCTGGTTCCCTGGCAGTTCCGGGCCCCCGGGACTCCTGATACCCCCGGAGCCCCAGGCCTCACCCTCGCCCCTGCCCCTGACCTTAGAACTGCCCTCGCCAGTGACACCCCCTCCAGAGGAGGCGGCTACGGCGACGGTCTCCACACCGCCCCCACCCCCCGTGGGGACCCTGCTGCCCGCGCCATCTAAGTGGCGAAAGCCCACGGGCACTGCAGTGCCTCGGATCCGCGGCCTCTTGGAGGCGAGTCATCGTGGCCAGGGTGACCCTCCGAGCCTCCGCCCGCTGCCGCCGCTGCCCCGGCAACTGCCCGAAAAAGAACCGGTCCCGAGGGCCCCAGCCCCACCTCCGACGCTCCTGGAGCCTCGGAAGCAGCTACCGCCAGCACCTCCGCCTTGCGACCAGCAGTCCCCGAGCCGCAGAATCACTCTGGCCTCGTCGGCCACAAGCCCCCCAGAAAGCCAGGTCAGACACGGCAGCGAGGGCCAGGCGGCCGGGGGAGCCCGCGGAGGGGCGCCTCCCCAAGCCGGAGAGGGTGAAATGGCTCGGTCTGCTACTTCCGAGTCCGGCCTGAGCCTGCTGTGTAAAGTCACCTTCAAGTCGGGGCCCCACTTGTCCCCCGCGTCGGCCTCAGGCCCCTTAGCAGCCAAAGCCTCACAGGGCGCCGGCGGTGGCGGAGGACTGTTTGCCTCTTCGGGAGCCATCTCTTATGCTGAGGTCCTGAAGCAAGGGCCCCAACCTCCTGCAGCCACTCGTCCTTTGGCAGAGGTCCCTCGAACAGCTCAGGAAACCGAGGGCGGTGATGGAGATTGTGAAGGGTGTTCTGGTCCCCCTTCGGCGCCTGCTCCCCTTGCCCGAGCTCTACCACCACCCCCTTACACCGCCTTCCCAGGTTCAAAGCCCAAATTCGACTGGGTGAGCCCTCCCGATGGCACTGAACGGCACTTCCGATTCAACGGGGCAGTCGGGGGAATCGGGGCACCCCGACGGCGCACAACCACACTCTCAGGGCCTTGGGGCTCCCCTCCACCAAGGTCAGGTCAGACGCATCCAGCTTCAGGGCCTCGGAGGCCCACACCTGCCTTGCTGGCGCCACCCATGTTCATCTTCCCGGCGCCCACCAATGGCGAGCCTGTACGCCCAGTGCCTCCAGGCCCGCAGCAGACACCTCCGTTGCCACCGCCACCGCCCACACCACCAACCACGCCGCCGCCACCGGTGCCGCCACCCACACCGCAGCCACCAGCACTTCCGAGGACGCCGATACTGGTGGCCCATACACCTATCCCAGACCCTGGCCACGTGGAGCCAGCCTTGGCTCCCACCCCTGCCCCCATTCTGCCTCCTCCTCCGGTGGCTGCAGACCAGGCCCCGCCCCCGCCCCCGCCCCCGCCTCCAGCCCCCGCTCCGGCCACGTCCCCAGCTCCAGCAACCACCACCACCACCACCACCGAGCCATCACCGCCAGTGCCCCAGCCCACCAAGATTCGTACACGCAAGAACAAAGGTCCCCGGGCGGCCCGGGGCGTGATCCGTGAAGAGGTTGTATCTGGAGACGGTCCTCGAGAACTGACTGCGACTCCGGTGGCTGACGGCAGCAGTGGAGGGGGTAGCAGCAGCGGAGCCTCCACAGCTGGGGCCCCCAACAAGGGTGCAGTGCGCCACTGGCCGCCTTTCGAGGTGCTTACTTCTTGTCCCTGCAAGTGCTACTGCCGCCATCAACCCCGTCACCGACGCCTGCCACGCAACGTGTCTGCCTGGTGAGGGAGATAGCAGAGGGCACACTCCCAAGTCCAGCACCCACTTTCCCTGGATAGAGCAAGACTCAACGCTTTGCCATCCTGACCACAGGCTCACCCTTGGTCCCCAACTCTGTAGCTTTCCTGTTGGTCTGGCCATAACCCTGTCCCTAAGACCAGCCAAGTTTTGTTTTGTTTTTTCCAGAGATGGGAAAGGAAGCAACTGTCCTGGGGTGGAGTAAATAATAGGTCCCCATACCTTTTCCCAAACCCCCACAACCACCTACCTGGGACCCAAGGCTTTGGCAACTAGAAGGTAGAGGCCTCATCCTTTGGCTACAAAGGTTACTTTCCCATCAGGGGACATGCCCCTCGGTTTTGTTGCCTTATCTTCCTTTGGGGGTTAGCTAGGGCCCATCACCTTAGGACACTTTCAGGGCTGTCTTTATGCCCACGGGGAAAGTGTAGGCCACGGATAGACACTGTCAATTCTTCCTCCTCCCAGGCTGAGTACACCCACCAACCACCTGAGTGAGCCGCCCTGGGTGGCCACTGTCAAGCTGGCTGGCTCCCTAGTAGCTGGCCTGGAGCGCTACGACTTGCAGGCCACCCATTCCAACTGAGTGCGTCCGCCCAACACCCTCTGCCTCACCTTCCTTGAATAAAGTACCCAGTCTACACAGCTTGCCCGGCTGTCTATCCGTTACCAGGGAAGCTGAGGTGCAGAGATGAGCAAAGCAAGGCCTGTAAAGAACCAACTCCTGCGCACACCAAGGAATGTGTCTGAACCCAAAGCAGTGAGGAGATGCCACACTTCGGCCGGGGTCAGGGTCTTGCTGTCCTTTATGCCACCAATGCTGTGGCTGAGCCACACGGGTCATTCTGGAGCAACAGAGACTTCTTGCAGTCTAAGTTACAAAGTGGCATACCTACATCAGGGCACAAATGGTGGCCCACAGACAAGGTCAATTTCACATGTCATTTGAAAAATTATTTAATCCATGGCCAACATTTGACATGGTGCTTTACTGAAAAAAAAAATCTAGTCCCCTGGCCCAGCACCGCATGTATCCACAGCTGGCTGTGAACCCCTCAGTATGGGCCTGTGCTCTCCTGTGGGCCACTGGGCATCTACACTTAAAGCCCAGAGCAATGGCAGCTGGGTAACACATACACAGGAGGCCAACTATCTCCCTCGGTCCCACTGGGAGACTAGGGCCCATAAGAGGTCAATCCGCCTTTATTGAAGGCCAGCCTATACTGGATTGGACTAGCCATGTCCACCCGCCCTGGCCAAGGCTCAGACAATCATCTCCAGCTGCCGGGCATACTCGATGACCTGCTTGGCCAACTCAGTGGAGGGGATGGTGGTGTCTTCTGGCTTCTGTTGCTGGCTGGCAAAGCTGTAGTAGTTGTTAGGTCCCAGGACCCAACCTCGCTGAAGGAAGAGAAATCAGAAGTAAGTGGGTGATCCCACAGGCTCCTCCCCACCCCATGTAACCACCTCTCAGGATACCAAGGCTCCCTTTTCACAGATCACTGCCACCAGAGTAACCAGAGGCAAGAAATGTCACTCCATGTCTGACACAGGTACCATGATCATGCTCCTCTATGGCTAAAACCTCTGAGCAACGACAACAGTATTTGGTCCACAGTAAGTGGTTAATAGCTGTCACCATCACGTCTCAAATGCATCCCTTTGACAGTCTGCTCAAGACCACTTGGCTAGCCTGACAACTTCACAGTCTGCTCTTGACTCTTCTGCTTCCTGGACACCAAGGTCAGTATGCAGCATGAGTCAGCTTCTCCTGGGCACGGCTCCTACTCAAATGTTCCACACCAAATGAAGCAGTCCTACGGGACAAGTTGCTTCTAAGGGATTCTGCTAAGGGCAAACCTAACATGCAAAGCAAGCTTGAACCTGGTGCCAGGTGCCATGCTAAGCTCCTCGCCTATGTTAAACTCTAATCCCCTCCCGGGAAGAGGCTGAGCTATTTGTCTTAAGGCTCACAACTGTACTCAGTCGTGGGCAGTCTTTATTCTACTAGTGTCCCCCAGACCACCCAAACTGTGTATTGGACACAAGGTTCAGCACTCTATTTCCCAACCCCAATCCACAGTCCCTAGCCACCTTCTTGGCATAGTCTGTCATCTTTTTGGGTGTGTTGAAGAAGAGAATCCGGGTAGCCTCGGCGAAAAGGATTTTCTCATAGGCCTTCTCAATGCATCCTGCGATTTCATCCCTGTGGGAAGGTGATAGTTCTCACTACGGAGCAGACAACCTCGCAGACCCTGTCCTCCTGGGAACCACGGCTCAGGCTCTGAGGCAGTCTTTCCACACAGGGGCTTCACAAGAGCACAGCACCTTCCTCAGAGTCTGGAGGAGGTTCTTGCATGAATTAGAGTGCTTGCCTAGTATGCTGAAGCACATAAATCCAGGTGTGGGGGTGCACATCTGTACTCCCAGCACTTGGGAGGTGGAGGCAGGAGGATCAGGTTCACAGCCAGTCCCAGATACATGTAACCCTTTCTCAATAGCCCTACTGCCCAAAACGCATCACGGCTGGAGGGCAGCTCAGCAGTAGAGGACTTGCTTAATTTGTACAAAGCTCTGATTATAACCCCAGAAGGAGGGAAACATCCACTATGAAAAACAGCAAGGCATCAAATCACAGGAATTGGGCAGGGCGGCATCTGGGGAAAGAGTAAGGCCAGGAAGTCTGGGGACCCAGACCCCACATACCTGATAGTATCCAGCAGGATGTCAATGAAGAAAGTATAGCTTTCAGCAGGGATGTTTCCCTTGGCCAGGAACACCTTATTGTAGCTGCCCTCCATCAGGTACTGCCAAGGCCAAGGAAGAAGAGGAAGAGGATGAAGGGAACACAGAGGCTTCCCTGCTCCCTTGGTGCCTCCCAATCCCTGCTCTACCACAAGAGCCCTCCCACTGCCTGTAGCCTGGACTCCTCCTCCTCTGCAAAGCCCTACCTGGCTTACACACTCACCCGCAGCCTACACTGGGCTAGTGTTCAGCTCTACTCTACACATACCTAAACTGCTGCTACCTCACTCTGCCAGCCCTTCCCACAGAAAACCCTCTGGAGGCCTCAGCACCAGACACGACTTCTTAATGGCTCCCAAGCTCTACCCCTTTAACTTGTTCCTTTAACTTGTTTGCTGTCCCTCAGATATGGCAGGCAGGCTTTAGCCTCGGGCCACAGACAGCCTCTTCCAGTCCTCCCAGGCCCAAGTCCCCACAATACCTCATGTCTCACACACAACACATGTGACTCATTCTTTTGGTGCCTGGTGCTTCCTCTCCTCACTGTCTCAAGATTAGGGGTTTTACCTGTTTGAGTCACCTTAACATGAAATTGCCCTGGGACCTGGCACAGATCTGTTTTTATTTGCTGGTTAAATAAGTTGGTGGGTTAGAAATGGCTGAACCCTGACCATTCCTCCAGGAAACCCTCAGGGTCTGAACTGAGACCACCCACCTCAGCCAGGCTCCCCCTTCCCCTGCCCATCCTCACTTGCTCGAGGGACACAGGGTGCTTGATGTAGACATTGGTCTGGATGTCCTTAGCAGGCAAGCGTTCTAATTCTGTGTGGAACTCAGCCACTCGGTTCTGGGAGAGCAGGAACAGGAGGTTGAGGCCCAGGAGCTGGTGCATGTAGGCTGACTCAGGTAGCTGTTCCCTGTACACCACGGAGGGAGAGAACCAAGATTAGTAGATCCTGGGGAACTAACCACATGCCTCATCTACCTTCCAGAATCCTTACAACTAACAGACAAATGATGTACACAGAGGCAAGAAACGCCACACCCCGTCATATGGATCAAGCAAGGTACCTATCTATTAAAGTTCCCTATCTATTAAACAGTGTCAATAAGTATCCACACCACAAAAGCAGGTTTGGTAAATATAAGTGAGTTAAATGGCTTAACCTAGGCATAAAGTCCAAAGAATAGCATCTAGGGTAGGCACTCAGTCAGCAGAATGTCTACCTAGCATGAATGTCTACCCCAGCTCTGCATAAACCAGACGTGGGGTGCACACCTGTAATTCCCAGCTACTGGGAAGTAGAGGCAGGAGTGTCAGAAGTTCAAGGTCACCTGGGCTACACAGAGTCCTCAGCCAGCTTGAAGAACAGATGACACAGTCTTCAAAAAACAACAAACAGCTGGGTGTGGTGGCCCATGCTTTTAACACCGACACTCAGGAGGCAGAAGCAGGGTGACAAATTTAAGGATAGCTTGAACTGTGTAGCCAAAACTCAAAAACAAGCTCGGCAGTGGTGGCACACGCCTTTAATCCCAGCATTCAAAGGCATAGGCAGGGGAATCTTTCTGAGCTCCAGGACAGCCAGGGCTACACAGAGAAACCCTGTCTCAAAAAACCAAACCAAACCAAACCAAAAGCAAAAAAACAAAATGAAACAAAAAACCCACAACAAACAAACCAGCAGAGGGCAGCACTACCTATAATCCCCAAGCAAGGTGTACTACCTTGAAACCTGTCTCAAAACAAAACCAGCAAATTGTGAAGCAAAATAGCACCCTATTGGCTGCAGTAGATATGTCAGTTAGGGGAGTCAAGAATACAGCCTAGTAGATGAAGGGTAGCAAGTAGCCATACTGAGTAGAGGGAACATGGTGAAAGGGTCAGGAAAAAACAGATTGGAGGGGCTATGAGATGGCTCAGCACCTGCAGAGGTCCTGAGTTCAATTCCCACTAGCCACAAGGTTGGCTCACAACCATCTATAATGGCATCCAGTGCACTCTTGTGATGTGCAGACACACACGCAAAGCACCCATATATGTGCGAATACTTAAATAAATCTTCAAGAGAGAGGAAAACTGGTTAGAAACTTACAGAAATGGACCACACAAACTAAGTAAACTACATAAACCCAGTTTTCTCAAGACTTCCAAGTCAAAAGCCTGTCCCTCCAGCTTCTGGGGACAGAGCTAAGAACAGCAGTGGTTCACAGGCAGACCAACAGGAGGGAGCCAGAGGTAAATGAACCACCAAGCAACCATCCCTGCCCCGCCCCTCCCCGGAGGGCCCAACCTCACTTGTAATCAAAGTAGTAGCATTTGAGCTGGGCCATGTAGCGCTCGAAGGAGGGGATGTCCTTGCATAGGATGCTCCACTGGGCCCCGATTTCCAGTATGTCACCTGTTAGTAAGGGGGTGGCTGAGGTGGTGACTGGAATCCCTCCTGGGATCATCACTACCGTCATTCTTACCATCACAGGCCCCCACCACCTCCACCAACCAGTGACACTCACGGGCCAGAATGAGCTGCTGTTTGGTCAGTTTGGTCCCTGTGGTCGGCAGGAAATTGAGCTCCAGCAGAACCAGCTGAGGGAGAAGGAATGACGATGAGACTTCAAACAAAGGTTACCCACTTTCTCTGGACTTTGATGTTTCTGCTTGGGGAATGGAGTTTCCAGGCATCCTTACTCATACAACTGTGATGTGCATGAAGGGAGTTGGTCCTTGTCAAGTTCTCAGCCTAGGGCTCCATTGGCACCCATGGCGTAGGAAGACACGGATGACCTCAGTTCCTTCTGTTGTTATTTTTGGCTTGTTTGGGGTTTCTGTTTTCTTTGAGACAGGGTCTCCCTCTGCAGGCCAGTCTGGCCTATAACTAGAGAGCCCAGGGTCAGCCTGCCAAGTGCTAGGATTGTAAGTGTGGAACAGCTCACGTCCAGCTAGCACACTCAGTTCTGGGAAGACCTTCCCCACCATACTCTGCCTGAGAAGGGGTAACTAGGCCAGGCCCCAAATCTATGTCCCCTTTCCTCAGTCCAGCCCAGACACCATTCCTTAATAAACTTAGGGACCTAACATCTATTTTGTTGTTGCTGTTTGGTTATTTATTAATAATAACTATTCCTTTTGAGATGAGGTCTTGATGTGTAACTCTAGCCGCCTTGAACTTGTTTTTGGAGACCGGGCCGCCCTTCCGTAACTCTGAATGTGTTTACAGTCGAACTCTATGCTCTTCTGGGTTCGGTACGGCCCCAAACTATTGCCCCTCTTCTCCTAGGCGCATCCTTAACCTCTGCTCGCCCACAGCGTGCTTCGGTTTGGTCCTTACCGCCCATCCCCTCACACTCTGCCGCCTCTACCTCGGGTTCGGTTGTGCCTGGCTCCATTCCTGCCCCTCCAAACCCCAGAGCTGTAACCATCCCATTCGAGTCCGCCAAACCAGGCTTTGCACCACCGCATTCCCGCCCGTGTCGGGGCCGCGTTGGGTCTGTCCCAGCCACCCCGCCACCTGGGAGCCCTCCGGGCCCACCTTCTGCTGTCCCGAGCCGGGCTCTCTCCACTCCTCGGCCGGCTGTCCCAGCCCTGAGCGCCTGTCACCGTCCCCCCAGCACCAGGGCTCCAGGGCCCGGCGACCCCTACCTTCAGGCGGCCCAGCTCTTCCCCACATTTACTAAGGTTCGGGCTCTTCCGGTTCCACTCGTCCTTGAGCTGCTCGTACATGCCGGCCGCTGCCTGCAACATCGCGCCCGAAGTGGCCGCGGGCCCCGAGCTCGAGACGCCGGTCGCCCCGTTCACCGTAGCCGCCGCCGCCATCTTCCGTGATGCGGCAAACTGCCGACCTGACTTACGGCAGCGTCGCCGAGAAATGGTCTCCCGGCGGAAATGAGGCCGGGAGGTGGAGCCCAACGCAGGAGGCGGAGCTACGACCGCCAGCCTCCGCCCGCCGCGGGAGGAGCGCCGCAGCTTCCCCGGGGGCGCCTTCCCGGCCCGGCGCTTAAGGAACATGGCAGAGCTCCGCCTCTGCTGTCACTCAGAATGGTGAACGGAAGTCGGTTGGCTCTAACGGAAAATGACATCCGCAATGCCCCGCCCATTCCCGTAGTCAATATGGCCGCCCTTGCTTCAGCCTGTGGGATTTCCGTCTTAAGAGTGCGGTCTGTCAACCAAGAGGTGGCGACGTGGAGTCACTTGGAAAGCCGTCAAGTGTCCCTACATAGACAGGCTTTGAGAGGACTGGAATTTCAAGTCAGGCCCCGCAGGTTTATCAGGGCATCATTCTTCTACATTAGGTTTTTTTCTTAGTTTCGAAATGAAAATATAATTATGGAAGCCGGGCGTAATGGTTCAGGCCTTTACTCCCAGTTCTCAGGAGGCAGAGTTTGAGGCCAGTTTGATCTGTATCAAGAGTTCCAGGACAGCCAGGGTTACATGGAGAAATCCTGTCTCAAAAAAACTAGAAGTGAGGCCAGGAAGTGGAGCCCCAATTATATCTATAATTACTACAGGCTGGTATACTTGGCTGGCTTTTTAGTCTTTGGTTCTTTACTCTTTTGGAGGGCTCACCACCCAGCTGCCAAATACACACAGAGACATTATTACTTATGAATGTCCAGTGTAAACTTGGCCTGTTTCCAGCCAGTTTTTCTTAAATTATCCCATCTACCCTTTGCCTCTGGGATTTTATCTTTATCCTATATACCTTTCTTCTCTTTTTATGATAATATTTTATTTAAATATGAAACAAGGTTGTTTTACATGTCAGTCTGATTTCCCTCACTCTCCCTTCCTCCCCTCCCTCCCTCCCAACCCCCATCCCATTCTCTTTCTGCTTCCCAGGGCCGGCGAGGCCTTCCATGGGGAGTCTTCGAATCTGTCACACACCTCCCCTGTGTGTCTAGGCTGAGAGAGAATCCCTCTACGTGGAATGGGCTCCCAAAGGTGGCTGCCCCTGGAGGCCTCCTAGATCTTCCTCCCAGATTTCTCCTCCTGTTTATTCTCTCTGCCAGCCCCTCCTATCCTTTCTCCTGCCTTGGTATTGTCCATTCAGCTCTTTATTAGACCAATCCCGTGTTTTAGACAGGCACAGTAACACAGTTTCACAGAGTTAAACAAATGCAACATAAAGGAAAGCGACACATCTTTGCATCATTAAATATTCCACAGCATAAACAAATGTAACACATCTCAATTATTCTAAGAATAACACAGCTTAGAATGTAACACACTGGAGAGAGCTTTCCCAGAATCCTCATGGTAACTGTGTAACTCCACTTTTAGGGGTTTTGGTTTTCTCTCTGACCTCTGAAAGCATCAGGCACACATGGCGTGCACATACATACATGCAGACAAAACATTCACACATAAAATTGTTAAAGTATCACGTCGTTCCCCCCCCACTTTTTCCTCCAACCCTTCCCATGGAATATAAATTCCCACCAAATTCTCAGCCTTCAGTCTTGTTTTCTCTGTTATATATTCCTAAATATGTAAACACAGCCTGCTCAATCCTTGTAACACTGCCTGTATGTATATCATTTCAGGGCCGACCACTTGGTATTGAATACCAAAAGGCGGGCTTTTCCCCATAGGAAAACTATTGATGTCCTTAGCATACCTTAGTTGCCTGTGGTGAGACTGTCCCCTTCCTTGTTAGCATATCTATTCATGCCCTCCTGTTCATATCTTTTTTAGACAGTCATGTCATTGAGACATCATCGGTGTAGCTCCCTGGCATCTCTAGAGGGCTTCTATACATTTATTCATATTTATATATAAACCATTTAAATATAAATGTATATGAACTATTTACAAATATCATTTAGGTCTATGGCTTTAAAAGCCAAAAAGCAGCAGGGGATTTACATTAGTTTATTTATTTTTTTAAAGACACGTTTTCTTTGTAAAGCCCTGACTGTTCCACAAATTTTGTTTTTTCTCTCTTATTTACTTGATTTTTTGGGGACAGGGTTTCTCTGTGGCTTTGAAGCCTATTCTAGAACTAGCTCTTGTAGACCAGGCTGGTCTAGAACTCAGAGAGATCCACCTGCCTCTCTCTCCCAAGTGCTGGGAATAAAGGTGTGTGCCGCCACCACCCGGTTGACATTTTGTCTTTTCAAATCACTAATATATTTACTTTGAAGAAGTAGCTTGCCACAGCACTGGTATCACAGGACAAAGAGAGATGGTTCTCTCCATCATGCAGGTTCTGGAGATCAAACCCAGGTTGACAGGGTTAGCAACAAGTACCTTTATTTGCAGAGCCAATCTATCTCACCGGCTGGAATTTCCCAATCTTTATCCCAACACCCACTTCCTCCATTGGTACATAAGTAGCCCCCATCTTGAAACCCTCCAAAAATAGCCCTATAATGTGTCATTCTCAGAGTGGGAGGTTGCTTGCCTGTCTCATCAGTGCCACATTATAGGCCTGGGCCACCCTGCCTGCCTATCACATTGCTTTCGCTTTATTCTTTTACCCTTTCATACAGCTCGATTTCTTCAGAATTGCCATTGCCCACACATCGTAAAACATTAGGGTGAGACTGGCCACCTCAGCATCAGGAATGGAACATGACTGGCTTAAACTTGAAACCGAGGCTCCTATCTCTGTCCTGTAATCGGTACAGTGGTGACCTTATGATCCAAATCCAGATAATCAGAGTGACAATGCGACTTTTGGCAGAACTTGTAGAACCCTTGTTCCTTCGTTCTCTGAACAATATGACAATTCTCTGAACAAATCTATAACTTGCAGCCGCAGAGGGTGAAGGTGGAAGTCTTGAGGTCACTGTCCACATTCAGAGGGGGGAAACTACAGAGAAACAGAAGCAGACTTCTGCAGACACTGAAGGGTCAAGCCTGAAGCCTTGGCTAACCGCACTGAATAGAGTACGGTAGGGAAAGCTGTAATCTCAGACTCTGGGAGATGGAGGAAGAAGGATCACCGTTTCAAAGTCATCCTTCAGTTACATGACCAGTTCAAGGCCAACTTGAAAAAGAAAGATGAAAACAATACAGAGAGAGACCCTGTCTGGAAAGAGAGAGAGGAGAAAGGGAGATAGAAAGCCTTGGGGCACTAGAGACAGGCCCGGCCACTAAGACCACTTGTTGCTCTAGTATGGGACCCAGGTTTTGGTTTACAGCTCCCACAAGTCAGCTCACAGCACTTGTAATTCCAGTTCCAAGAGATCCTATACCTTCTTTTTGTCTCCATTGGCACCAGACACACACACCATGCATGTGTATACACGAAAGCACTCACACACATAATTTTTTTTTTTTTTTTGCGGAGACAACGAGAGAGAATAAAAGAGGAAGCTGGACAGCAGCCAGGTTCACTGGTGCATGTTAGGAATCTCAGCATTCACGAAGCAGGGACAAGAGGGGCACCCCAAGCTTGAGGGCAGCTTGGTCTACTTAGTGAGGTCTGTCACAGACACAGACAGACAGAGGAAGAGAGAGATTAAATGGGAAAGAAGTAAGAGAAAGGGCGTAGGGGTATTAGGACGGCTCATGGTAAACGTGCTTGCCACCAAGCGTGATAGCTTGGGAGGGAATTTTGGAACTCACATGGTAGGAGAGAATCTATGACTGAGTTGTTCTCTGACCCCCCCCAAACATGCATGCTGGGGCATGTGTACCCCCCTCCCTCCAACACACATAAGTAAATGAGTATAATGAAAAAACAACCAACCGCAAGAGCCTCATATATTACCACTTCTGTGTAGAATTCTCAAGCACGGGTTCCTCGAAACTGTGTGGGCACCCATAAAGATGGCTGCACTCCATCGTGGCACAAGGGCAGAGTTCAAAGCTGTCAGCAAGTCATGAGACCTAAAGGTCAAAGCTGTGGCTCCAGAAGGATGCTTCAGCCATCTTAGTCTAAATAACGACGACCTGAATCTGAGGTGTGTCTACTCCTGACTCTCAAGGCTAGGGAAGAAGTTTGGAGCTAAGGTGTGGTCACTGAACCCTTGGAATGAGGGAGGAAGAAAAGTCTGTTCCATATACATGATGTACTGTGTTCCAGTTTTAGTTATGGTATATGAGTGGTGAAAAATAAACTCATGGCATTTCAGTATTGACGGATCTGCCCTCCTGACCTTTAGTCTGTGTCTCTGTCTTTATTATCTATAGCCAGCCTTTCCCTCATCCACACTCCCCCACTCAGGTACGGACTTGGGGCAGCTTGGCTGGCTCTGATTGCAGCGCCGCAAAGACTGCTCCCGACATAACTAGTACAAAGTAATTTCATTGGGGCTAGAGAGATGGTTCAGTGGTTAGGAGCCTTGGCTGCTCTTCAGAGGACACGGGTTCAATTCTCAGCACCCACATGGCAGCTCACAATTGTCTATAAATTCAGTTCCAGGGGATCTGACACCTTCACACTAATGCACATAAAATAAATTAAACACACACACACACACACACACACACACACACACACACACACACGGAGGCTGTTACAACCAAGGTACCAAATTATCAGAGCTTGATTCAGCCCACAGAGAGAACCCATAGAGTAGCAGACCCTGTGGTATGAGAGGGGCTGGGCTGCTGGTGTGCGGATTCAGGGAGACCTGAATGCAGCCAGCTGGAATGATGTCAGCCATAATTGCTACCCTCTTACAGCCATCCTAAACAGTTTCTGGGCAAAATCAAAGAGTGGAACTTGAGGCTTTCCAGCTGCCTCCCAGCACCAGTATTGGGAACATGCTTGACTTTTAAAATCATTTATGGTTTAAAGGATCTTTCTCTTGCAGTCCAAGCTGGAAGTCACTGAGTGACTCAGACAGGCCTCACACTCAGAATATTTCTGCTCCCTTGGGCTCCTAAGCGGTCAGGTGACAGTTTGAGCCACCACTCTAGCTAGCCTCGTCTTCTTGCTTGTTCTGATGGGTTTCTGTTTTGTTTGAGACAGGGTCTATGTAGATCTGGGTGACCTGGAACTTGCCAGTAGACCAAGCTGTCCTCAAACTCAGAGCCCCAACCTGCCTCTGCCTCCTCTGCTGGCATCAAAGACTTAACTTGACACATCAAAGGCTTAACTTGACACATTAATGTGTGTGTGCCTCTATGTGTGTATGTGTGTGACACACTTGTGTGTCCCAGTGCACATCCCCACCCCCATTCATGTTGAGGTCAGAGAACAGCTTCAAGGATTCAGTTCTCGCTTTACACCATATGAGTGCTGGGGATGGAGCCCAGGCTGTCAGGCTTAGCAGAAGCTCCTGTGTCCGCTGTGTAGCGGTCAAGTCTGGTCTTTTAAAGGTAACTGCAGTTGCACTGGTACAAACCAAGCAACACAGGGAGCTTCCTGAGGATTCCGGGTTGATTCTGAAATGAGGCTTTATTTGGGTCTGAAGGAGGCATGAACACTCTAGCAAACCAGAAAATCCTGGATAGGTGGCAGGTTACATTCCCACTGGGGGACAGGGGGGCAGGTGTCTAGGGAAGGGTGCAGCCTGGGGACTCAGGCTACCACTTGCTTCCTTGCTGCATTGTCGTCCTTGGAACCCGATTTGGAGGGGCCCTTGACACTTTCCTCTGAGCCTGTATGAGACTGGAAGCTGAAGGCGTTGGAGGTGGCGTATGTGTAGTAGGACTCTGATGCCATGATGTTGTTAATCTTCCAGCGTAATGAGACCCAGGCCTTCACTATGTGGGGCCACAGGAGGCAGAACAGGATGTAGAAGACCACCAGGCCCACAAACAGGCTGATGGATACCTGTAGGCACAGGGCAGCAGGCGTGGATGCAGTGTGCCGCGCAAGCCCCTGCCCACCCGGTGGGGAAGCCTTTGGCCGCCACTCACAATGACAATGAAGAGTGACCGCTTGGCGCTGAGCGGTAGCCCATGCATGTGCAGTATAAAGATGAGCTGGTAGTCACAGTACGTGCTAGTGTCTACTCCTCTGGTGAGGGAACAGAGTCCAGGATTGGATTAGGTAGTGGGGCGTCATCCCATGGAACAATCTCAACAGCCCACTCCCACCACACACCCAGGTTACCATGCCCGCCTGGCTTACCTATTGCTCACCAACAACTTGAGGAAGAATTCGGGTGCGAAGATGTTCCGGGGCGTGATATCGTGGCATGGGGAGTTCTCTAAACACAGCCACCTAGGAGTCCAAGTTGAGGCAGCTGTGCCACTTACACTTCCGGTAAGCACCAGCCAGGTGCGCTCAATCTCCACCTTCTCTTCAGGCTGTTTGTCCCTTTTGTAACTGTGGTGCTTCGGGCTGACAGGCTCGGGGTCTCATGCAAGCCGGGTGAACGCGCTACTGCTGGGCCAAGTCCCGCCACCCTCAGCCCTTCAATAGTGTGTCCCTGGCACATGTTCTCCCGCGGAGCTGCCGTCTCAGCCCCTCCCTCGGAGCCAGAGCCACACCCCCAGTCTGCAGTCTCCACCTCCTCTTGCCTACTCAATCCATTCAAACAGTGACGCTGTCCGAGCGCCTGCACGAAACAGCCTGCTGCAGCCCTGCCCCCACCTGCCAAGGCCCCCATGTTGGGCTGACTATCGACTGCGTGCCCCACACAGCCACCTCCATTCCTTCATCCCATAGCATGGGCTGGACACAAGCTGGACTTAGACTGGCATCTCTTCTTTCTTATCCCCTCTTGGTTATTGCTCAGTAGCCCTGACGCAAACACGGACTTGGGTGCAGTTGGCAAATTTGTTCATTTGCTGCCTTGTGGTATCATGGTTTTCCTTTCATCGAATCAAAAAAGGGTCACCAAGCCCTCACAGTTTTATCCATTCATTAACATCTCCATTTAACTGTCAGTGAATGCCGGCCATGCATTAATTTGTTCACCATTTGATTTAAAAAAAAAAAAAAAATGTTATAGTGTGTCTATTCAAGAGCTGTGCTAGAGAAGAGACAGGGCCTTCAGGAGACAGTGATAACTTAGAATGGTCAGGACTGAAATGTAAGGAGATACAGGCAGAGGGTCACGGAAGGCTGGGGGTGGGGGGTGTAGGCAAAGGCTCAGTGCAGGAAAGGCATGGGAGTCCAGATGAGCCAACAGCCCGTCTGGAAAGAAAGGGCATGGTTAAGCCCTCCTGAATGGAGGAGCATGTGAGCCAAGGCCTGAAGACAGTAAGAGGCCCCAGACTTCCAGGAGAGCCTCTGTATGCAAAGGCTAGCCCTCCTTGGGAAACACAAAGACAATGTGACTATTGGGAAGGATCTCAGAGGCCACCATGGGCCAGAGGGATGGGGGGGGGGAGGGCTTGTGCAAAGAGCATGTCCCAAATTTCAGAAGGCAGAATTGGACAGTCATAGTTCTGAGACAAGGCAGGGCTACATAGTGAGACTCTGCATGAAACAGAGAGCGCTGGGGTGTGTGTGGCTCGGGTGGCAGAATGCTTGCCTGGCACACACTAAGCCCACGCACCGGTACTGTAATCCCAGAATTCTGGAGACGGAGGTAGAAGAATGAGAAGGACAAGGTCGTCTTCAGTTATATAGTAAATTCAGGGCCAGCCTGGGGTACATGAGACCTGAGCACCAAAACCGAAACTAACAAACACGGAGGGCAGAACTTTTGAGACTTGTACTTACTCAATTCCCGGGCTCTGGTAGGACATTATGTAGAACTTCTTGTCGTGAGTAGTCCTTTCAGCCTTCGTTTTCCAGATGAGGCTGTTGGTCCTGAGCAGGCCCATATAAAGTCAGGGGTTAGCACTGAGGGGCGGGGCCCTGGTGGGCCGGTTCCCTGGTGAGGGAGCCTAGGCCTCACTGAAGGGTGAATCTGATGCACTGGGTGGGTAAGGTTGCAGCAAGAGTCCCCTGCTTAACTGGGAAGTGGAAGGGAGATGCGCAGACCAGACCCACCAACTGCGAACAGGGGCCCCAGAGGGATTACTTGTCCAGTGGGCTATTGTAACGGTAGATTTCTTCTTCCGTGTAATCTCTGATGGTGTCCATTGTTGGACCGCCGCCCACCACCTTCAGCAAGTAACTGCAAAACGCAGAGGCAAACATGGGCCGCTTTTGAACTGTGCATCTTCCGGGTCCCACTAGCCAAGTACCGGCAGCCTCTGGCCAGCCTTTCCTCACCTGCCTAGGAAACTGCCAGAGTCTCCTGTCACCATGTCTTGGACTAAGAAGAAGGGCTGAAACACTGTGGATTGCAAGGAGAGGAAGGGGGAAACATTAGCTTTGTCCAGAGAGGCACAGGAAGACAGTGGAGGGGGACTCAGGCTTGGAGCAGAAGGTGATGGGCTGTGGCAAGGGGAATGAGGGAGGGATGGCAAAATGGCCAGGACAGGAGGACAGTGAACTTGGGAGAAGGTATGGAACACACAGTCACGAAAAAGAAAGCACGGCATCTCAGGGTTCGGCTGCACACAGTCGAAATAGTGTTTGTTTAGCTCCCGGGAGTGCAAAATCGTGTAGGTGACATCGAAGGCCAGGCGCTTGCCAGGGGGACAGCCGATTAACACTGGCACCATCAAGTGACCCTGGGTAGGAAAAAGACCTCCTGCTGGGGGATGGCCAGATTGCCATAAAGGGGCACAGAACAAACCTCCCCTCCATCACACACCAGACTACCAACCCTCCTCACCAGCACAGTTGGCCACATTGTAAACTGTAGTATTGTACTACATCCTTACTGCCTTCCTGTAGTGAGATACTCACTTTGTCCACACCTGTGGCACAGACCACGCCCATTGGGGGGCGGGGACAGGGGCGGACATGACCTGGGGGAACTAAGTCTGGGGGGGGGCTGGGGGCTCTCTTGCTTGCAGTACGGGGGACAGGAGAGCATCCGGAGGCATCCTTGGGACCAGGAACCTGCTGGTGTTCATTTGTCTAGGTTGTAAGTTATTTCTCCCTGAATAAACATCTATTGGGCCTGTCTGTTTCTCCTGATCCTTATTAAGCCTCCATACCTGCCTGCCTGCTTTTCTTGGTAGTACTAAAGGTTGGAACCAGGGCCTTCCTCCAGTGCTAAGCAAATACACTACCAGCGATCTACATTTCCGGCCCTTTGCTTGTTGTTACTGTTTTTAATTAATAGTTTATTAAATTTTAGAATTTCATACGATCTATTTTGATCATATTCACTCCCCTTCCTCCCCTTAACGCCTTCCAAATCCAACCACCTGCTTCCCTCAACTTCATGTTCTTTCTTGATGCTTGGGACATGGACTCCTTGTGAAGAAGTCCTGGATGGTCTGGAAATGACCACATTGACCAGGCTGTCTCAAACTCACAGAAATCCTCCTGCCTCTGCCTCCCAAGAGCTTCAAGGGTTAAAGGTACACACCACCAGGCCCAGATTCCTTGCTTTTTGCGATAGAATCTTCTTAATATGCCCCACTTTGTTATTTATTTATTACTGTTTGTTTGTTTGTTTGTTTGAGATGGGATCTCTCTATGTGGTTCTGGCTGTTCTGGAACTCATTTTTGTAGACCAGACTGGCCTTGAACTCACAAAGATCCATCTGTCTCTGCTTCCAGAACCCTGAGATTAAAAGGGTGTAACATCATGCTAGGCAACATCCCCCCCTTTTAGAGATGGCACATACCTGCTATCCCAGCACCCAGGAGGGTGAGGCATGAGGAGCTGGGATTTGAGGCCAAGTCCCATACATATACATATCAAAAGTGAGGGACAGCCAGCTGTGGTGGCTCATGCTGCAGCATTTGGGAAACCGATGCAGGAGGATAGCTGTGAGTTTAAGGCCAGTCTGGGCTATCTAGTGAGTTTAAGGTAGTCTGTGTTACAGCCTGAGACCCTGGGGGGGGCGAGGGAGGGGAGAGGGAAAGGCTTAGTGTGGCGACTCGAACCTGGAACGTCAGCACTTTGGAGAGTGAGGAGCAAGGAGGATCAGGTGTTCAAGGTCAACCTTAGCTACAGAGCAAGTTTCTAGCAAGTCTGGGCTATTTGAGACTGTCCTAAAAACAAATAAATAAAACGCTAGACCTAGAAAGGCCAAGTCATTTCCTCATTTGATGGAACCACGCGAGGGTGAGGGGATGAAACGGGTAGGGTCCTCAACCTGCTAGCAACAGTGTGCAATGCCCATGATGCCCGGGCTGGTACAGCACCAGCTTCTGCTCACATCTCAAAGGTCTAAGTTCAGACTATAATCCACAAAAAGAGTACATGAAACCCGAAGGAAGCAGAGCCCAGAATGAGTGCCAGAGGTCTGGGAAGCCTCATGGCACTGTCTGCAGAATGAAGAATCTCTCTAGGCTCATTTGGGGCTAGGTCATGACATACAGAGATTGTGGCCCGAGCTTGGCGGCTGCAGAGGTAAGCATCTCCCATGCCAGACCTGTACCAGTCCCTTCCTATGATGCATAAGCCAGCACTCCCTAGGCTGCTGGGCATCTAAAATTCAGTCTATACAGAACTCATCTTAGTTAACAGACTTCTATCTCTCCCAGATGTTCAAATGAAAAAAAAAAAAATGGCCCTAGGTTGTGAATGTAGCTTGATCCTACAGAGAACTTGGGGTTAACAGGGAAAGGAGATGCTGGGGTTGTGTAGGATTCACAGTGAGGTGCTAAAGAGTATGGCTCAGCTTCCACCTTCTCAGTGCTGGGGTACAGGCTACCAGCACTATGCTGCCATGCCTGCCTAGCTTCCTCTTTCAACCCTTTAAAACAGATTCAGAAGGCTGGCATGTGGCTCACTGTTCAGTAATGATTAGCGTGTTTGGGTCTCTGCCTTTCTTCTCTAGCAACACAAAGAGGGATCTAGCCAGGGAGCTGAATCAGGAGGGTCAACATGGGTTTGAAGTTAGCTGTGTGACAGAGTGAGGCCCCGTCTAAGAAAGAAAGGAAAGAAGGAAGGAAGGAAAGAAGGAAGGAAGGAAGGAAGGAAGGAAGGGCAGTGGTGGTGCATGCCTTTAATCCCAGCACTTGGGAGGCAGAGACAGGCGGATCTCTGGGAGTTTGAGGCCAGCCTGGTCTACAGAGCTAGTTCCAGGACAGTTTCCAAAGCTACAGAGAAACCCGGTCTCAAAAAACAAACAAAAAAAAAAAAAAAAAAAAAAAAAACAAACAAAAGGAAGAAAGACAAGCCATACCTAAAACCAACCCATCTATTTTCTCCCCTAAACCTCAACTTTCTTCCCTCCTCCCTTACCATTCTGCCATTGAAGAACACACATGCATGTACACGCGCGCGCGCGTGCACACACACACACACACACTCCTGTTCCCAGCATACAGCCAGATGTGAATGTCCCAGTCTCTCCCCCTCCCTCCTTACTCATCCTGATTCAGACAGGCTTGTTCTTGACACATCATCTAAGAAGTCTGTGCCTGTCACACCTGTTTTCCACTGCCTGAGTCACTCCAATCCAGCAAAGATGAGTTTGCTGGTGGGTGGACAGGGAAGTTAATGGAGAACAAGGACTCCAGGTCCTTGCTTGGCCTCAGTAGCTAACTGTATGCATGGGGGGTCTAGTACATGTGTTAGCAAGAGAAAAACCACAAAACAAAAAGAGAGAACAAAGAAGACTTGAGGGGGAGAAATGTAAAACAATGGGTGAGGGTTGGGGAGGGTGGTGCCTTACTGGTAGAGTGCTTGTCCACATGCTCAAAGGCTTGAGTTCAATACCTGGTACTGGGAATTGGGGGGGGGGGGAAGCAGTGTGTAGTGTGTGTGAAAGGGTTGGCCATGTTCTCCAGATGCTATGTGTGTGTCAGTTGGGAAAAGAAGCCCATAGACATCTTATGATGCAATGCATCTGTGAAAGCACCCAGGTTTGTGTGCAGCCTCCGGAGCTGTGAAGGCAACCATTTCAGAGCCACTCCCTGAGCGGGAGAGCCGGGGCAGGGGGATGAGTGAGGATAGCAAATAAGAAAGGGAAAACATGAGTGCCGGGCCTGGACACGTGACCCAGAGGCTAAGAACAATGGCTGCAATTGCAATCACAGAGGACCTGGGTTCCATTCCCAGCACCCACATGACAGCTCACAACCGTTTGTCACTTCAGTTCCAGGGGACCAGATGCCCTCTTCTGTTCTGACTCTGCAGGTTCCTGCACCCACATGGTGAACCGTCATACATGCAGGCAAAATACCTTATACATAAATTAAAAATATATACGTGTTTATGTTTCCAGGACAACAGCAGGAACCAGCCCCATGGGAACTCGTCCCAACCCTCCACTCCCAATACCAGACCCAGTACCCAAGTTCCAGTACTTGTGTGGTTGTCCCACGGTATGTGGTCTGGAAGCATTTTCCGGAAGATCCCAGCACCTGTGGGTAGGAGTAGGTGATGCTAGGGATCCCAAGGGCCACTGTCCCCTCCCCACACCCTCGCCCAAGCTTGGACCATACTTTGACCATCATGGACGTCTTCTTGAGGTTATGTCCGCTGAGACCCTGATCATAGCAGACCTTTCTGTCCTTGATTGTAATCTGAGGTGGAAAAAGGAAAGGCTGAAAAAGAGATATCCGATTCCGCTCTAGGACCCAGAGACATTCAAAGACCCGACACCCTGGGCTGCTCAGAGGGGGCTAATAAGATCTGTGGCTTTTCCACTGACTGTGCAGAGAGGGACAGAAGCTTAGGCTCCGGTACCTCCTCTCTGGCCTCCTCACCCTGTAGAGCACTGCTTTACGATTAAGAAGAACCTCCTGAATCACGGATGCCTTAAGGCAGTCGGGATCCGCCACTACCACAGCCACTGCCAACTTCTTCTCCACCTGGTCGCCCGAGACTGCCAGGGGAGAGGGAGGAGCTTCATGCCTGGAATCCACCCCCAGGGGATCCAGGCCCCGCCCCCACAGTTGCCAAGTAGGCCCCGCCCACAGACCGGGGTTGGAGCTGAGCTTGAAGGTGTCATCCTGCGACGACAGGAAGATGGTGAAGCTAAACGTGTTGCCCTTGTCCAGGAAGACAATCTCGGGCAGCCCCTGGTCGTTGGAGATGTTGTAGAGCTTTTGGTAGCTGCCCATGTCGATGTACACGCCTTCCGCCGCCAGCCAGTTGCTGGATAGGTAGAAGTAGTAATCCTAGGTGCACAGGAGTGGTCAGCTAGTGGACACTGGACGGAACGCGAGCGTCTCAGAGCTGTCCCTCCACCAACTCCCAACCTGTCCACCTACCTTGTACTGTGTTTTTTGTTCCCACCAGCGCCAGGTGGGGTCATGCACGGGGTCCGCGTAGGGCTGTGGGACGGTCAGACACAGTGAGGTGACCGGGAGGAAGCAGACAGCTCTAGGGCTGGGTTCATAACCCAAAGTAGGAGATACACGCCCCACCCCGGCCTGGCCCCTGTGTCTGTGTAGGGTGTGCGAGCTTGGGGAGGCCAAAAACCTTGCTTGTGTTTCCAAAGAAGCCGCCCAGGGGGGTTCTCACTGACGCCTGGGCCTGACCAGACTAAGATGCCTGGCTAGTGAGTCTCCATCTCTTCAGCGCTGGGATTGCAGGCCCAGCCCTCACACACAGCTTTTTATGTGTGTGCTGTGACGGCATTCAGGTGCTCACGCTTTGTGCATCATCTCCCCAACCCCTTGCGTTGATTTCTGTTTGTTTTGATACAGGGTCTCTCACTATGTAGCCCCAGCTGTCCTGAAACTCGCTGTGTAGACGAGGCTGGCCACAAACTCAAGAGTTCTGCCTGCCTCTCCGGTGCTGGGATGAAGGCATAAAGGCGGAAGCACCACACCAGGTCCCCCTCAGCACCAGCCAGCCCCTTTTTAATGGCAGGTGTGGCCATTAAAGTGTAGCCAAGGTTAGTCTTGAACTACTAATCTTCCTGCCTCTACCTCCCAAGTGCTGAGATTACAGGCATGGGCCAGCACGTATAACCTAAGACTGGCTTCCTGGCCTTTAATCCAAGGGCCTCACCCCTAACAACTACTCTGAAGTCCAGCTCAAACCTGCTGCCTCCTGCCCCTTCCCCCTCCCCAGATCTTTGACCGTCGGGCTCTAATCTGGCTTCCACTACGCCCTGAAGCTCACCCCTCCAGGGACCCACCTTGTCATACTTGGAGTGTAGCCACAGCAGATAATAAACAAGGCCTTGATAGACAGCAAGTGTCTTATTATTGTGGAAACCCAGAGATTCGGAGACCAGAGGTGGTGGAGCATGGTAGAGCTCCTGGCGTGCAAAATGCTGTTTTTTGGGCAGGTCACGGAGACGCATCACCTTGAAAGGGCAGAAGTTGGTGAAGTAGGGCATCCTGTAGTTCCTGGGCGGCAGTAGGCGACGGGCATGCAAGGGGAGATAGATACTGATTCCTCTGGAGTACCGGGGGCATCCCCAGACCTATGTCCCACTTCTGAGTTGCTGGTTCCCCAAATTTATCCTAGCTCATACCAAACTCAGCTCAGTCACCTCATGTTCAGCCATCTTCGAACACTCACGCTGGGCTCCCTCAGACCCACCATCGGGTCTGTTCTCCCCCGGGTGTCTTCTCCATCCATCCCAGCTAGGTCCTTTGCCTTACTTCTACCCCCCCCCCTCCAGCTGCTTTTCTGGTCCCACCCTCTGCGGGTCCCTGGAAGTTTTTATTTTTCTTCCCACAGACAGTCTCACTATGTAGCCCAGGCTGGCCTTGAGTCTTAACCACACACGTGTTGAGACTGCAGATGTGGGCTGTCCCTGACAGCTGCCAGTTACTAAGCACCCAGTCATTCATCCTCCTTGGGTCTTTCCAAGTAAGGTCCGCTGGTGTGAGCACCCCCACTTTCCCACTTTCCCTCACCCGCTCACTAACACCCCTCCCTCCTTATTAATCCCTCCCCACCCTCTCGTCATAGCCCCCCTTCGGATGCCCCAAGCCTCCAGCTGCGCCCCATTCTTTCTTCGAACTCTGTTTCACACTGACCACCCTCATATCCCCATCACAAGGTTATCCTTAGGGTGGCTCTTGGTCCCAGCCCTGGGCTGGCAGCTCTCAGACCTCTTCATGGGCCTCATGTTCTTACCCATGCTTCTCCAGTGTGATGGGGTTGTTCTGGTCATAAAGCAGCAACTGGGCCACGGGCAAGACCCTCTTGACCAAACGTTCATTCCCGGTCTCCAGAAGGTATATCAGCTGGGCCAGAAGCAGGCAGGTAAGCTGCTGGGAACCGCCTTGTGGTCTCCACCTGCTCCCCATCTCCACCCTACCAAGCCCTCCTGGCACCTGGTAGAGCTGCCCGTCTTCATAGAAGAGGGTGACCAAGAACTCTTGGTCCGCAAAGAGGGATGACTGATGCATCTTCTGCAGGTTAAAGTAGATGCTCCAGCCTTTGGACGGGACAATCTGGTATACATCATAGCCACCTTCCAGAAAGTACCAGATCTGCGGGTTCAGTGGCCGTTATATACGGGGTTAGGGTAAAACCGTCACCTTCGCTCCTCTCCCACTGTGCTGTGAGAGTCCTTGGAAGATCTCCTACCCTCTCTGAGCTCCAGGGCCTTGCTACAGATAGAGCTGCTGCTCACGTTATCTTGGGGTCCCCTAAGGGTGTCCACCCTGACAGGCAGGAGGACTTGGGAGAGAAGGGCAGGGTAGCGCACCTCATCTTTTTCTGTGACAAAAGCCATGTCTCCTTGGTAAGAGTTGACCATGTATTTGATGGTGGAATCCTTTGGAAAGTCCGCCAGGAAAATGTAGTGAACCCTGTTGTAGCTGCGGAGGCAGAGGGAGGGAGTTCAGAGAGTGGGGACAGCCCAGTGTCCTTAGACACCTGACTCTACCATTGCAACCATGGACTCATTGACTGTGTGTCTGCTGGCGATGTAAACCCTGAAACCCTACCTTCAGCTCCCACCATGTATTAGAGTGTCCTTGTGCCCTTTGACCCCCCATCTCCACCTCTCTGACTTTCTGGGACTCAGCCCTGTGGCCTAGGACTCCAGTAAAAGCACCCCCTTGCCTACAAATGAAGTCCCAGTATCATACTCTCTGAGCCCTGGATCCAGCATGCCTGAAGCTAGCTCTTGATCTTTCTAAATATAACTCAATAGATTGTTTGTGTTTAAATGATTTGTTTTTGAACCAGGCTTCTTTCTTTTAAAACCAAATGCATCAGCAAGGTGGTGGTGCCACACGCCTTTAATTCCAGCACTTAAGAGGCAGAGAGGCAGGCGGATCTCTGTGAGTTCAAGGCCAGCCTGGTCTACAGAGCGAGTTCCAGAACAGGCTCCATAGCTACTGAAAAAAGCCTGTCTCAAAAAAAGCCAACCAAGCAGCCAACCAATCAATCAATAAAAGTAAAAAATTTTAAAAATCTGAAGGCCTGGAAGGATGGCTTAGAGGTTAAGAGCATTTGCTGTTCCAAGTACCAAGTAACTCCAGCTCCAGGGTTTCCAATGCCCTCTTCCACCCGCCATAGATACCTGCACTCCTGTGTGCACTCTGCCACACAAACACACATACACATACACCATTAAATAAAACTTTAATGGGTGTAATGGCATATGACTTTAATCTCAAGCCCTGGGTGGCAGCAGAGGCAGATGGATCTCTGAGTTCAAGGACAGAGATGGCTACATAATGAGGCCCATTTCAAAACAAACAAATACAAATTATTTATATAAATAAATGTGTGTGTGTGTGTGTGTGTGTGTGTCTAGGTCCCTGGGGATGTGTCTTACGCCTACCTTTGCAGGATGAAGTTACCCCAGATGTACAGCATATTGTTGAATGTGTTGAAGAACAACCCTTTGGGTGTCATGGCAGTGGTGGTATAGGACTCTGTCCCGTCTAGCACCAGGAAGTCCAAACCCTGAGCTGACCACAGCAGAGGAGGAAAGAATGGGGGGGGGGAACAGTCACCTGAACTCTTCCTGGCCACTGCCCACCCTGGAAGCCATCCTCGCCCTCTGATCCTACCTTCTGGGATAAACACTGGCATTATGTAGAGGATAGTCATCTTCTGGGTCTCTAAAGGTAGGAAACAACACCCTGAAACCTGAAGAACTCTCAACATCGGAAAACAGGGCCGAGTTACTAGCTCTCCAACCCTTGAGTCAGACTCCGTTGGCAATTGGGCATGGTAGCACTTTAATCCCAGCACTCAGGAGGCAGAGAGACATGTGGATCCTTGTGAGTTTAAGGACGGCCTGATCTATATGGTGAGTTCCAGGCCAGTTAGGACTACATAATGAGACCTTGTTTCAAAAAACAAATCAAAACCAGTTCCCACCCATCTTAAAGATTCTGCTGGCTTTCCATTTAGGATAGGATGCCTTCCTTGATTTACGATTTATTACATTTACTCTTTCCTCTCTCTCTCTCTCTCTCTCTCTCTCTCTCTCTCTCTCTCGTGTGTGTGTGTGTGTGTGTGTGTGTGTGTGTGTGTGTGTGTTTGCACGTGTGCACGTGTGCATGTGCTCACAGGGCCTTCCAGATCGGGCTTCCGTTCCCTTGCTGAGTTTCCCCCTTGTCCTCTTATCTCTCTTGCAGACATGCCAGCTTTCCAGGCCATCCTAAGAGCTAAGAGCAGAGTGTTAGGGTGGGCATAAGTCCAGGCTCCTGCGCATTCCCGCCTGACTCCAGGCAACCTGATTACCTAAATTAAAGCTGATTAGGTAATAGACCAGCGTGGATTGTAAGGAGAGGATCTGCACCAACAATAGCAGGTTCTTCTCATCTGCGATGTATGTAGCCCAGTTGATGGAGCAGTTCATACCTGTTGGGGGAGAGCAGACTCTAGAGCAATCTGACCTCTTCCCCACAATCCTTCTCACCCTTCTCAGAGGCCTCCCACCCTCCATCCCATACCCCACCAAAAATTGAGTACCCGATAACTTATCACATATTGACCAGTTAGTCGGCACCATCTGGAAGGACACGAGACCATCTGTGGATCAAAGCAGGTCCCATGCTCAGGCCCTTTTCAGTCCGCCAGCACCTGTAGGGCAGACATCCCACCCACACAGCCGCCCATGGAGGCCCCCACACCTTGAACATCCAGGAATTCTAGGGGTTAGGTCTGCTATCCTGATTTTTCATCTCTACACTTGACCTAGGGTCTCAGAAAGGTTCTTAGATCTGGCAATGTGACCAGTAGAAGCCAATCAGAGCCAGCGGTGGTGGCGTCCATCTTTAATTCCATCATTTGGGAGGCCCAGGCAGGCCAATTTCTGTGAGTTCCTGGCCAGCCTGGTCTACAGGGCTAGTTCCAGGACAGGCTCCAAAGCCACAGAGAATCCCTGTCTTGGGGGTGGGGGTGGGAGGGAGCCAATCAGAGTGCATCCTGTGCCTGGGAGTTAGGATTAAGGAACTGAGGTGTGGGGTGCACACTGGTGATCTCAGCCCTCACTCACTGGTGGAGCTACATGTTCTCTGATGATGAGGCAAGCTCTGGCTCTGGTTTTGTCTTTTAGTTCAATATGGCTTCGAGCTCTTGATCCTCCTGCCTTAGCCTGCCAAGTGTGTACCACCACGTCCAGTGTATTTATTTCATCTTTATATCAGCCCAAAGAAATAGACTGTAGCATTGACATCTGGTCCCATTTTACAGATGGGACAACGCTATCAATGAAGTCATATAACTTATCCAAAACCATAGATCTAGGGTTCCACAGAGCAGTCTGTGGCATCTGTGTTACATTTAGTCACCGTGTGACGCAATAATAGGAACTTATCAGCACTTTTTTAAACAAACAAAAACCGGACACGTCTTTTCAGTTGGGTCTGGCAGATGCCTGATGGGAAACAAAGAATAGGACAAGCCCTGAGTGTTGGTACAGGCCTTTAATCTGAGGGGCAGAGGCAGGGAGATCTTTGTGAATCTGAGGACGGCTTGGTGTACACAGCTGAGTCCCAATATAGCAAGTTATATACTGAGGTCCTGTTTCAACAAACAAACAAAAGAAATGGAATGAAAATGCACAACGATGACAATGGCACATCTTTGTACTGAGAAATTTGAGTCAGATCCCTGCTCAGCCCTTCATGTGAGCATGCCAGTAACTTTTTTATGATTTACTTGTTTTTCGTGTGTGAGGGTTTTGCAAGCCGCTCAGTATATTCGCCACCTGAGTGGCACTGGGTGCTGGAGGCCAAAAGAGAGCATCAGATCCCGAGGAACGATTATGAGCTGCCATGTGAGTGTTCCAAACTACTCTTGGCTGCTGAGTCATCTCTCCTATCCCGCCCTCTCCCAGCTTTTGGAGAACAGGTCTCACTATGTAACCCTAGCTAGCCTGGAACTCCCTCTGTAGACCAGGACGGTCAAATTCCTGCAGGCTGTGCATACGAGGGGGTCAGAGGGACAGCTTGTGGTATTGGTTCTTTTCTTCCATCATAGGGTACCCGGGGACTGAACACAATTCCTCAGGCTGAGCAGCAAGCACCTTTACCAGCTAAGCTGTTTCTTTCTTTCTTTTTTCTTTTTCTTTTTCCTTCTCCCAGCTTCTCAGAAAGCAGTTAAGCAGTTTTATTTGAATCTCACACACACCAAAGCAGAGAGGAGGTGACTGGGACTGGCCCTAGCTGCTGGGGTGAGTCTCTGCCCCCCCCACCAGGCGGTCCCCAGCCCCCCAGGCCTGTCACCATCTGTGAGCTGAGAGGGGTGTCTGCCAGCCACCATGGGGTAGAGGACCTAAGGGTCCCGGGATGGGAGCCCACAGGGAACCTCAGTGAGGTAGTCTGTCGCCTGAGGCCCTCATGGGTCCTACTAAGGTAAAATTTGTAAGTTTATCTCAGGGACGCGCGGGTCAGGACTCCTCGGTGCCAGAGTCGTCCTCTTCATCCCCAAAGCAGCTGCCGGCCTCTTCCACTTCGCCATCCTCACAGTCGCCATTGTAGAAGAGATCTGAGCCCTCGTCGGGCACCGGCGCCTTGGTCTTCACACAGTACTCAGCCAGCGTGGTGGGCACCTTCACACCATCATACACCGCGTCCACCTTGGTCCCCAGGACCTGCTTCCGGATAACGTCGTCCGTGTACTAGCGGTCCTTCCCCTTACCCCTTTCTGTACATCACTGAGGCATCCACATTGGCGGGCGAGGTGTTGGGCTCATTCAGCAGGGAGGTCACACTCAGGAGGATGGTCCTGACATTCTGTGTGGGGTTCCACGGCTCTGAGCGCAGCTTCCCACTCTGTGGGTCATCAACTGAAGGATGGAGGATGGAGATGCACACATCCCCTGTCTCATAGATGTTTGGGTGCCACATCTTGGTGAGGAACCGGAAGGCTGGTGGGGAATATGGGTAGTCGATGGGGAACTTGAGGAGAGCCTTGAAGTAGCCTCCCTGGTAGTGGGTGTTGGCGGGGCCCGAAGATGGTCACCCCCCAGTTGGACAGGTCACCCTCGTCCACCAGCGTCAGCCGGAAGCCCTCCACTGGTTCCTCTTGCAGCCCCCTGAGTTCCTGCAACAGCACCTTCTGTGATCTGGGTACCAGCGGCAGGGCCATGGCTGTGGCGGAGGCGGAGGGGCCCCAGGCAGCTCGTGGGATGGAGCGGGTCGAGCGCCACAGCGGGAGAGCTGCTGCCTTCCTCCTCTGCACCATGGCTGCCGCCACCGGGACCCCAAGGCTCCACTCACTCTGGCACTTGCTTCGGCCTGGCCCACTTACTCATTTCTACAGCGTTGTCAGGGGTCTCCCCAGCCTGCTTGTGTGTGTGTGTGTGTGTGTGTGTGTGTGTGTGTGTGTGTGTGTTTGAAATAAGGGTCTCATTGTGGCCTAGCCTGGCCTTGACCTTCTGATGCTCCTACCTCCACTTCCCAAGTGTTGGTTTTGCAAGCAAGCATCTAGGTTTGTTGACCTGATTTTTGTTTCGGTTTGGCTTTTCGAGACAGGGTTTCTCTGTAGCTTTGGAGCCTGTCCTGGAACTTGTTCTGTAGACCAGCCTGGTCTCCAACTCACAGAAATTGGCCTGCCTCTGCCTCCTGAGTGCTGGGAGCAAAGGTGTGCACCCCCACCCCACCATCATCCCATCCCACCCCACCCCGCCCCATGCCGGCACTAATTTTTGAGTTGGGTTTGTGCCCTTTAAAGCCAAATACATCATAGAAAGTACCTAACACTGTTCAAGCCTTATCTCAACCAATGCATATCCATTTCCATACACTCAGGAACAACCCTGAGCCTGTCACCTCTCCTGAGGACGGGAACCCTAGATGTAGAGAAAAGTCTCCTGAGCTTCCAGAACACAGCTGGCTTTTACCTGTGATGGTCCCCATGTGGACGTAACCTTCATGCTTGCCAGTGGTAAGGGCTAGGATGTACTCAGAGCCATTGCCGTGAATGAACACTGGACACAGTTTCTTGATGCACTCACTGGCCAGGACACGAACCCAGTTACCTAGGGGGGGCAAGCATGGGGACTCAAAACCAGGTGGCCAGGCTGTCCCCTGAACCCCCAGTCTCCTTCCTTCTAACCTTAGAAACACATCACCTGTCCTCTTAGCCTGGAGCAACATGTCAGTACGGTATTGGGGAGCCTCTAGAGCAACATTTGTCGTTTTTTGTGACCCCTTCCTCATCCTTTACCTCTGAATCCTAGCTTGCTCTGACTGGCTTTGTTTTATGAGACAGGGTCTGACACGTGGCCCTAACTGGCCTCGAGCTTCCTGTGTAGCCCAGGCTGACCTCAAACCGTGGGCTTCCTGTGGCAGCTTCCCAAAGGCTGGAATATCAGGTGTGTGCCTCTCCATGGGCTGTCTGTGAGATCTGGGTGGGCTCACCCTTCTCTTGTGCTGCCCTGGTTCTGAACTTAGTGTTGGACAGAGTGAGGCAAATAAATGGCCCTTCCAGCTTTCAGCCACTCACAAAGGTTCCCTGGAACTATCAAAGGACAGAGAAACGGGCAGTTGCCAGGTGTGGGTAAGGAATCACCATGGGTCAGCAAGGAGAGCAAGAGTTACAGTGAGTCCCTGGATAGACACACACATGCCTGAGGCCAAAGAGCTCATGGGATGCTCATTCAGGTAAGCCAATAAGCATGTAAACCCACCCTCCTTCCTTCCCTCCTTCCCTCCCTCCTTCCTTCCTTCCTTCCCTCCTTCCTTCCTTCCTTTTTTCCCAGAGGGAGGGCATTGAAGCTGTTCTCATGAAGTTTCCCAGGCTTCCTGGAACCTACTGTGCAGCCCAGGCTTGCCCTGAACTAGAGATTCTCAAGTGGGGGGGGGGGTCACAGAGGACTGCCACACACCCCCACTGTGTGCATGGGTCCCCCTTCCCAGGCAGGGTCACCTCTAACTTGCTAAGGAGCTGAGGACGGACGACCGTGATCCCCCTGCCTCGGTCTCACTGATGTGGGGATGACAGGTGGGTACCATGGTGCTGCTTGAACTTTCCCCTTTCTGGGCAACACCCTTCTTGGTTTCGTTTCATCTCCCACTCCCCTCTCAGCCCCGCCCAGGGTTCTCACTGCTGCTGTGGCTGTCATCGAAGAGCGTAGAGTATCTGCCTGTGAAATAGTAGACAAGCTGGTTCTGTCGGATGAAAAGCGTGCTCTCGGTGGAAATGGCATCATGAATGGTGGCTGAGAACTCAAGCATGGGGCAGTAGTAGGAGCCAACCCAGCAACTGTCAATGCTTAGCTGCAGGGGAGCAGAGAACAGGTAAGCAAGTGATGGAGCCCCGCCCACCACCGCCCCACCCCGCCTCACCCCGCCTCCAAATCCTGCCTTGGGTAAAGCGTTCTTTTTGTTTTTCTCGATATGTTGTAGGATGTTTGTACACTGTGTCAAGACGTGTTACTGTGATTGGTGCACTAAAAAGCTGAACAGCCAATAGCTAGGCAGGAGAGTATAGGCGGAGAGAGAACTCTGGGAAGAAGAAAAGCTCCATTTGCCAGTGCGGCATGGAGAGGAAGCAGGGGGTACAGTATGGAAGAGAGGTAACAAGACACGTGGCAGAACATAGATGAAAAAATATGGGATAATTTGAGAGTTGCTTAGAAAGCCGGGCGGTGGTGGTGCACACCTTTAATACCAGCACTTGGGAGACAGAGGAGGGGGGATCTCTGTGAGTTTGAGGCCAGCCTGGTCTACAAGAGTTATTTTCAAGACAGCCTCCAAAACCACAGAGAAACCCTATCTCCAAAAACAAAAAAAAACAAAAACAAAGAGAGAGAGAGAGAGAGAGAGAGAGAGAGAGAGAGAGAGAGAGAGGTGGTGATGCACGTCTTTAATCCCAGCACTTGAGAGACAGAGGCAAGCCAATGTCTGTGAATTTGAGGCCAGCCTGGTCTACAGAGTGAGTTCCAGGATAGGATCTAAAGCTACAGAGAAACCCTGTCTTGAAAAACCAAGATAGGTAGGTAGGTAGGTAGACACACACACAGAGAGAGAAGTAGAGAGAGAGAAAGAGGTAGATAGGTAGGTAGGTGTAGGTAGGTACGTAGGTAGGTAGGTAAGTAGGTAGGTAGAGAGAGACAGAAAGAGAGATAGGTAGGTAGAAAGGTAGGTAGGTAGATAGGTAGATAGTGAGAAAGAAAGAGAGGTAGGTAGGCACTTAGATGATAGGTGAATTGAGAGATGATAGATAGATAGATAGATAGATAGATAGATAGATAGATAATAGATGGACCCTGCTATGTAACAGAATGCTAGATGACTCTCTACCAATGGGAGATGGATAGAAATGCCTGTGGCAACACAGACAAGTTTCCCAGAGCTGGGATGGTTAGACATGGCTGGTACTGTTAGGAGGACCCAAAGAGGGCAGAGGCAGTCACCAACTCCATGTGCTAAGCCAGCCACACTGCAGATGGCCTAATAGTTTAGTATAACACAGGGAGTTTGTGCCTTATATGGTGCTTTGTTAATTTTAATTTTTAAATGCTAATGAACATAAAATGGTAATTGCTGAGAGACATTAGATTGTGAAAGGAACTGCTAAATTAAACCAATTTATATACTTTAGGGATGTCTGGACTTCAAAATAAAAGCCAGAAGATGTGTTACGATGGGGGAGAGGTTGTGCTTTTGTTTCTGCAAGAAATGAAAAGCTATGGATTCCTTAAAAATTAATATCAGGTTGACCTTGGGAGACCTGAGAGTCCTGGCTACAGACATAAGGCAAAAGCTAAGGAAGACTGCAGGGCTGTGCCCTGCATACTGATCCCTCAACATGAGAATATCCCTAAGCCCTCATGACTTATCATTACAAGCCATCCTTTCATATGGCACGGACAGGAATTTATATTAGTTTGGTTATATAATCCAAATGAATTTATAAAGTTGATAGATGTCTTTTTGTAGTGAGATAGTTCTGTGGCACTGACCACGCCCATTGGGGGTGGAGCCATGGGCGGAGTGACCTGTGGAAGGAGGTCGGAGGGGGCCAGGATGGCGCTCTTTTTCTGGCGTGACTCGGACAGGAGAGGATCGGGTTGAATTTCCTGGTGTTCATCTGTCTAGGTTGTAAGTTATTTCTCCCTGAATAAACATCTATTCGGCCTATTTGTTTATCCTGATCCTTATTTACCTCGATATCTTTTACCTGCTCAAACATAGAGCAGAGAAACATCTTTAACTGACTTGTGCACACAGTACGTTCCATACTTGTGTTAATACAGATACGTATGTTACCTTTAAAAGTTTGTGAGTTTTCAGAAAAAAATGGACCAAACACTAATAAAAACAAGGAGCCCAGGTGATCCAATGTCAGTGCCCATAAAGATGGCTGCACTCCACCTTGTCTCAAGGACAGAGAGTTCAAAGCTGTCCTCAGCAAGTCATGAGACCTAAAGGTCAAAGCTGTGGCTCCAGTAGGATGTCTGTCTGTCTTAGTCTAAATAACAACAGACCTGAATCTGAGGTGTGGCTACTCCTGACCTCAAGGCTAGGGAAGAAGTTTGGAGCTAAGGTGTGGTTACTGAACCCTTAGAATGAGGGAGGAAGAAAAGTCTGTTTGTTCCATATACATGATACTGTGTTCCCATTTTTGGTTATGGTATGTAAGAATGGTAAACAACAAACTCATGGCATTTCAGTATTGACTGAATCTGTCCCCCTGACCTTTATTCTGTCTCTCTCTTTTTCTTTATTGTCTATAGCTGGCCTTTCCCTCATCCACACTCCCCCATTTAGATATGAACTCGGGGCCACTAGGCTGGTTCCGACTAAGCCCCACAAAGACAGCTTCCAACAATCCAGCCTCTCAGATGCCTCTGTTGCAGTTTCCTCAAAATTCTACATTTAGAACAACTTCAAAGCTGCTAGCTGAAGCAGTCTCACACACTACTCCAACCAGGACTTCAGATAAGCTCTGAACTTTTCCATCACACAGACTAAACAAAAACAAAACAAACAAACAAACAAAAACCCCCACAGCTCTCCCAAGACTTGATCATGGTTCCAATTTTCTCAGAGTCCCCTAAAGATGTCATCACCCCCAGACAACAGGAAGCAGTCTAGAGAACATGATTCCCACATTCCCAAAAGGTGTGGTGGGTGGTTTGGGTCAATGTTTACGGAGGGTTGGTTGCAAGTTGCTATTGGTCATAATTAGGGCAGAAACTAAGCAAAGGAAGTTAAGTTCAGGGATCTTCTTCTGAAAAGAAAAAAATGGGGGATATAGGAATGATAGGGAAAAGGGTACATTATTGAATCTACTTTAAACTAAAACAAACAAATTACTAATCTCAAATACCTTGGTATTAATTTTTGTATATTTGATATAATGTAAATTTTTTTGTTTGTTTTTTTCAAGACAGGGTTTCTCGGTATTGCTTTAGAGCCTACAATGTAAGATTTTTTTTTTGTTAGAACATTCTGCATATGTTTTTACTCTTGTTTAAGGTATTGTACCTATGCAGCTCATTTTAAAATGTAATGTAGTTGGGCAGTTAATGGCACACGCCTTTAATCCCAGCACTGGGGAGGCAGAGGGAGGTGGATGGTTCTCTGGAAGTTGGAGGCCAGCCTGGACTACAAAGCAAGTTACAGGACTAGGGCTGTTAGACAGAAAAACCCATCTCAAAAAAAACAAAAAAAAAAAAAAAAACAAAAAAAAAAAGGAAAAAAAGAAAAGAAAGAAATGCAGGTTATTAGTTAGCCATCTATAGCAATCAAATTTGTGACCATTTCAAACACTTCAGGAACCTACAGAATATGACATTTAAGATGTTTTAAAAAACTAAAGCTTTTCATGGCAATGAGACATGAGGTCCTGAGTTCAATTCCCACAACCTCATGGTGGCTCACAACCATCTGTACCGAGATCTGGCGCCCTCTTCTGGCCTGCAGGCAAACGTGGACAGAACACTATACATCATAAATAAATAAATCTTTTAAAAAGTATTTAAAAAAAAAAAAGAATGATGGGTATCAAAGAACCTCCACATGGAGTGTGCTTTCATTGTGACAAAGTTAGCCACTGGACAAAGAAACTGCCCTTGCCTTGACTGCTGACAACATGTTATCAAATTTGGACAAGCAGGATATTTTTTTAAAAGGTGACTGCCAAACTTGCCAAGGCAAGGTAGGACAGTTCTTCAAAATTCCTGCTTCACAAAAAGAAAAAGGTCTGTCAGGCCTGTAGGCTGAAGATAGATGTCCCAACATTCCAGAGGAATCTTGGGTGACTGCCCAGGCAGTCAGATGTCTCTATTGTTTCTATAGTTTTAGAAATTGTTTATTCTGTGCTTCCTGCTTACTCAGGTAATATTATATCTTTCTTAGGTCTTTGATGGGATTGACAACTTTACAGTTACAGTTTTCCTTGTTACCAAATTAAAGAAATAAACTCCCAAGAGATGTGGAATGAATAAGTTTAAGAAACATAAAAGCTTAAGTTGTTTATCTAGAAAATGTTTTAAGGTCTAAAAGGATTATTTGGGAGCTGACAATACAACTTATCATAAAAAATGGCTTAGGAGGGCTAGACAGATGGCTCAGAGGTTAAGAGCACTGGCTGCTCTTCCACAGGTCCTGAGTTCAATTCCCAGCAACCTCATGGTGGCTCACAACCATTTGTAATGAGATCTGGTGCCCTCTTCTGGCCTGCAGGGACATATGCTGGCAGAATACAGTTAAAAATAAATAAATCTTTTAAAAAAATGGTTTATGTATAAAACTTTGGACTCATCAAGATTGGACAGATAATTTCTCCAGATCTGTTAAATACAAATAGACTAGACATTGTAAATGTAATTTTTTTTTTTTTGAGACAGGGTTTCTTTGTGTAGCTTTGTAGATCAGGCTGGCCTCGAACTCACAGAGACCCACCTGCCTCCCAAGCGCTGAAATTAAAGGTATGGACCACTACCACCCTCTAAAAGCTACTGTTCTAGATAGTCACACTCCCCCAACGTGGCCAGTGTGGGTATTGTAAACAACCTGGAGTTGAAAAGTATACAGTGTGTTCAAATCCCTGTGGCCCTGTCAAACTAAGTTAAAGGCCAATCTGTACTGCCTGAGACTCAAAAAACCAGTCAGGCTAGACATAGGAGTTAAGAGTATCACTATAATTACTATTTTATATTGAAAGAAGTTGGGGCTGGAGAGATGGCTCAGCTATTAAGAGTGGTCCCTGCTCTTCCAGAGGACCATGTCCAGGTCACCTAACCTCAGAAAGGAGGGGATGGAAGAATGCCTGTGGCCATGTCAGGCGGCAACTGAAGTTCGAGGGCTAAGCTAGCCTGGGAGACCACAGACCCCGGAATGTCTACTGCTTCTGTTGTTCCTCTCCATGCTTGCCGCTGCCATCTTTCTCTGGTATGAGGCATGGTGTGAATGGGTGTGGCAGACCCCCACTGCCTGGAATGTAGTGTGTTTATCTGATGGAAACATCCGTTCTACTGGGCATTTTTACCTGTGGATTACTATGAAAATGATTTCTCCTTATGCTGTACTGTCTAATTGGTAATAATAATAATGTTAGTTCAAATAGAGTGTTGATGATTAAAAATATAAGCAAGGAAGTGTCACTCAGCTAGAACACATGAGTTTTGATTGAGGAGCCATATAGACTGTAGCTTAGGATAATGATTAAGAAAAACAATTTAGTCCCAGTAGCCCAGCTGATTTAAATTCTAACCTTAATGTTGGGAGATGTTCACGGGTTTCGGGATGCAACATAGCTGAAACAGAGCTTTGAAAATAACTTAAAGTTGGACTAAGATGTTTTTGTCAAATAGCTTTGAGATGAACAATCCAAGAAGACAATCTGAAGTTTTAGAAAGGCACAGTTGAGTGAGGAACTCATTACGGTTAGGGAACAAGAACAAAGCAGCCCAATTATTGTTGGCTGACGTCCCCTCCTTGCTAGCATTGGTTGATGACCAAAGGTGATGACTAGTTCCCAGTTCTGCCCTCAATCTCCTGATATAAAAAAACTATTGATGAGTGGATGTGTATCCTAGAGATTTAAAGTAGAGCTGATTGATTCTTCTCTTTTTCATGTATAAGTTTAGATCTATGATTCCTTTAAGATTCCTTATAAGATTGCCTTTCAATATAAGTAATAAAGTAACTACAAAATGCAGCCTGACAGTAAAAGACCTGGATGAGAAGATATCTTGCTTGCCCACAGTTAATCTTTAAGAAGTTGCTTGGGTATGAAAGTACCTGGATTCTTGGGATAATTTGTTTTTCACTTATAATAGGTAAAATGTTCAATCATGTAAGGAATATGGAAAACATGATTTTTTTAACCGTTTGATTTATTCATTGTCATCATTCACTTGAAAAACAGAATGTGACCACGCTGTAGTTTTTTTTTTACATTGCCTAAAAGATTTTGCTGGGGTATATAAGCCAAAGGGAAAGAACAGAGATAGAGTTAGAGAGGGTTAAAATGAGTTAGAAGGAAAACATCAAGAATGAAGATAGACCTAGGAGGAAAACATCAAGAATGAGAGAAGGAAATCACCAGGAAAATAAAGAAGAACAAAGAAAGGGCTATAGGAAGCCATCAAGAGAGAGCGTGAGTTCTTCCCCTAATGCCCTCAGGTGGAAAAGTCTAGTATGCTCTGACTTTGTGGATTCCCTTTGAGCCCTGTGCTGCTGGGCATCAATAATAACAGGGAAAGGAACAAGAGGCAGTGACCAGGAGGCGGAGGCAGGCAGATCTCTAGGAGTTTGAGGCCAGCCAGAGCTACACAGTGAGACCTTGTCTCAGAAACACAAACGCAACACAACACAAAACAAATAAAACTCAACAAAACCACAAACAAGCAAAAAGAAGAGAACAAGCTGGGACATGACTCAATGGTACACCACTTGCCCAGAATATACCAGTGACAGGCTGGGATGTCCCTCAACAGTAGACCGCTTGGCAGGCATGCAACAGGCGCTGGAGTTAGTCCCAACACACACACACACACACACACTCACTCACACATGCACACACATGGATTTGAACCTAGGGTTGACATGTGGCTCAGTGGTTAAGAGTGTGTACTGCTCTTGTACAGGACTTGAGTTCAATTTCCAGGACCCACACTGGCTGGCTTAAAACCACTTGTAACTTCAACTCCAGGAGATACACCTCCCACGCCCTCTTCTGGCCTCCTCAGGTACTCACTCACACATACACATGCAAATTAATAATTGTATTTTTTTAAAAAAAATATTTGAACCTGTTTCCTGGGAGTAAAGTTTTTCTTCATACCCTGTTACTGGAGACTGGCATATTTTGGGGGTCCCATTCTGCAGCCCCAGTCCCCACTCAGCTCTGTCCAGATGCACAAGCCTACCGTCTGCCTGGCCTCACTCACCTCCACCAGAGAGTAGTCCTGGAAACTAGTGTCTGAAAGCAAGATGGTCTTTTCATCTTCAATACCACCGAGGATGAACACAGGTGAATGGTTTACAGTGTACCACAAGGGTCTCGATTTGGAACTCTTAAAGTGTGCACTCTTCAGAAGAAACGTCTGTCAGAGGAACAGAAAAAGCATTCAGCCCTCCCCTGCCTGACTACACATGCCTCCATCCAGCCACGAGCCCAAGTTCTCACCCAGCCACGAAGCTCTCTGCCCTCACCAGAGCCCAGGCCCATCAGGGGCCTCTTCCTTTCCAGCTCTCCGGGGGGCTTTGCACCAGCTGCCTCTTTATTCCTTTTCCTTTGCTTTCATTCTCCCCTTTTGGGAGGTGAGGTGCATTGAACCTTAGCAGTACCAGCAATTACTATGAGCTCCATCCTCATGATTAGGACACGTTTGCTGACCGAATGAGTAGTGAACTCAGAACATGGGTGGAGGGCTGGAGATTTGGCTCAGTGGTAGAGCTGCTAGTCTAGCATGTACAAGGATCTGAGTTCAAGCACCAACATCATAGATGTGCACACATGTGTGTACATGTACGCATGCGCACACGCACACACACGCTGGAATATGATGCAGAAATCATGAAGAATGGTTTTAAGTTTCTTTTTTCTAGGAAGAGGTAGTAAAGGAGTCCCTCCCTTGGGTGTTCTCTCTCTCTCTCTCTCTCCCCCTCTCATTTTGTTCTGTAGAAGAGGCTGACCTCACACTTAGAGATCCACCTGCCTCTGCTTCCTAAATGCTGGGATTAAATACATGTGCCACCATGGCTAGTGTTCTCATCTTTGAAATGAGTGTACATGGCATGTGAGATGCTCAATGGGTAAAAGATGCTTGCCACCAAGCTTGATGTCTGGAATTTAATGATGGAAGGAGAGAATCAATTCCTAAGAGTTGTTTTTTGACTTCCACATACATGCTACCTGTGTGTCCCCCACCTCAAAACAGATAAATGTAGTAAATAAAAAAGCTAAAAAGAGTATCTAAGGCCAGGCTTGGTGCTCCATATCTATGATTCTAGCACTTGGGAGGCAGAGGCAGTAATTTCACAAAGCTTGCCTGGGCTGCATAATGAGTTTGGGACCACTGTGGGCTCTTCTGAGACCCTATTTTACACACACACACACACACACAGACACACCACACACACACACACCCACACACACACACACATACACACATACACACACACCACACACACACACACCACACACACACACACACCACACACACACACACACCACACACACACACACACCACACACACACCACACACACACACACCATACACACACACACAGACACACACACACACACACCACACACACACACACACACCACACACACACAGACACACACACACACACCACACACACACACACCACACACACACACCACACACATACACACACACACACCACACACACACACACCACACACACACATACACACACACATACACACACACACACACATACACACACACACCACACACACACCACACACACACATACACACACACACACCACACACACACACACACACACACACACACACACACACACACACACACACACACACACACACACACACACACACCACACACACACACTCACACCCCACACACACACACACACCACACACACACACACACACACACACACCACACACACACACACCACACACACACACACACACACACACAATACTACAGAGGGGCAGTGAGATGACCTGGCAGGTAATGACCTGGCAGGTAATGGCTCCTGCTGCCAAGTCTAATGTCTTAATCCTAGGCAACTCCACATGGTGGAGAGAGGAAAACTGACTCCTAAAAGTTGTCCTGTGACTTCCATATGCATACCATGGTATAGGTATAGCCACACACAAAATAATAACGTAACAAGAGAAAACACTACATAAAATCCAATGAGACAACGGGGCATGTGCTAACATCCTGTGATTGCGCTCACCTGGAAAGCATAAGGCTCTGTTCGGTCGCCAGCACCTGTGTGTGTGTGTGTGTGTGTGTGTGTAGCCACTTGCGTGTGCAAACATCCCTCCCTTCCAGAGTCACTATGAAATAGGAACTGAATGGTACATTTAGGAAAATGACACCTGGGGCCTGGAGCTCTGCGAATGGGATCTGTGTTGGTGTGGGGGACACCAAGGCCACATGTGTCTGATCCATACCTTCTCCCTGTCAGCAGCCCTCACCTCATATCCCATGGTGAAGATGGATTTGCCACTTGCATCTTTCTTCAAGAAGCCATTCATATTCATATAGAACCTGCAAGCAGGCCCCAGTGAGGAATACCACCTCACAGCTCACAGCCACCTTCCCCTGCTCCTCCCTTTGGCCTCCCCTGCTTTCTTTGGGATTCTGGGGGTTGGCATTCCTGAGTGTGCCCTGGGCTTGAATACCTTTGGGGAGGGATGTAGGGCCCCAAGCCATTGCTGCTGATGTCCACACTCATGACTACGCTGCCATTTTTGGTGGGCATTGGTGCATACCAATTCAAGGCGCACAGGATCTCTGCTATGCAGTACCCTGCTGGTCGGATGGGGCGCTGAGGCACTGGAGACTGCCAGAAGCCCCTACAGGCCTCAGAGTGCTCCCCACTTCCCGCCTCCACTCACCACTCCCACCGGTGGTCTGGCCCACCTGCAGTGCGCAATGGAGCAGCCTCCATCTGAATCTGCAGATTTTCAATCTTCCAGCGATAGAAATTGACTGGGTACTTGTAGCTGATCAGGACCACGGGTCTCATCCCCATCAGGTGACCCTTTCGGACCAGCTCCTCGTCATTCTGAGGGGGAGAGGCATGCCTTAGTCTCAGGATCCTCCTGTCTGAGCTGAGTGGGGACGACAGGCATTTCACAATAGAGGGGTAAGATATGGCTGTGCAGCCTGCTGTGATGCCAGCTGCTTATTCCCAGCATTCTGGAAGTGGACACAGCAGGCTATCTCTTCAGGGATAGCCTAGGGAGACATTTAGGGAGTTTGAAGTCAGCCTGAACTATAAGTGAGACCGTCTCAAAAAAAAAAAAAAAAAAAAAAATCTAGAGGCGAGGTTATCCTTCACCTCTCACCCTCTCAGTAAACTGAGCAGGAGATCACCACAAGTTTGAGGCCAGCCTCGTCTATAACTGAGTCCTAGGTGGATTGTGTATCTATTTCTGTGGGTTTATAGTCTCTCTCCTACACCCTCTTCTGGAATCTGCAAGCTCCAAGCATGCATGTGATATACAGACATGAATGCAGTCAAAACACCCATGCATAAAAAATAAAAATTTTAAAGAAACAAAAACTTTTGAGCAGAGGGTAATGACTCATATCTGTAATTGCAACACTCAAATAACAGACACAGGAGAGTCAATGCAAGTTCAAGGCTAGCCTGGTCTAAGAAGTAAGGTCCAGGCCAGCCAGGGCTCCATGGTAAGACCTTGTTTAAAAAACACAAAAACAACCAAGCAATGGCCACACACCTTTAATCCCTGCACACGGGAGGCAGGCCAATGGATCTCTGACTTTGAGGGGCCAACCTGGTCTAAGAGTGAGTTTCAGAACAGCCAGGACTACACAGGGAAACCCTGTCTTGAAAAATCCCTAAAACAAAAAACAAAAACAAAACAAAACAAAAAAAAAAAAAAACACTAACAGGGGTTGGAGAGATGGTTCAGTGGTTAAGAGTACTTGCTGCTCTTCCAGATGCCTCAGTGCAATTCCTAGCACCCATGTGGTGGCTCACAACCATCTATACAGGATCTGATGCCCTCTTCTGGCCTAAAGTCATATACATAGATGGAGCACTAATACATAAAATAAACAAATCTTTTTTAAAAATTAACAAAATGTAAAATAAAGTCACAAGTAACACACAAAAAAAATAAATAAAAATTAACAAAATGGAGCTCTAGCACTTGGGAAGCAGAGGCAGATAGATCTCTATGACTTTAAGACCAGCCTGGTCTACATAACAAGGCCCTGTCTCCAAAGAAAGAACTCACAAAATAGAACACAATGTTTCCAAACCATGTATTTGATAAACAACAATCATTCCAAATATATAAACAATTTTCACAAATCAACAATAAAAAGGTCCCCCAAAAAATTGATTTTAAAGCAAGTAAAGGCTAAGCAGTGGTGATGCACACCTTTAATCCTAGCATTCAGGAGACAAAGGCATTCCCATCTCTGAGTTTGAGGCCAGCCTGGTCTACAGAATGAGTTCCAGGACAGCCAGGGCTACACAGAGAAACCCTGTCTTGAAAACCAACAACAATGAGCAAGGAAGGCCAGTCAAGATAGCACATGCCACCTTTGAGCCTAGCACTTGGGAGGCAGAGGTAGGCAGATCTTTGTAAGTTCCAGGACAGCCAGGGCTATGTAGAAAGACCCTGTCTCAAAAAACAAACAAAACAACAACAACAAAAGCAAAATGGGCAAAGTCAGGTTGGAATAGTGGCTCACACCTGCAGACCTAGCACTTGGGAGACAGAGGCACAAGGGTTGCTGTGAGTTCAAGGCCAGCCTGGGTTATGTAACACTACCCTGTGTCATGAAAGAAAGTAGGCAGGGCTGGAGATGGCTCAGTGGTGAGAAGTTTATATTATTCTTCTAGATGACCAGCACCCATTTCAGACTCTAATACCAAGGGTTCATCGCCCTCTTCTGACATGCATAGGCAACTGTATGCACATGCCTATACCCACCACATAACTACAAATCAGGGTTTTTAAAAAAAAATAGCTTACAATGGTTAAGCTTGTCTCTGAAATTCTTGTTTTTTTTTTTAAGATTCATTTATTATACAGTGTTTTGTTGGTATATTTGCCTGCAGGCAAAAAGAGAGCATCAGATCAGGTTATAGATGTTTGTGAGTCACCATGTGGGTGCTGGGAATTGAACTCAGGAAGTCTGGAAGAGCAGTGAGTGCTGAGCCATCTCTCCAGCCCAAATAAATATATATATTTTAAAAAGAGTGACTGTTTATAGACGCAGTTTTTTTGGGGGGGTAATAAAAATGATGGTCCATGTGATGGCTTGAATCAGAGTGCGAGAGGCCTCACAGGCTCATATGTTTGAAAGCTTGGACCCTGGTTGTGGGTCTGTTTGAGAAGGATTAGGTATGACCTTCTTGGAGGAGGTATGTCACTGGGGGCAAGCTTTGGGGTTTCTATAGCCCCCACCATTCCAAGCTCTTTCTGCCTAGTGGGAGACTGAATCCTTAAGGCCTTCGGGGTTGATGGAGACTGCTTTTAAACTGTATGGAAAAACATTACTGAAAATGATGGCGAGTTGGAGACTTACTGAAATCATCCCATTCACACTGTAAACTCTCACCTTTCCCATACAGGAGAAGTTGACTTTCAGGTAGTAAGGAAAACCCATATATTTCTGTAAGGAAAGGTGGGCGAAATATTCAGTCAAGAGGTGTACTGACTCAGGACCCCTCTGATATTTACTGACCCACAATCCCTTTGATACCATTGACCCCAGGTCCCTCACCTCCCGCGGGTCGACTGGCGAGTCTACCAACTTTTCGAACACCTCAGCCACTGTGTCCGTGGGTTCTTGTTCCAGAAATCGATCCTTAGAGGGGAGCGAGCCTACTTTCTCGAACTTGCTCAGGACAACAAGCCAGCGACACTGTTGTAAATGACACACCGCCCACGGCTTCCACGACAACAGTAGCACTAGCAGCAGTACCCAGAACGCCCATAGACTTGGTTTTCTCCACCACACAGGGCTGACAGGGGACATGACTAGCCAGCACATCACGCCGCTAGGACCTGGAGAACGTGGGGGTCAATACCCACTTGCAAGTCTGCTCGCTGGAGCTGCTTTCTGGGAAACCGCTCTGTTCTGGCCTTTCTTCCCGACCCCTTTCCTGGCTCCACCTTTGATCAGGCTTCGAGCCCGCTCCCCTCTCCTGCTTCCGCCCCTGCCCTTACTCTCCGCCCTGCTCCTGCCCTTACTCTCCGCCCTGCCCCTGCCCTTACTCCCGGCCCTGCTCCTGCCCTTACTCTCCGCCCTGCTCCTGCCCTTACTCTCCGCCCTGCCCCTGCCCTTACTCCCGGCCCTGCTCCTGCCCTTACTCCCGGCCCTGCTCCTGCCCTTACTCTCCGCCCTGCCCCTGCCCTTACTCCCGGCCCTGCTCCTGCCCTTACTCCCGGCCCTGCTCCTGCCCTTACTCCCGGCCCCGCCCCTGCCCTTACTCTTGCTCCTAGTCCCGCTCCCTCTCTTACTCTCAGTCTCTCCTCTAATACTCCTCGCCACGCCCCTGCTCTTTCTCTCAGCCCCGCCCCCGCCCTTACTTCTGGCCTCGCCCCTATCCCTGCGAATTTTTTCACTCTGCTTCCTAGTTGCGCTCTCTCTCCTTGCCCCGCCCTTGTTCTCCCTACTCTTGGCCACGTCTCTCTTTTTGTTTCTTGCCTTGCCGAAGCCCTTCTTTTCCCCACTCTTACGCCCCTCAGAATTATGCCCCTCAGAGATCACCGACTTGTTCGTGGACTTGGCTCCGCCCTCAAAGGCTGTACTGCCCTCAAACTGCTCCTCGCCGCGCCCCTTTCTCTTCGCTCTTGCCCTGCTCAAGAACCGGCTTCTAGTCTTGGTCTTGTTCTTCTGTGAGTTCTTGCTCACACCTCCGTCCACGCTACGCTCCCTGCCCTGGCTCAGTCCCTGAGTCTTGTCGTAGATCGGTTCCTTGCTGGGCTTTCTGTCCTGGCCACGTCCCTTGTCGGGGCTCAGTCCCTGAGTCTTGCCGTGGATCGGGTTCTCGTTGGACTTTCTCTCCTGGCCATGCCCCTTGTCCTGGCTCAGACCCTGAATCTCGCCGTAGATCGACTCCTCGATGGACTTTCTGTCCTGGTCACGCCCCCTGTCCTGGATCAGACCCTGTGTCTTGTCGTAGATCGGCTCCTGGCTCTTCTTTCTCTCCTGGCCACGCCCCTTGTCAGGGCTCCAGCCCCGTGTCTTGTCGTAGATCGGCTCCTGGCTCTTCTTTCTCTCCTGGCCACGCCCCTTGTCAGGGCTCAAGCCCTGTGTCTTGCAGGTTGATTCCTCGCTCTTCTTTCTCTCCTGGCCACGACCCTTATCGGGGCTCAAGGCCTGTGTCTTGCGGTAGATTGGTTCCTCTCTCTTCTTTCTCTCCTGGCCACGCCCCTTGTCCGGGCTCAAGCCCTGTCTCTTGCCGTAGATTGGTTCCTCGCCCCTCTTTCCCTCCTGGCCACGCCCCTTGTCCTGGCTTCTCCCTTTCCCCGAGTTCTGGGCAACCTGGCCCTGCTCCTGCTCCGGATTCCTCTCCTTCTCCCGCCCCGCTGGTTTCTCCTCAGCACCCGCCCGCCACTCCGCACCAGCCCTTTCCCGGGCCTGCGCCTTGTCCTTAAGGAATCTTCCCTGGTCGCAGGGCCTCACTGATGCTCGGGTTCTCGCCCCACCCCGGAATTGCTCCACTCCGGGCGACCTTCCCTCGCCCCGGGATCTGTCTTCGCCAGGTGGTCGCTCCTCGCCGTGCTCCCTCTCATAAGTAACCCTCTCCTTGCCCCAGTGTTTGTCTTCGCCTCGACTTCGCTCGTGATCTAGGGGTCTTTCCTTGCCATAGACAGCCCTATGGCCGTAAGACCTCCCGTCGTCCCACACCCAGGCTGACTTCGCGATCCTCACTGCCCCCACCGACACCTTTTCCCTCCACCTTTTCTCATCTCTCCTGTCCATGCCCCGAAAGTCAACCTGTTCTATGCCCCGCCTCTTCTGGCCACGCCCATACTCGTCGGAGGTTAAACGTTGGCCTTCGCCCCGCCCTTTTGCCGCCCGCTGTTTCTGTATCTGGTCCCTCTGCTGGATGCTTCGTCCCCAGCCTTTCCTTGCCTTCCCTCCCCTCCCCTGCCCTCCCCTTCTTAACTCCCTCCCGCCCCCCTCATCCCCTAGGATGGCACCGCCCTCGTCTCCCCGCCCCGCAGTACCAGTCACTTGGTTAAAACCGGTCAACCGTTGCTTGGCAGCGCCTGTTCCACCCCTCTTGCCAGCTCCTAAAATGGCCGCTCGGACTTCCACCCTGCGCGAGGCACGCCTCCGTGGCGCGCGTGGTTCCATGGTAACACGCATTCCCAACAGGCGCCTGGAGCTGGAGGGCTGGCCTCAACTCAGGCTTCCAGATGTGTGGCAGGCAGAGTCTGGAAGCGCGAATCTCTGTGCTAAGAAGGACCTCGAGGAATTTATGATTGTTCCTCCCGAGGAAAAAGATTTTCCAGAACCTCTGGGGGAAGGGACTAATGTGATCCGAAAGTGGACTCCTATAGCTAAAATTAGGCAGCTAGTTTAATATTAGCCTACTTAAGAGTTGGGCCTCTCTAGTCAACAGCCTGTAAAACAATGACTGAGGGGCAAAACGTCAATTACTGATCAGGAGACTGGGATCTGATTGCATGGTGAGCTAGATAACAGTCTTCCCGGGCACTCAATGATGCACATTCATACATGTAAATAAATCTTTAAAAAAAAATAAAAAAATAAGATTACTGCTTAAGGACCGCGTGTGGAGGCGCATGCTTTTAATCCCATCACCCAGGAGTAGAGGCTGTGAGTTCAAGCTCAAGGCCAGCCTAGTCTACAAAGCCAGTTCCCTGACAACCAAGTCTTCCGTACAACGAAACCTTGTGTTCAATGAAACCGTGAAGAAAGAAGGGGTGAGGAGGTGGGAGGAAAAGCAGAAAGAGAAAGAAAAGAACAAAGGTTGGGAATTGGGACAGTTGGTAGAGTCTGCTCAACAGAATATGCAAGCCGGTGAGCACTCATAATCCCTCTACACAGAAAACCGATAGCCGTGGCCTAAACTGCCAGCTAATTCTCCAGAGTCTGCTTCCCATAATGCTTCAGAAGTGTTGGGATTACAGAGAAGAGCCTCTGCCTCTAGCTGGCTTTTCCCACAGGTCCTGGGGATTAAACTCGGGTCCTCAGGCTTGAGTGGTAAGCACTTTAAGCCATTGAGTTATGTCCTTGGCCTTGAGCTCTAACCACAGCATATCCTACCAGCATATGCCACTACAATTGGCAAGAAAATTTTAGAACAAGCATAAAGGACAGAGCATAGATCTACAGTGGTCCCTTTGGTCTTTGTCCACTCGGCCCCCGAGAGTGTGCCCAGTTTCTACATTATACTCTTCCGTGTCACCTAAATTCTTCCAGAGGTCATGACAGGGAGGCTATAAGAGTTCAATGGCATCTTTATTCCTGGGTCTACACAGCAAGCTCCAGGCTAGCTAGAGCTTTATAGTGAGACCCTGTCTCACCCAATACCCAAAGTGGGAGGCATGGCCAGGTGTGGTCACACCTGTAGACCCAGCACTTAGGAAACAGAGGAGACTCATGAGTTTGAAGCCAGCCTGGATACACAGAGAACACAATACTTGGCCCTAGTAAACATTCAATAGGTTAACAATTGGCCTTTGTATTCAGTTAAACGCTACTTATTATAATATATTGGAGGCCACTGTTTGCAGTGAGCTCCTACACTAACTGGCCAACAAGGCAGAATTACTCATGTTGAAATTCTATACCACCAAACTAAGACCAAATCGTTTATATTCCGAATAATCAGCAATGGAGGGAGATAATAGCCAAATCTCCAGCCTGGCCAGTTTTAGCTGTAAGTCCCTCTGATTTAACTTTCTCTCTCTCTCTCTCTCTCTCTCTCTCTCTCTCTCTCTCTCTCTCTCTCTCTCTCTCTCTCTCTCCCAATCCTCCTGTTTCTGCCTCCAGAGTGCTGGGACCACTGGCCTATATCACCACGCTTGACTTATGGGGACTTTTGAGATTGGTCTTACTCTAGGTCCAGGCTGGCTTCAAACCCATGACAATCCTCCTGCCTCAACTTGCTGATTCCAGCTTGGATCATGAATTTATTTATTGCCATATTGGGAACTGAACCCAGGACTCTATGCATGCTAGCAAGTGCTATTCTGCTGAAGCATATCTTCAGACCTAATGAATTTTTTTAATTACATTTATTTATTTACCTGGGGTGTATGTGTGTTTGTGCATGTGTTAGGTGTTAGAGGAAAGCTTGTAGGATGGCTAAAGTGGTTAGGAGTGTATCTTCCAGAGGACCTGAGTTCAATTCCTAACACCCATGTCAGGCAGCTCACAGGTGACTGTAATTCCGGCCCAGGGCATCTGGCGCCCTCTTTTGGTCCCCATAGGCACCTGCACATGTGATATACATGGACACATACATGCAGACACATAGATAAGGAATTTAATAACCATACAAGAGGACTAAAGCATTTCTATTTTGAGCGATCTTCCTTATTAAGATTTCAGAAGTGAGGGGGAAATTAGCATTTTATTGACCCCCAGATGGTGTCCTCTGGGCTTTACAGGGATTACATTGCTGGCTGCTCAAGTCCATGAGGTAGTACTATACAAATCCCATCACACAAACAAGCAACCTGAGGCACAAACGAAACATGGGACAACAGGATTCAAACTTAGACACACAGCTTTCCTTCAGAGTTAGTAGCCGTCCCCACTTCCCATTCTAGGTGCTGCCCCCCATAGGATGGAAGATGATGACATGCACATATACATATTGCTGCTTCTTCCACAGATTCCGTGCATACAGAGAGCTGGAAATTCCATTGACACAGCTGTACTTGTGTGGAGGTCATAGGACTCTGTGATAGGGGATAAAATTTGGGGGGTTGGTTTTCTCCTTCCCCTGTGAGTTCCAAGGGTGGCACTAACTCAGATTGCCAGGGCTACACAGCGAGCCCTTTCCCCTGACTTTTGCTGGCTCCCCTGATATTTTGCTGGCTCAGATTTTTTTAAATGTGTGTGTGTGTGTGTGTGTGTGTGTGCGCGCGCGCGCATACACGCGCGCGTGCGTGCATGCGCCTGTACATGTTTGAGTTTGCATGTGGAAGTCAGAGTTTAATATCCAGTTTCTTCCTCAATAATTTTCCACACTTATTTTCACTTTTTAGTCTCACTAGGAAGGCCTTTTATGGAACTCACTATGTAGAAGAGGCTGGCCTCGAACTCACAGAGATGCACCAGCTTCTGGGTGCATCTCTGTGATTAAAGGCTGGGATTAAAGGTGTGTGCCATAGCTTCCAGTCTATTTTTGGAAGCTAGAGCTTTCATGGAACCTGAAGCCCAGTAGTTTGTTCTGATGACCCTCTAGCCCCACCCCCTTCAGCACTGGGATTACAAATCCTGCACAACTTCTTCTAGCATTTTTATGCAGGTGCTGGGGATAAGCTCAGGTCTTTGTGCCTTCCTGGCTGAGCCATTGTCCCACCTCCTATAACTGTAATTTATTTTTTCCTTGTTTAGCACCTGGGATAGACATGCTCCACCACTGAGATCATCCCCAGCTCCCTTTGGGGTTTTGTATTATTATTGTTTTTTAGCTAGCCTCTCTAGCCTCTAGCCACAGCCTCCACAGTGCTAGGACAATAGGTATTTCCTTGTATGACTTTCTAGTATGATTTGATGACGAACTAGCCTTCCTGAAAATTCTCGGTAAAGCTGTGCAGTGGTGGTGCACGCCTTTAATCCCAGCACTCGGGAGGCAGAGGCAGGAGGATCTCTGTGAGTTCAAGGCCAGCCTGATCTACAGAGTGAGTTCCAGGACAGGCTCCAAAACTATACAATACAGAGAAACCCTGTATTAAAAAACCAATTAATAATAATAATAACAAAGGGATAGAGTGTCAGGCTACAGACATGAAAGGAGGCTGTAGAAGGACTCACATTCTTATGGCTGGGACTTATTGTATTTATATATTTATATCACTTAGGAAAGGTTTGGCTGTAACAAACCCCTGACTGGCACTGTCTGAGATAACCTGTTACATTGTAGTTGGACAGAGCATGGTAGGGCAAGCCACGGGCATGGTGCTCTCCACAGTTTAGGAGGGTCTGCTGGACCCAGTACTGTCCCTCTCTTCTGCTCCCCTCCACTCAAGTCTTGGCTCCCATGTGTGCTCTCCTCCTGGTGTCCAAACGGCTGCCACAGACCCAGGCAGCAAAACCAGACATGCTCTTTGTAGTGCAAACTATAGAAACATCACCCTGTACTGAGAATTTTTTTTTTTTTCTGAGACAGGATTTCTCTGTATTGTTTCTGGAACCTGTCCTGGAACTAGCTCTGTAGACCAGGCTGGCCTTGAACTCACAACCATACGCCTGCCGGGGCTAAAGGCATGTGCCACCAACGACCAGCTGTATGTATTTATTATGAGCTTTATTGTTTTACTATTTTATCACCTGCTCCTGCTGGGTACCCCGGTCTGGGCTGGAACTCTCAAGCCTCCTGCCTCAGCTCTGATTACAGGCTCGTGCTACTGCACCTGGCTGATGGCGTCTTTTGGAGTAGTTGTTATGGTTACCGTTTGGCAGACACAGAGTCTCAGAAGTCGAGTGACTGTTCAAATGCGTGGGCAGGACATAGCCTGATTACAGGGCACACCCAAGAAGATCAGCTCCAGAGCCTAAGGCCGTCAGTAAGCAGACCGCACAGCATCACCATGAGACTATGCTGAGTAGCATCTCTCACGGGACTTGGATTTTATGCTCATATCCTGGATTAGTTCCTTGCCTGCTAAGCCAGTGAGGGAGACGCTGACCTATCCCCGGGCTTTCCCCCACAAATATAACCCACAGACACCTGAGAAGGGACAATTTCTTCTTCTGACCTTTCTTCCAGGAAGCCCACCGGGACATTTCAGGTCCATTCCTCAGTCCTAACTACTCCGCCTCTTCCAGTGCCTGTTGAGGTTTGTCCCTGCCAAGGGACAAGTCTACCTCACTGGCCGGTGAACAGGGTCCGACAAACCACTTGTACTATTACTACGTGACTGGCACAGGACAGCAGAAGGGCAGACCTGAAGGCTGTGGACGAGTTCGGATTCCCTTTGCAGCAGACAGCTGGGGATGCCAACGTTCAGGATGGGGAAGTCATTTGGCCAAGATGGAGCCACCAACACAGTGACTGACATGAGTTCCAGGCCCAGAGCCCAGAAGAACCAAGAACTGATGTGTGACCGATGCTACCAAAGAGAATGTGACACAAAACAACACATGAAGTCAACCACGGAGTCAGAATGCCCCAATGGTCAGAGGAGGAGAAGAAAGGAGAGGAGAGGAAAGAGAATGCGACTGTGGCCGTTCCCTGAGGAGCAGGGGACAGGGAAGGAGAGCAGCCACTCCTCCCCTCCCAGTGGAGGGCTGCGAAGACAGGACAGCGAGTATGGGCAACCCTGTTGGTGTACTCTCGTCACATGCGGCCCAGAGCCCAGGCCAGGTGTGTCCAGGTTGAAAGCACCTGCCCAGCTACCTGGGGATGGAGGCGTAGTTAGCATGGGAGCCGGCAGAGAGATGCTGGTGCAGATCTGTCCGGGTGTCCAGAATGTCCACCTGATCGTCCTCATCCTGGCTGAGGTTGGCAGGGTCCGGGTTGGGCAGCAAGATAAGTTCAGTGAGGCCATGGAGGTCAGACACATGGTGGAAAGTCTGCAGCACCAGCACCATGGCAACCAGGCCCAGGAAGAGGTATGCTGTTGGCATGGAGAGGGGAGATAAGGAGATGGCAGGGTGATGGGTCAGCTTCGGGCCCAGACTCTGGGGCAGGGACGTGGTCTTACAGGTCTTACAGCTCCCCGGGACAGCTGGGTGGCTCTTGGGACCCCTTTCCCACCCTTTAGGACAGGGCCATTGATTTCTTCCTGAGAACCCCCCACTGCCAGCCCGCAGATGCCCAGATGGTCCAGCTCACCTGTGACAAGCACCTTGTAGAGGGCCCGGTAAGGCTGGCCCGGGGCTTCCCCAGGCACATAGTCCCCGAGGCCAATGGTGGACAGAGAGATGAAGCAGAAGTAGAAAGCATCCAGAAAGCTCCAGGCTTCCTCAAGGTAGGCGAAGACCGCAGCTGGCACCAGGAAGAAGACAGCCACTATGACCAGCAGCAGGGCCACCAGGTGCCAGCGGGCTGCCCGCTGGGGGTGCCACCCCCAACGCAAGCTCAGCCAGGACAGGGGTGCATGGGTGAGCACCAGTGACAGGCGCTGGGCCGAGGCAGTCAGAAGTAGCATGGTGATGGGCACGCCCAGGAGCGCAAAGATGATGGAGAAGGCTTTGCCTGCGTCTGTCAGTGGGGTGGTGTAGCCATAGCCTGTGGGGAGAGGAGTCCTCCTGCACACTGGTACCTCCACAGCCTGAGGCCGGAGTCTCTCCCAACCCCTCTGCACGCCGGTGTAAGGTGTAAAGGACCCCGCCCACTTTTGCTCTTTGCTTTCTTTGCTCTTTCTAGCTCCTCTCTTTCTCTCTCTCTCTCTCTCTCTCTCTCTCTCTCTCCTCTGCTCCCCTTTCCTGTTCCTGGTGTCTCTATGTCTCTTCCCTTCCCCCTCACTCCCCTTTCCAAATAAACTCCTCATTCAGGCTCTATCTGCCTGGCGTATTATTCCCTCCGCCTCCGTCACCCTCACCTGCCATGGAACCTGCTATGCTCTCCCACGTGGTCCCTTACCTTGGGACCCCATGCAGGACCACCCCTTTCTTCAGCTTTCTCCTACAACTGTAACAAAAGAACAGCAGTCTCCACTGCTGACACTGCCATCCAAGAACTATGGTTTCTTTTGAAGCCCAGAGAAAATCCCATAAGTAAACAAATAAACCCTGTGGACGCATCCCAGTGCATTTGCTTTGAGTTACTCTTTGTTTTGTTTTTCCCCCACCCCCCGCCCCCATCCCGAGACCCGAGACAGGGTTTCTCTGTGTAACAGCCCTGGCTGTCCTGGAACTTGCTTTGTAGACTAGGCTGGCCTCAAACTCGCTCAGATTCATGTGCCCCTGCCTCCTGAGTGCTGGTATTAAAGGGGTGAGTCACCACGGCCCAGCAGGGAAGAGGGTTTAATGTTGATTGACTCTTTGAACTGGTGATGGTGGAGTCTAATGTGAGTGAGGCCCCAAGCTTCAGGGAGATGGTGGAAAGAACATTCTTAAGCCAAACTTAGTAAGATTGTGTTTTTGCCTTTTAAAATGTTATTATTACTATTATTATTATTACATGTATTTTGGGAGTCTGGAGAGATAACTGAACAGTTTAAAAGTACTTGCTTGCTTTAGCAAAGGACCCGAGTTGAATTCTCAGCACCCACATAGTGGTTCAACACCATCTGTAACTTCAATTCTAGGGGGTCCTGGCCTCAAACTCACAGAGATCTGCCTCCCTCTATCTCTTGGTTGCTGGAATTAAAGGCATGAACAATACAGCCTGGCAAGAATCCACCCTCTTCTGACCTCCCTGGACACCAGGCATGCATGTGGTGTACATACATACATGCAGGCAAACTCTCATAAAATAACAAATCTATAAAATTAAAAATAATAAAGTTTAAATTACGTGTATTTTGTTTTTGTTTCGTTTATTTGTTTGTTTGTTTTTGTTTTTCGAGACAGGGTTTCTCTGTATTGTTTTCAAGCCTGTCCTGGCACTCATTCTGTAGACCAGGCTGGCGTCGAACTCACAGAGATCCATCTGCCTGCCTCTGCCTCCCGAGTGCTGGGTTTAAAGGCGTGTGCCACCAACGTCTGGCTTTTTTGCTTTCTGGGTTTTTTTGTTTTTTTGGTAATTACATGTATTTTTAAGTTACACTTATGTGTGTTATTATATGGCTGCTGTACCAACAACACACCGAAACTCATGACCTCCCTGTCATCTTCCTTAGGTGCTGGGGTCACAGGCATGCAACCACATCTGGGCTTTTTGGAAGTTTTCAATTAGTGTATAGTAATTGTATAACATAATGGGTTTTATTATGGCTTTTTCTAACATGTATTTAACAACTTTTTTTCTCTTTCGGGGGCTGGGTTTCATCCTGGATGGACTTAAACTCATAGCAATCCACCTGCTTCAGACTTTAAAACTTATTTTCATTTTATGTGTATATGTGTGTTCCTGAATGTATGTGTGTGTACCGCATGCAGGAGTCGGTGGAGGTCAGAGGGAGACCAGATCCCTTGGAACTGCAGTTATAGACGGTTGTGAGCTGCTTTGAGCGTGCTCAGAACGGAATCTGAGGCCTCTGCAAGAAGAGCTAAGCGCCCTTAACCACATTATCTCCAGCCCCTGCATCAGTCTCCTGAGTGCTGAGGTTGCTAGTGTCTGCCTCCAGGGCCAGCATTATCGTGCGCTGCCTGTCACCCTTTCTTCCCACCCCCCTCTCCTCTACCTTATCTTGATTGTTTCATTTTAGATTTGAGTAATCTTCCATCGCTGGCCCTGTGGTGTGCTGTTTTGATATAGTCAAGTGTTGAGTTGTTTTAGGACACACACACACACACACACACACACACACACACCATGTCCCTTCCTGGTGACTTCTCCAAAGGAGCTCTACTGCTGGCTGAGCCAAACTGTTGCCCTGGTGTATCCTAGACAGGTGCTCTACAACTGAACCCCACACCCCTTTTACTTCCTAGTTTGAGGCAGGATCCCACTAAATCTCCCATGCAGGCCTTGCCATTGGGATTCTCCTTCATCAGCCTCCTGGTAGCTGGGACTACAAGCCTGTCCCACCAGGCCTGGCCATATTATCTTTTTTGCATGCCAAGCTATATGCATGAGCCCTAAAACAGAACTTCCTTGTTTCTACTAACTGTACAGGCTGGCTTTCAGAGCTGACCTCAAAAGAGCTGCACAGTTTGGTGGAACCAAAATCTCAGAGCAGAGCAGGGGGAAACAGACCACTGGGCTCTGGATTTTAAACTAGGGGACCCATCCCCAGGGACAGAAGGAACTAGATGTTTCCACAAGCTCCATCAGAACCAAGGTACCCAATATAGACTATTTCACCAGAACTGGTTGGAACCACTCAGCCTGCTCTTTCTCCTTCTGCCTAGATTCCTTAGCGACTAGAATCATGGAAACAGATCTTCAGTGCCTCTCTGTCTGAAGCTGAGGCCCAGAGAAGCTGCCCAAGTTGCACATGATCACATGGCTAGGACGGTGTACAACACTGTGACACGCATTTTTAGTTCCTAGCACTCCAGAGGCAGAAGCAGTGGGATTGCCACAAGTTCTAGTCCATCCAAAGCTACATAGTGAGACCCGGCCTTAAAAAAAAAAAAAAAAAAAAAAAAAAAAGACAGACAGACAATAAATGGTAGCTTCCACACGAGGCTGTTTTGTTGACTGAGTTCGGTTAAGTCCCTTGTCGTGCAGGTGGCTGTGCAGCTGCTCAGCCGGGCTGTGCCTGCAGCATGCCTGCCTCCCCCCACTTGTCTACCAGTGCCAGAAGTCAGAATCTGGGAGGAGAGAGAGGGAGAGAGAGAGGTGTCTGCTTCCACACTGCCCCCCAGGGAAGTCCAAAGCAGGTCAGGCCAGCTCAGGAAGCTGGGGACAGCTAGCCTCGGGGAGATGGCTTTCATTCTTTTCTGCCAAGAGTCACCTGGCCCTGTTGCCAGTGACCTCAGTTTGCTAGTCACACACAGTGAGGGCCCCCGAATGGGGGACAAAAGCCACCCAGGATTCTGTGATACTGTCAGCTAGAGACACAGGATGGCTCCGCCTCTTCCCTGTTTCAGGTCATCTCACAGCCTGGGAGGGGGCTGTAGAGCAGAGCCTGGCTTCACAGAGGGGTTTCCCGGGCCTGCCGTGTGAGGATGGAAGGGACTTTCTAAGAGGAACCTCCCAGGGTTCTTAAGGGCTGGGGGTTACAGGTAGGGGTGGGTCCTACCTGAATGGCTCTCAGAGAAAGGTCAGCAGAGTGCTAGTATTTGTGTATGGGTGGTGTACATTTGATTTTATTTGGTGTGGCGTATGAATGTATGTGCACAGGTGTGTCTGTTCAGGCAGAGGCCAGAGGAGGGCGTCTGAGGTCCTGCACACTCCCTCTTTAGCTTATTCCCTCGAGCAGGGTCTCTCACGGGACCAGAAGCACCTCCCTGGGTCTCTGCCCCAGTGCTGGGGTCACAGGCTTGCACAGCCATGCTCAGCGTTTACAGGAGTACTGGGGTTCTCAGGGGCACACTCCTCCCCACGGACTCTTCTCCCTCGCCCCGCTTTGCTCGGTCAAGACAGGGCCTCACGTAGTCCAGGCTGGTTCTCTCGCTCTGCTTCCAACTCCTAAGCACTGAAGTGTTATACCACCATGCCCAGCTGGGGAGTTCATAACCTTAAAGCAAGACCGGGGTCCTGGCTTAAAATGAGATCTTGCGGTCCTGGTTCCACAGAAATGAGGAACAGGTGCCAGCTGATTTCATCTGGATTGGGTGAGGCGCTCTCAAGAAGCCAGAGCTCCTGCGCCAAGGGTAAACAAAGAGAGTGTTGAGGTAGACATTGCTAAGGTCCTTGCTGCTGGGTGTCAAGGGTAGAGTGGGCAATGCTCTCGGGGGTGGGGGACGACCCCCTGTCACAGAGGGCCTGGAATGTCCCAGGTACAGACACTGGCCTGTCTCAAGCTGGGGCAGGGTTGGGAGGGCAAGAGAAGTCCCAGCTGTGGGGTGTGGAGGAGGTCCAGGCCCAGGGCATCCCCCTGCTTGGAAAGTCCACAGTGAGCATTCTGGCCATCTGGGGGAGAATTGGCAGCAAGTGCAGTGAGTCAAGTCTTCGGATTGTGATTTGGGGCAGGGATTTGTTCTCGCTGAGCAGGGTCCCAGTCTGGAGAAGGGAATGGGAGTCCCATTCACAGGGTTAGGGGTTATGTTTTTGTAGTACTGAGGACTCAGGACCTCAGACGTGCTAGGCAAGCATTCTGCTGCTGAGCGACATCTCAACCCTCCTCACTACGAATTGGATGAGACCTCCATGGCCAGTCTTAGTCCAGGGCTAGCGGTTTTGCTGGAGGTAGTTTGGGTAGGAGTCTCACCTTTGGGGGTGGATTCAAGCTGGGCAGCCAATGATTCTTCCTGGAGGACACTCTGAGTTTGTTCCCTCTTTTTGTTTTGTTTGGTTTGGTTTTTCCAGACAGGGTTTCTCTGTGGCTTTGGAGCCTGTCCTGGAACTCGCTCTGTAGACTGGGCTGGCCTCAAACTCACAGAGATCTGCCTGCCTCTGCCTCCCGAGTGCTAGGATTAAAGGTGTGCACCACCACCACCACCCAGCCGAGTTTGTTCCTGTCTTAATTCCAGCTGCTGATCCAGGAATACTGAGCTGGAATGGAAGAACTTTGAGAAATCCTAGCAATACAGGGGAGGTGGGAAGATGGGCGGAGTCCTGTGTTAGCCTGGGAAATACGAGGACAGGAGAGGAATGGGTGTCTTTGGTCCGGGGCTTGATGGGAGATGTCATTCTATATATGTTTCTCACACTGGTTAATGAATAAAGCACTGTTGGTCAATAGGAAAGGAAGATAGGAGGGACTAGGAGACAAGGAGGAGAGGGGAAGTAGTAAGTAAGGAGTCAACATGGAGAGTCTGGAGAGAACAGAACCGCCATTCCTCCGCTCTCGGTAAGACCACGTGGAAATACATAGAAATGGGTTAATACTTAAGACAGAGCTAGCCGATAAGAAACAAGTAACAGGCCAACAGTATAATAGCAAATACAGAGTCTCTGTGCATTAATTGGGGCTGGCGCGGCAGGGCAGAAAAACCGTATTCCTTACAGGGGCTCTTTCTGGAGAGCACACAAAGGCGAAAGGATTCCAGAAGTGGTCTCAGGTCTCCTAGAGGACTGGCCTCCAGTGGGGTGCCCTGAGATTACTGGGAGTATGCATAAGGGGCTGAGTTCAATCCCCAGCCCTGCATCTCAGTGTTCCCTGGGAAACTAAGTTCAGGAGGAAGTTGAAGCGGGCTGTTCCAGGAAGGACCTATCTGGACTCGGGAGACAAGGCTGGAAGAGATGGTTGCGCCAACTCTGATGTGGATACAGCCCTTAGGGTCAGAGACCCAAGGAAGGTCCCAGGCCCTTGCCAATTATGGACGATAACCCTAGGCCAAGAGGTTAAGACGAGTGAAGCCAGGCCTGGTGGCCACACCTGTAATCTTGGCATTTTAGGAGGCTGAGACAGGGAGATGAAGTTCCAGACCAGCCCGGGCTCCAATGGGAGGTACTATCTCAAGATCAAACATACAAAAGGCATCAGAGGGGACCCAGATGTTGTAAGAAAAGTTATTATGAGGGGGCCCCTACTCCGAGGGAACTGGGGTGTTTACTACTGGAGAGGAAGACTTGCCTTGCACCGGGGATTGTCCAAAAGCGGCAGCTGGAGCAAGAGTGGGTCTGTTTCCATGTTGGAATGGGGGTGGTTCTGAAAGGGTGCCGAGCCCCGAGACGATCTGGATGAAGGTGTGTCTTGTAGGAGGACCCAGACAGACTCTGGTTAGGGAGTGGGAGGATGGCACTCACTTACCCACGGTGGTGACCAGAGTGCTGGCGAAAAAGAGCGCCGAGGCGAAGTCCCAGGCGGCGTCCGAAGCATTGGCGGGTCCCGAGGCGTTGGCCAGCACTGCGCGCCCCAGCCGGCCGGCCGCCAGCACCCGCTCCACGAAGGCGTCCAGGGCGGGCGCCGCCACGCACGGGCTGTGCCGCAGCAGCTGCTCCCGCAGCGTCCCCAGCTCTGCCCGCAGCCGGGCTTCGTGGGGCCGCTCCAGCTGAGCCACCAGCAGTGCGCCTAGCGCCAGGTACCCGGCGTAGATGGCCAGGGCGCAGGCCAGGAGCGCGCCCCGCCGCATGGTGCCCGCACAGCCCCGCCACCCGCTGACGTGGCCCCCGCCGGCCCACCGCCCGCGGTCTGCTTTTAGTTCCGGGAGCTCCAGGCGCCGCCACCGACGCCCCGAAGAGGAAGAGGCGAAAGGGGAGGAGCGGGGCTGGCGGAACGCCCCGCTACTGGGAAACTGAGGCACGCCCAAACACCAGGTGTGGAGACAGGACCCGGGAGGGTGGAGCCCGACGCTCCCGGATCTGGGAGACTGAAGGGATGGGAAGGGTGGCGGAGTTCTCTTTACTGCCTGAAGTTGCTTCCAACTCTGCACTCCGCGGGAGTCGCGGCTTCTCAACTCAGAACTGAAATCTCCTCGGGAGTGGGGGCTTCTGCCTATAATCTTGGCACTGGGGAGGCTGAGGCAGGACTTCTCCAAGTTCCTGGCCAACCTGGGGTAAAGTGAGACCAGCCTTTAGCATCTCCAGTGGTGTGCTGGGTCGGCACTCGGATGTGAAAGAAGGAAGTAGTTTGTGGGGCAGGAGTCGTGATGATTTGGGAACAACTGATCAGGAGTCAGGAGACATTGTTGGAAAGGACTGCAAGACAATGTCTCAAAACAACAAGAACAAAACCTGAAAAACTAATAGATAGCTTTTGTTGCGGCTCACCCTTTCATTCCAGCACTCAGCAGGCAGGGACAGAAGCAGGTATATCTCTAGGAGTTGAGGTCAACCTGGTCTACATAGTAAGTTCCGTAATTACATAGTATGGCCCTGTCTGAAAAACCAAACAAACACAAAGCACAAAAAGCAAAGCAAACAAAACAACAACAAAACCCTAAAAGATGAACGAATAAACTTCTGGTGAGGTGTGGGTGGCTTACACTTAGCATCTGGGAAAAAGAATGCACTGTCATCACCTTCAGGCCAACTTGGGCTACCTAGTGAATATGTCTCAAAAAAGGTGGGTGAAATGGCTGGAGAGGTGGTTGAGTGTTTAAGAGCATTAGCTGCCTTTGCAGAGGACCTGGGTTCGATCCCTTCCCAGCATTCACACTCTGCATCCCAAGGGTCTCCAGGGAATCCCGTGCCCACCAAGGGTCTCCAGGGAATCCCGTGCCCACTTCGGCCTCCTCAGACATCAGGCACACACATGCAGGCAAAACACCCATACACACAGAAACAAACTAACACATATATTTATATATAAAATCATGGATAGCTCCTAGGGGCCCCTCCCCTGATAGGGATACAGACCCAGGGGCTGAGATGTTCCTATGTATATTTAAATTTTAAAGGTGGGGGAGCTGTGTATAGCAAGACTCTGTCTGCAAAACAACAACAAACTAGTAAGTAGCCTAGTGGGTGGCGCATGCCCTTAATCCTGGCACTTGGGAGGCAGAGGCAGATGGAGCTCTATCTGAGGCCAGCCTGCTCTACAGAGTGAGTTCCAGGACAGCCGATGCTACAGGGTGAGATACTGTATTGAAAAGAAGTAGGTAAAAATAAAAGAATGGCCTCCCCACAGATCTCTCTTTACAGCCTGAACTGGGTGCCCTCCTTACAGCTGTGTAGAGGGCAGACCAGAGTCCTGCCCACAACCAGACCACAGCTCAGATATATATAACAGCTCTATTTATAAAACTGTGGTAATTCTTGGGGCAGAGCCCAATTTGGGGCTCTGTCTATAGGAAGAGATGCCTGACAATAAAGACAGTAACAGTAGCTACAGTGTTTCAGGGTTCAGTTAGGTCCTGTGTATGTACGCCTTTTATTGAATGCTCAACACTCCCAGGTGATTCCCAATAAACAGATAAGAAAACTAAGGCTTAAAAAACGGTGTACTCACCAACAAGGCTGAAGAACTGACAGCTATCCCTGGGACTCTTACGATGAAGGGGCGACTCCTGTAAGCTGCTCTCTGTCTTCCACAGGTACTCCCACGCCCAAAACTCACACACACGTGTATACATGCCTACACATCATACACAAACACACACAAAATGGAGAGCAAGGCAGGGGTGATGGTGCGTGTCTGTAATCTTACGACTCAGGAGGCAGAAAGGTTGGAAGTTTAAGATCATCCTCAGGTGCATAGGGGGTTCAGTGTTATTTAACTATGTAAGGATATGTTTAACTATGTAAGGATATGTTGCCTTTGTCTGCCTTGCAGAATAATTGTTTTAACCATGTAAAGATACGTTGCATTTTTTTTTGATGTAATGTATTTAATTATATAAAGATGTGTTTGCATTTGTTTATGCTGCATTTGTTTAACTATGTAAAGATGTGTTGATGTTTTACCTTGCCTTCCTAAGGCACTGGATTGGTCTAATAAAAAGCTGAATGGCTTAGCCAGGTGGTGGTGGATGCCTTTAATCCCAGTACTCAGGAGGCAGAGGCAGGCGGATCTCAGTGAGTTCAAGGTCAGACTGGTCTACATAGTGAGTTCCAGGACAGCCAGGACGACTACACAGACAAAGCCTGTCTCGAAAAAAAAAAAAGAAAGAGAGAGAGAGGAAGAGAGAGAGAATAGCTAGAAACAAGCCTAAGGTTGAGCATTCATAATTAATAATAAGTCTCCGTGTCATGATTTGGGGGCTGGTAGTCCAAGAAAGCCCGCTACAGTTCAAGAACAGTCTAGCCTGGGTTATGAGAAAGCTCTGTCACAAATATACAGGGAAACAAAAAGCGTGCACGCAGGCACAGTTGTGCTCACTTGTAACCCTAGCAGTGAGAAGGGAAAGGCAGAGGGATCACAAAAGTCCCAGGTCTGCAGAGATGACTTAGCACTTAAAGCGCCTGCTACTTTTGCAGAGGTCCCGGGGTCCAATAAGCCCAACAAGGCAGCTTACACCCATCTGTAACTTATGTTCCAGGGCATCAGGCACCCTCTTCTGGCCTCTGAGGGTGCCAGGCACACATGTGGTACACAGATATACACGCAGGCAGAATATCCATATACATAAAATTTTAAGAAAATCTTTAAGAAATAAAAGCAGAAAGGAACAGATATTGTTAGGTCCTCCCCACTCATGTGGCATGGTTCACAAGTGCCTGTAACTCCAGTTCCAGGGGGATCTATTACCCTCTTCTGGACTCTGCAGGCACTGTGTCCAGGTGTGCATGCCCCCACACATTTACACACACAGTTTAAAAAATAAAAGTAAGAGCTAGGCAGTGGTGGCACACACCTTTAATCCCAGCACTCGGGAAGCAGAGGTAGTTGGTGTGAGTTTGAGGCCAGCCTGGTCTACAAAGCGAGTCCCATGACAGACAGAGCTCTTACACAGAGAAACCCTGCCTCAGAAAACCTAAAAGAGATAAATAAATAAACAAGCTGGGTGCTGGGGGCGTGCACACTTTTACTTCCAGCACTCAGGGGGCAGAAGCAGGAAGATCTCTGAGTTCGAGGCCAGCCTGGTCTACAGAGGGAGTTCTAGGCCAGCCAGAACTACACAGAGGAACTCTGTCTTAGAAAAATAAAACAGAACAAACCAAAAGAAAAAAGGGGTGGAGTCTGCATTAATTATGGACAGACATTTTTCCAGTATCCATCCTTTCTTTTTTTTTTCATTTGTGGTGATGAGGATAGAACTCAGAACCCCAAGTATGCAGGGTAAACACTACTAGCTGAGCTATAGCCCTAGCCTTCATGTCATTATTCCCTAAACAATACAGAAAAATGACTATTTACATAGGACTTTCATATCAGGGACAATAATATAAGCAATATAGAATGAGCAGTAGAATTCTTGCTTAACTCCCATGAAACCCTAAATTTGATTTTCAGCACCTGAAATGAAAAAAGTATTATATATAGACATATCACATATATGCATATATATAATGGTTTAAGGTATATGAAAGGATTACTTACACATGTTATATACAAATACAAACCTAACCTGGCCCTGGACTCGTTTTTTGTTGTTGTTGTTTGTTTGTTTGTTTGTTTGTTTTTGTTGTTTTTGTTTTTTACAGATAGGGTTTCTCTGTGTAGCCCTGGCTGTCCTGGAACTTGCTCTATAGACCAGGCTGGCCTCGAACTCACAGAAAACTGGCTGCCTCTGCCTCCTGAGTGCTGGCATTAAAAGTGTGCAGCACTGTGTCCAGTTGAGCACTGGCTAGTCTTGAAGATGACGATGATGAGCTGTAAACTCTTGATCGTCTGCCTCAGTGTCTGGCGTGCCATTCATCATGCAAGCATTACACCATTTGTTGTTGTTTTGTTTTTAGAAGGGATTTTAAGTAGCCCAGGCTGGCCTTGAACTCAATATATAACCAAGGGTGGTCTTGAATTCCTGATCCTCTTGCCACCACATCCCAAGTGCTGGGATTACAGGTGTGTGCTAACACATCTAGCTGCACTATTATATTATTAGATAAAGGACGTGAGCATTTGAAGACTCTGCTATAGGTAGGATCCTGTTATCAACCTTCAACAGACACCTATGAGGGACTATATTCACAGAAGATGCTCGCAGAGGAGACGAATGGGAGTTGAGGGTGGTGCCTAGGAGACAGATGTGAACACAGAAGCAAACTGATGGATCTCGACACTGCAACTAAGGCAGAGCTCCTCCCGAGAAGCCAAGTTCAGAAGAGGAAGGGGAAGCCACAGTGTTAGGGTCACTTGCTGACCACCCCCTTCTGGAGTGCTATCGCTTCCAAAAAGTCATGTGCCCCCATTTTCCTTTGCCTGAGATAAGTGGAAGAAAGAGGGACAGAAAGGGGCTGGCCACGGGGCGTGGTGGCACACATTGTAATCCCTGAAGCAGGAAGTCAGGAGTTCAAGGTCAGTTTTAGCTTAGTGAGCTTGAAGTCCATCTAGACTGTGAGATCCTTTCTCAGAACAAAGAGGTGGGGGCACTTCTTGGAGAAAAAGGACACCCAGGGACACAGAGAAGGAAGTTAGTTTTCCCGGCTCTAGAAGGTGCCATCTGTGTACATTCAACGGCTGGAGCTGTTTGCGTTGTTTTCGGTGAACAAAAATGTTGAAGGAAAAAACACCATGTAGGAACATATTTTTTAAAATAAATTTTTGGGAGACTGCCTAAAGATACCAGCTTTTCTGACCTGATATGACTCTTGAGTGTCTCTTTTTCAATCTTTATTCATTCATTCATTTTTGGTTTTTCGTGGCCCTAGTTGTACTGGAACTCATTCTGAAAACCAGGATGGTCTCGAACTCACAAGACCAGAGTGCTGAGATTAACGAGCAGCGCTCACTATGGTTAAAGCTTAGACGGGCTTTGA